TAATTGAAGACATCTTTGGTGTAATTGATTTGTACCTGGGACAAAGAAGAAAGAGGTGTGTTTCAATGGCGTTTCTCCTTTTTCCAAATTTTTTTTTTTCCAGAAGTGAATTCTGGGGTTTTGTTTTGGTAAAATGTCACACACACCCTTGCAAAGCTTGCTATTGCCTTCACAAAAGTCCGAACTGCTAGTGTGCAAAGACATCTTCGCGTTTCATTTGAAGATGAAGAGTGCACTCAACCCCAAAAGACATCAAACCAATCTTTCACAAGGATGAGTTTATCAATATCACTTGTTAGCACCTTTCTATCTACTGGTGTAAACTTTAGTTCATAGTAGCGGTCTTGCAATGGACTTTCTTTTTTAATTTTTTTCTTTTTGTACAACAGAATTATAGACAATAGCTACATACAACTTTATCACAAATTTATAAACTATTCTACCAACTATAAAGAATCTATCATTTCATAAACATTACCAAGGGCCTTCTCTTGAACTGATGTTTCATAATTTAGTATATCTTGTTTCAACAACCCAATTCTATCAGTACCATACCACACGCAATCACTTTGCAAACCCAAACTCATTTCATCACTATTGATATTATCTGCCTCTTCATAAGTCCGTTTTAAGCTCGATACTTGTTCGTAATTCTTGGCGGCAATCTCAGCATTATCAACAATCTCCCTCGAAATCCCACACATTAACGCCACATTCATTCCAAACGACCCTGGCGCCGTTCCATCCTCTAATTTATACAAAAATGTGATGTCTCGTGACTCTTGATCGACAATAATTGCCATCCTCATGGGTTTTATCTGTGGATGTGACTTGAATGACACACCAAGAGTATTGTAATGGGTGGCAAAGAATCCTACTGGTTGTAAATGAGTTGCCAAATGGTGCAAAACGGCTTCAGCAATGGCAAATCCATCACTACTTGAACCGCCTCTACCCAATTCATCTAAAATCACCAAAGATTTAGGCGTAGCGTTGCTCAAAATCTTTTTCGTTTCCGAAAGTTCAACAAAGAATGTCGATTTGCCTTGCATGATGTTATCGTTTGCACCCAACCGCGTCATAATCCTATCGACGGGAGTTAAACTTGCCTGCTGAGCAGGTATGTAGCACCCAATTTGACTCAAAATCACTGCCAATGCAGTAGTCCTCATTATAGTAGACTTACCTGCAGCATTGGCACCAGTCAATAATCCGAAGTTAGGTTGATCGCCACCTAACTGAATATCATTGGGAATGAAATCCCTAGTACTGATAAAGCAAGGGTGCCTCAACTCTTTAAAATCAAGAACACCATGGTCACTTGATACAAACTCGGGACGACATGATGGATAACCAATTGACTCGGAAACTTTCGTCAATGCAAGAATGCAATCAATGTTGGCCATACAATTGATCACTTTCATCCAGGTAGTATAGTGGGTATCAAATTTTGCATACATCCTATTCTTTAAAGTGTCACACACCATCTTGTGCAACTCTCTTTGCTCCATCAATTTCCTTGCCAATTGCTTAACTTCGGGTGACCAAAACCGCTTAACTTTGGACGTTGCACCCATAGTTTGCCAACTTGAAGGTACATGTTTAACCAACTTTACTGGAAGTTCAACAAGGTAGATTTCTTTTCCTGAATCACGATAGAAAATTTCGTGCGATTTAAATTCCTTCTTGTATCCCTTCAAAAGTTCATTAAGTTGATTTTCTAAATCATCAATGATGGCTTGTGATTGGTCAAATTCAGCATCAACCCCCTTTGCTGGAATAATGATATCATTCAAGGCTTGTTGTCTATCAAAAGCATCCTCCCATTCAACGATATGCTCAACCATGTCCTGGGGGAAACTGTGCAAGTATTTAAACAATACTCCACATTCACCAACATGGGCTAATTCCAGCAACTGTTTGGAAAACCTAGCAATGCTTTCAAAACTTTCAACAACTTTAAGGAAATCCCTAAATCGAAGAGTTCCTCCGTGCACACGAGCAATCAAACGTTCTAAATCAGGCAAAATGGTTAAGCAGTTTTGTAAGATTGATCTCAACTCAGAGCCGTCGCCCATCAAGTAGTCAATCGAATCGTACCTCAGGTTAATCTCATCAATTCTCATCAAAGGATGCAAGACCCATTTTTTCAAGTGTCTTTTACCAAACGATGTTGTTGCACGATTCACCAATTTCAATAAAGTGCCTTGATCACCTCCATCGTAATTGTTGTTGAGAATTTCCAAATTACTCAAAGTGATCCCATCAAGAATCATGTGCGACGTTTCGTTCTCAGAGATCTTGTACTGCTTGATATTGCCCAAACTCATGATACTTTCATCTAACTTGAGAGTTTTCAAGTAGGATAACAATCCACCAAATGCATTGAATGCTACAACGTGATTCTGTTTGAAATCAACTAGCGTTTGAGGGTATTTTGAATAATCGTCCAAATCCTCTGCATCATAATATCTTGACTTGACCAAGTGGTCGACAGAAATATCGTAGTCCCAAAACTCAGTAATAGGATTCAAGTTGTTCCAAATTTGGTTATTTGAATGGGCGCAAAATTTCAAAATCTGGGTGGCAATGTTACAGAGGTTTCCCTTTTCACAAATGACTTCCTTTGGCTTGACTTGTGTGATTAATGTATCGAGCTTGGTGCATTCGGCGTCATCTTGCAATTCGATCAAATTCAATTCGGCAGTAGCAGTATCAACAAAGGCAACTCCAAAGATCTTGGATCCATCCTCACCCGTTTCTTCCTTAATACTAAGACAATACGTTGACATGTCATCGGTGATCATGTCCAAATTAGTCAAGGTACCACCAGTCAACACCCCAGTCAACTCCCTCTTGATTATCTTTTCTTCTTTAGATCCCCCGCCCCTCATTTCTTTAGCCAACATGGACTCCTTTTGATCTACTTTGGCGACTTTATAACCATGACTGATAAACTCTTTTGCCCAGTGCTCAAATGACATTTCCGGTATACCAGCTAACTTCATGTTTGCTCTTCCACCACCAGCTATTTTAAGATCGAACTGAGTGTTTGCAATCATAGCATCATTTTCATATAATTCGTAGAATTTTCCCTTCTTGAAAAAAACAACAGTGTTCCACATTCTGGACTTGATTTCCCAGTATTGTTTCTCAAATGCAGTAAACTTGGACCATGCCGACTGTGGAATGTATAGTGTTCTTGGGTCATAGTTTGGATCATCAGGAGTTCTCTTTTCAGCATCTTTAATATTGACAAGCCACTGATATCTCTCCTCATTTTCCTTGGCAAAATTCTTTTTGGTGGTTGGCAATGGCTTTGACAGGAATTGTTTCGTCTTGTATCCTGAAGCATCATAAGATGAGGACGCGTCAAACTTGTCAGTTAAACCGTTGTTGGATAAAGTGGTTGTATCGTTTGATGTATTAACCTCCGGAATGGACGCCGCAACGGATGCAGATTTTGGTTTACGGGACACACTCGACTTTGGCTTGGGGACATCCTCATCATCTTCCAGGACAGCTGGTTCATCATCATCACCTTCGTCGTCGTCATCAACCACAAAATCACTCATGTCATCATCATCGTCCCCATCAGACATAATCGGTTGAAATTCATCTTCATCATCACTTGCCTCTTGCACAACCTTTCTCTTCTTACGAGAAGACTGAATGACAGTGTCCTCATCGTCGGAGTCTGATTCTGCGTAATTGATTTGCTTCTTTTTATGGCGAGTTGAATTAATGGGACTGGAGTTGAGTGCTGTTCTATGCCCCTTCAAGGGTGTACTACCTCCCTGACCAGTCTTTGCATTGTTATTGGACTGCTTATGTTCAGTCTTATCTTGGTTTACATCTGGAGGTGACGTCAAGCTAGATGAAAATGATAAATCTCTAAACTCGTCTTCATCATGCATCAATGTATTGTCATTTTCCTTATCGCTTGATAATTCCTGCTTGATCGTCGTTTTTGATTTCAAGGGGGACGACGATGATACACAGTTTTGCTGCATTGGTTTTTTGGGCGACAGATTGGGTTCTTCTTTGACATTGTTTTTGGCTGTCATGGGCTTAAAGAAGGACATTAATGATGCTTGCTTCTTCTTGCTACTTGATGAGCTAGCATTGCTTTGAGATAATCCCGTCCTCTTTGGTGTTGTAGTCGCTGTGGTTGTACCCATGATGATGATGTAGTAGTAGTAATAGTAGTAGTAGTAACTAAATCAAGGTAATGAAATTCAAGTTAAAAAGAATAAACATAGCTATATTTTGGGTAGTGGATTTTTGGTGGTTACATATACAATAACCATTTATTTAAAATCCCTTTTTTCTTTTGTTAAAATAAAAAAAAAGAATTCGCGTCTGTTTTTATTTTTTTTGTTCAATTAACATTCACGTGTCGCACTTGGTTTTGTGTACATAATAATGTGGAATACTATTTTGCAACTTAGAACGTTGCAAATTATATATAGGGCCTAGTATAATAGCCATGCAAGCTCAATGGATAAGAAGTGTTACAGTTTGAGCTAGCTTCTGAGGTGGGGAAAAATTGCTTTTAGTTAAAAGTAGCTTGGCTTGGTTAAACATCATGCATTGCTTTTTCATCATTTTTGAATTGCTTTGGTTAGTTGGTAAAGGCCGGTATTAACACCATGAATAGTTGCTCTAGCAGGTGTATTCTATTTATAACTTAAAGCCATGGTATTGATTATATAAAACTGTTGCCCTATGCCCTATGCCATTAGTAATGAGTTTACTTTTAGTGTGTAATTGTGTAAGCTATATATATTTACATAATTTTTGCATCACAAATAAATTAGTAATGATATATAACCATTTCTTTTCGACAAAAGCAATGTGTTTGATATCAAAGGTATCCATCTTCTTATTTTTTGCCCTTACTTCAGTACTAGCTTTCCATCACCCACCCCAAGAGGAGCACCCAATCTTCAAAATCACCTCAAATACTCACGATAAGACAACCATCATTGGCTTTTTACAAGACGTGGCAAACAAAATTGCAGTATCGCCAGCACAATTGAACCGTTTTTATCAAGGGACTAACTCACTAAGCTCATCTTCCCCGACAAAGGAAGATAAAAAGTGTCTTGAAAATACGATAATCAAGTTTTACATCCGTTCGTTAAAATTGACCGATCACATCTATGAAGCTAGTGAGTGCAGAATAAACTTAAACCCGAGGATGCAGTCAATACTACAACCGACACCAAATATCCACAATTTATTATTGAGAGACAACGACATGCTCGATACGCAATTGAAGTATGTTCTAATGGATGAGTTTAACCGGTATCAACAATTTAAGGATTACAAGTTCAACGATTTTCAACATTTGAATTATGACTTATCGTGCATCATCGATTACCAGGAGCTAATGCAAGTTGAATTGATGGAAACAGTGGTGGAAGCAAACTTGGAAAGAAAAGTGGAAGTGGATGAGGCGTGTGGGTTGAGCATACTTAATCAAAACTTTATTGGAACATCCATTGACTATATAACGACACAAGTGCCAATCAATGGTACTTTCTACTGCAAAAAGGGAAGAAGCTCGACTTGTAATAGGGCTATAGCAGACTCATCAAATGCGAGGTACAGGCTTCCTGAATACTAGATTCTAGATATGAAACCACTTTTTATGGCTGTTCCCACTTTAAACTTTCAATTTATCAACATGAAATTTGACAATTTCAATAGCGGCTATAGAATCCTCTGCACTATCGTGATCCCCAACTTGTATATTTCTACTCAAATACTTGAATGTTAAATCCTTTAAACTTTTCTTTGAAGTAGGGGTGCTTTCAAATTTGGGATATAGTATTGACGTATCAATGATTTGATTGTGGATTAGCCGTAATGCATTCATGTCGTTTTCTAAACCATGTCCAATAAGGATTGTATCTTTATCCATCACAGTGCCGAGCTCCTGAATCATTTGATTGAAGCTTACAAAGTTCCCGTCAATAGCTGATATCCCCGAAAATCGCGTATTAAAATCAACCACTTCTCCAAATGGAAGAACATAAGCGTCCATAACTGTTTTCAAAGAGAAATAATCAACGGCCGTGACTCGCATCAATTCAAAGCCCTTGGTAGTATACCCCATTTCACAGTCAATACCTAAAACTCGGTATTTCCCCTTCTGATCAAATACTTCCTCTGTTTTCACAAAAGGTCGAATGCTTTGCTTTTCTTCAGGAGTCAGATTTTGATACACATGATGTTTACAACTATCACACGGCTTGCTATCATCTTTTGGTGCCAAGCAACATTCGTAGTATCTTTCTCTATTGTCAGGATTGCGTCGCACCTTACCGTAATGAAATGAACACAACGTAGGTTCCAATTGTTGACTCAATTTAAATTCAGTATCGCAACGTTGACAATTTCTAGTGATTTTGTTATATGGAACTGACTCCGGTACCGACATGACAAACCCATACTTTTTTAATTTCTCGTCAGAAACTGTCATTGACTTTAGCAACTTTAACGCATCCTCTTGCGAATGTTTCTTCTTGTGCGTTGCCAGCTGAAACTTCTCTGGACGTTGAAGTTTCAACACTGCATTTCTCAAAGTGGAGGCATATGTTTTGTTGCTTGTACTCTTGGCAATATTGTATTCAATCTCAGTTGCTTTTAATTTGGGTACTTTTACTTCAGGCTGCTTCCGTACGATGATATCTGCTATTTTTTGTATATGTCGTTTTCGATCCTGAATCGATGCTGGGTTTGTATTTACTGGCGTAGGCAAAATATATTGCACATCATCATTAGTAGAGTCTTTGGTCACATCATCGATGGTTGATCGCTTGGGTCTTTCTTCCTTAGTAATATACTTTTCAGCTGTCCTTTTGCGAGGGTACAGCTCCGATGGAGTCATTTTGGTAGTGTAAGGAATAGGAATATTCAATGTTATTTTTGATAGTAGCACCAAAGACTAGTTCAGCGCAACCAAGTGTTTAAAAAGTATCCTCTTTCTGGCTGAACCAGGGAACAGAGAAAAGCTCTTTCAGTTCCATAAATATACACAGGCTACAAAAACGGTCCACATTCAAATTCAACTGAAGCGGCTCTCATCATCATTTCCAAAAAATTTGCCGTGGCCAACACAAAACTGAATCTCATCGCTGTATTCCAACTCCCGCACTATAAATATCTCGTTTCCTCATCAAAATTTGTTTTACACTTTTTTTACCCTTTTTCTTTTTCTTTTCTATGTCGACGTACTTCATAGGATCATTTCTATAGTAGACGTCCCTCTTTGACTCTTCAAAAGAGCCACTGAATCCAACTTGGACGATGAGTGAATTGGCATCAATGCAATCAAAGTGAGAAACGTATAAATAGGTGATTGAAAACCATCTATTGAACTGCCTTGTTTTATCTTACAAGATAGAGGCGCGATGATCTTTGGCTCTTTTTTCTGGTTAAAATTTTAACTGAAATTGAGCTTGCATTAATGTCTGTCTGACAAGTATTGGACGAAAGGATGAAGGTGCTAAGAGCGAATGTAGTTGCAATTGCACTGGTGGGGATACTTTTCATTAATCTTAGACAGCTGTTTTTACACACTCTATACTACTTGGCTGGACAGTTTTGGCGGGTACTCATAAAGCTTGTAGTAGTCAACAACTTTTCCGTTCAAATTATTCTCACCTTCGATTGGCAAGTAAAATACATTTCTCCAACTAGGTTCTCCAATGACCCAAAAGTCCAACCAGTTCTGTTTCAAACCGTAGTCGGTAGGTATGTCTATATGTAAGGGGTCGAAGCTGGTTGTTCTATTTCGGTTAAAGATCGAAGCGATAGTCATTTTCATGGTCATCACAAACTGATCAATACCTAGCAAATTCAAACAAGTTTGCAATTCGTTGTTCTTTCGGTCAGATCTGGAAGGTTGCGTGAGCGAGTCTGCGACTTCCTCTGGGACCGTTGAATGGTTCAGTCTTGGGTTGATAATTCTTGAATTTAACGAACTAAATTCCCATGTAGTCAATCCACGCAAGATTTGGAAAGTTTGAACCAAGCAAAGGAAAAAGATCCAAACGTATTGTAACCAGCACCACACCAACAAGTTGAAATGGAATTGTTTATTCTTGTACCCATAGCATAAATCATCACCAATCATTCTGCAGAAGAAGCTTTGATTATCCTCATCATCGGAATCAAACGAGTCTTTTAAATTGTCAAAATATTCTATTGTCAAATAGGTGAAGAAAAGAATGGCCAAGTTCAAAGCATAAACAAAAGTAATGAACAATTTATGGTTCCTCACTCCGATTTCGTTGTAAACCCAAGGACAGTAATGGTCAAATCGAGCCACTAACCTCTTATTGTGCTTGGAGTACCTTGATCGAAGTGGTTTACGTACAAATGAGTTGACACAGAAATGGTCAGTGTCAAATTTCCCACAACTAAGCAAATCCTCAACTTGAGCAAGGATTACTGCATTATCAGTCGGGGTCGGTACGAATCCTGGATTGATAAACATAGCTTTGAAAAACGACCAAACGAAAATTGCAATGAAAATGCTCATGAAAATGTTGGGAATGAAATTTGTAAACAAGGTGGCAGGAAGTATCGCAAAACTCCAGATTACGATGCACCAAAATGCGGTGGCTGAAAAGATACCAGCTAATATTGGCGACTTTGGAAGTGGCTTGTCATCAATTAAATACGTTGGTATTATGGTCTTGCTGATGATATAGATCCCCAATGCAAAAGACGCAAATGCCAAGACCAACTTTGGAAAAGCCAAGCCCTGAGACGTCGTACATATGCTCAAGGAAATGGGTAAAAGAAGGAATGGGGCAATATATGTTGACACCTTGCCTACTTTGGGGCCAACCCATCTGCGCTTGGGTGCCCAGTTGTTCTTGGGATCTCGTCCAGAGTCTATCAAAACCTTTTGCCACGCATGTAAGCAGTTCATATCTTTTGCTATGTCAAAGCTATCTTTGCCCAGATCATTTTTGAAAAAGATGTCCGACCCACCTTCCACTAACGCCTTCATCACATTCTTGTGGCCACGCATAAAACACCAATGTAGAGGAATGAACAAACTGTCGTCAGTTTTCGATACATCCGCACCAAACCTCAACAATGCATTAACTGTAAAAATGTCATTTTGATAGCTGGCCCAATGAAGAGCTGTTCTGTTGGATCCATCAGGTTCATCAATATACAACTTTTTCTTGCTGTTTTGGTCACAACAGCTCAACAATAGATACACAACTAATGTAATATTTGAACTGTGAACGGCCAAGTGAAGTGCATTGTAGGTTTGCAAATCCCGCAAATTTGGATCGGCCGAAGTATTTGAAATCAAGTACTGAACAATATAGACAAGTCCATTCCTGCAAGCCCAATGAAGTGGCGTGGCTCTCAATTCTCCTCCGTACAAATTTGGGTCTGCTCCATTGTCAACCAAGTACTTTACCAAAGTGAGCCTATTGTTGATACAGGCCCAGTGGAGTCCGCTAATACCGTCACTAAATGTATCATTAACCTTTGCGGATCCCGACTCAATTAACGCTTTTGCCGAATCAAGTGATCCTTCTTGACAATATTGCATAAACTTGGCCAACTCTGGATTCAAATCTTGCTCGGTGGGTTTTGGAGCTTCGTCGGTAGTTGAGTTGTTTAGTCCAGATTCTGATTTATCGACAACACCATCTGTTGATTTGAGGGAAGCCGAGTCAACGTCATCAGTGTCGTTGTCTTGATGTGACGTGGGTTTCGTCGTCTGTAGTGTATCTAATGGTATAGTGTCTGATTTTTGTGGACTGGTATTGTCCTCGGTAGAACCACTTTGGCCCAATTGCGCCTTATCCTTAAGGTCCCCATTTGCTGACACATCCCTCTCAGAAGTCATTTTTGGTGATTCAGCCTCTGTTGTGGTAGTGGCCCCTTGAACACGAATAATTCTTCAATTTTTTTTATTTTTTTTAGTTCACTCAACCTCGGCAAAAAGCCGCACTACGCATTGCCTGGCGAAGCCTTTTTGTCGCAAAATGTGTGACCTTTGATATCTGAGATTCATGAAGTCTAAGACACCATTTCGGGAAAATACATCTCCATTGAAAATAAGCAGATATCAAAAGAGATAATCAGGAAAAAATGGTTGCAGTTATGGTTACACTGTTTTTCGTTTTTCATTCTACAATTACTAAAGAACTTCCCAAAAGAGCTAGTTAGTAAATCAAATTCAAGGTAAAGACATTTGCAGAATTAAACATCGTTTTATCCTATTTATTACAAACTAAACTATTTTAAAACATAGGATGCTTTACGAGATCTAAAATCCATTTTTGCACGAACTAGATCATTCCTTTCTACAATCACGTTAGCTAATATTATGATGCAGTAAAGAGGCATCAGCTTCCTTGACTTTCGAATCGGATATGGACAGTGGCTTTGATGAAGTGGTGACTGTAGCATTAATTGTTTGTGTCGTGGACCCACTGGTGCCTTTGGTACTGACACCAGAGTTTGTCGAAGAAATACTCGAGCTGCGGGGCTTTCGTTGTAGCAATTCCAAGATTTGGTCGCCAGCTTTGATAGCACCTGGTTTAATCGTTTCATCAACGAATGGCTTTACCTTTTCATCAACAAATGGTTGCACAGTATCATTGATGAAACCGGGACGAACCTCATCTTCAGAAATTAATCCCTGATTCTTTTGTCCCACCCTTATCAAGTGCTTCTCCAACAATAAAAAGTTTCTCGAATTTGCTTTGTATCCTATTTCAATCAAACTTCCAATGATGGGAATGAATCCCAACCCAAAATCAATTACAATATTCAACAAGAATAATAATTGTAAATCCAATGGCAACCCACCCTGTATCTTTCGAGCAAGCGCCAATAATTGCAATGACCAGTAAGTTTGTATTACTGTCCCCACAACGGGGACCACACTGACAATGCTTGCCCATCCAAACTGAACCCCGAGCAACTTGAACCAGTAATCGTATCTATATGCCTTTTTCTTGAAAGTTTCCAAGACGCTAATGTCATGCTTGGAAATTCCCTGAGGTATTCTTCGAGTTATTTTCTTGTACTTGGTACCATTTTTCTTTTCAATGGGAACATATTCATAGTAAGGGTCTTCAACCCCTAATTTGTTCCATTGGTTATCTTTCAAAAGTCGGTTAGCAACCCATTTTACTATAAATGAGGACATTTCTTTTGGAGACTGTTGTAGGGTAGATGCTTTTGCTAACTTGCGAGAACCTTTTAATCTATTTATATTATTAAATATGGTTTTGAAATTATATAATATGCCACAATATCTTCGGTGCACAAAATGCTAAAATCACAAGATTGCTATGTTGCTATTGAGAAGCTGTGTGTACAAGAAAGTTTCACTGACAACACTATTATGCTAACTTGGATACGCGATTCTAAAGTTGAGGCTTAGTAGTTGCAAGTGTTGGTTTTGGCTGTGACTTTAAATATGTCATTTAGTTGTTTGGGGCTGGATTGGAGTATGGTTTTCACTGGGTAAAAATGGGATGCAAGGATTTAAACAGTACCCTCTTATGTAAAAACAGGCACCACCTACTGCCGAATTCGAATAACCTCATCCTGTATCCTGTTTGCTCTCTTATCATCCCGTAAAATCCTTTACATGTACCATTAGTGTCGCGTTAAATATGGCGGATTAAAAACTCCTTAAATCCGTTTACAATCCTCGCCGCAATTTAAACGATTTTGGCTCTCAAGTATAAAATATACAGACCTGAAATTCACAAAAGTATTACTTTATCCACTACAAGTTTCTCTATAGCATCTCAAGCCTTATCATAAACCATGGTAATTATCAAACGGCTCTTTATTAAAGCCTCCAACAACTATGATTCAAATTTCCAGATTGTTCCAGTAAATACCAACCAACCACTTGAAATCAAGTCTGATATTGGAGTATTCAAACTTTTAGTCAATATAAAACAATTTGATGGCTCCCAACCCCATTTGTCGAATAGTCTATACAACCAAGAGGACAAGACATATCTCAATGGTGAGAAAATTGATTTTAACCCAACCGCAAAGGCTGAAGGGCCAGAACCTAATTTGCGAATCAATATCGAATTCACACCAAAAGAAGATATCAAAGGTGGTGACTTATTATTTGGTAACGATTTCACCTATTCCATTAAAGACTATGTCCCTACGACCTTGATGAACACCGGCTTAAAATTGTTCAATTGGTTTGTTAATGACACCGTCAAGGGTGACGTTTACAATGACAAACCATACCTTTATGGCTTGGCCTTGAATAGTTTCAGTTATATTGGCATAAACCAACCAAAGCCTTTGGGTATTATTAATGAAAAATCACATCCAATGAACTACAAGGAGGATTTCCAAGGCAAGGTTGAAAATGCCCCTAAATCATCAAATGAAAGAAAGAAACGTTTCAACACCAAGCCCAAATGTGATGAGTTTACTTTCATCAAAGGGGAAAAATATGATTTTCAATTTGACACCGACTTCTTGAAGCTTGCAGATTCAAAGTATTTAGTTTCAATCCCAAAGTTTGACTTCGATGTCAGCAGATATGCCAACGACACTTTAAACAACGTCAATTGGGTCATAAAGGAAGGGGGAATTGATGGTGTAGGTCTTGGAAAGTTGGGATTAATCATCAACTTTGCTTTAAAGACAGAAGAGAAGGAAGAACAATAGAGAGGGTAAGTAGAGTATGTATAGAGATATTTTTTGAATTCATTTGGTAGCCTTTTTAGTGAACTTTTGTGTAAAAATAGTTTCTGTTTTGTTTTCACTTCCTGCTTTTCTTTAAAAAAAACGTACTAGGGAACTTCCATATCCACACTTTTACGGAGCCATACTAGTACAACATTTGTATTATAGAAGCACAAAGCATTGAAACTGTATTTAAAGGCACAAATTTATGTCTAAACTGAATAATCACAGCAATAATACTTCATCCTCAAATCTACGGCGATATGGCGATGATGAGCTTGAGTCATCTATTGGGGCAATATTTGATAACATTGACTTTAGCTCCATGGAGAAGCCAGAGGTGAATGATGAGGGAGCAAGTTTGGAGTCCAATAACCGAAGGTTGAGTGAGAATCGCTCTCAATACTCTACAAATGACAATGACGATGGGATGAAGGACGCAATAAATAATGCTTTGAATGATGTGTTTGACTTCAGAGACAAACACAATGAGGAAGAGGGGAAGAATAATTTACAAGGTTTTAAAGATGTGGATGAACTGAAACATCCTACACATGGCTACACAGAGGGTGACACGTTGCCAAAGCTGACTGAGTTAAATAGTGCACCCTCAGTACCGGAGAATCAAGAATTGGATGATGCTATAGATAGTGCTTTTGATAACCTATTACAAGATCAAGTGCCAAGCCAGGGCGAGAAATCTCCAAAAGAAGACTCTCACAAAGTGCGCCATCAAGAGGACTTAGCGTTGGTACTGGAGATCAATTCTTTGATGCAAACAGGAGCACAAGAAGAAGTCCAGAACAATTCTGTGAAAGCACTTTCGACAAGACGAGATAAGCCTTCTGAAACGGAGATTCCAAGCTCTTTGGTTAAGGGGGAACTAGATCAAGAACGTAAAGAGGCAGACAATTATTTTGCTCTGAAGAGTGTTGAAGTTGATAACGAGGATGATGATTTAGATCTTGCAATCCGTAGTGCGCTAGGGAATATTTTTGAAAAGGAGTCAGCGGAAGCTACTGCGGAAAATAAAGACCAAGTGGTGGAAGAACAAGTAAAAATCGCACAGAGAGAGGAAGTACCGTTGCGTAATGTTGATTTGACCCCATTAGAAGTAAAACAGGATGAGCCAGTGCTAAACATTTCAAAACAAGTACTAAATATACAATCAAACAACGAGAAGAGTTCTTTGGCATCGACGGCAGTGCCATTTGAAGGAAAGGATAAGACACTTGATCGCTTGGTGCTGCAAAATCAAGGTAAAACCACCACTTCACAAAATGAAGATCTTGATGAAAACTTGAGAGGTATTATTGGACAAGCATTTGACGAAATATTCGGTAAGGATATGCCTGGTGCGACTAACACATACCAGTATCCACAGCGTGAAGCCCCCAATAAATCGCAATCGAAATCGCAATCGAACCAGGCAAAGTCTAGGAAACGTCATGTCTTAGAGTCCACGCTAAATCCAGCAGTGCAAAAGAATATTGTTCCTGATCAGGCGATACTCCAACCATCTGGACACCTTTCGCCTCATATCTCATCATCAGACACGTCTAAGAACGAACAGGATGAAGATCAATATCTCCTTGATGCCATTGGGGCTGCTTTTAGATCCATCGAGGAAGCAAGTTCTATAAAACAACCCAGTGATTCGAGCTCTGACTTTGGCTATCCAGTTTCAGTCGATAAGCTAATTACTGACGATACAAATAAAGACGAAAATTACAAAACCAAACCGTATGAAAAGGTAGGTGATAGCACAGCAGCATCTGACCAGGATATTGAGGACGCAATTGCTGATGCGTTCAAAAGTGCCATGCTGGCCGAAGCAGTCATAAGTGACAAAACAACAGGTAAAAGCAAGAAAAATGACGCAAAGCAAATAACAGCCCGAAAGAAGTCTATTAAAACGTTGGCTAACGAAATTACACAACAAGTTCAAGATCACTTTAAAGGAGAACGGAGGGTTAGAGAACGTTTATCACTGGTAACTGGATTACCCTATGGTCAAACTATCTCCGCTTCACATTTACAAAAGGATACTGAGCTGCAAAATATACAGAAGGGGAAGTCAGATAAAAAACTCCACACAGTGATTACAAGTGCGGTAAAGAATGCTGTAGGTACGGAGAAGGATGACGAAATTGTTGATATTGAACAGTTGCAAATGAACGAGATTCTACAAAATGCTATCAAGATGGCTTCGGAGAATCCGCAGGAGCTTATATCCGATCTAGAAATTGACCAGATTATTGATCTACGCGAGCAAGGAAAAACAAACGTTGCTCAAACAAGCAACGCAAGCCTAGTAATACAAGGAGCTAAACATAAACCATTAAAAGTTTCTAAACCCACTAAAGATCAGCTACGTGTCCCACCATCACTAGACGACAAATACAAAACATCTCTTTCTTCTGAGGCTCCAAGGAGTCAAGGTGACAAATTTAGTATCGCATCAGGGCCAATTTCAAAAGAAGAATATGCCAAAAATTCGTTTCTTGCAAATCCGGATGTCAAGTCTCAAATTTCTTCGGTTATGAGCTCTTTGACCTCTAGAATCAACAGTGGAGAACTTGCTGATACAAATATTTTATTCACGATCCGGCAGATTACGGAAGAGCTAGCCTCTGGGGGGTCCTTGACCAAGTTCTTATCGAAAGATGGCTCCTTGGGTGAAAATGTGTTCAACAAGGAAGACAGGGACGTGAAAATGCTTGCGAATGGACTTGGTATGGCACGGAAATTTCTTCTTGGCTTTCCGTCAGAGTCAAGTGCAGAAGGAAAAGCCGTTGATGAAATTAACACAATGATATCTAACTTGAATGAAGACTTTTCGGAAAATCTTTTGCTTACGAACGAGAAAGCCGAATTCATTTCCACCATTGCTAATTCGACATTGACTGCACTTGTTGACGACACTATAGACATAAAATACTCTTTCGAGACTTTCGACGAAGTGGAATTGTTTAAAAACACCTCACCCGAAATTCGTAGAAGGACGAGAATAGGAAATAGAGAAAGGAAAAAAAAGTGGAGGGAGGAAAATGCAGAGAGAAACAGGGATATGGAACTCAAGACAAGGGTGATAAAGAAAGCTTACGTAAAGTTTGGCGAGGGAGATACCCCTAGCAAGCTATCGTGGATTGAATCTGAGTTTGAGAAAAGGAAGGCGAGAAGACAGCCTCGATCGCATACTGACGATGAAAGAAATGAAGATGTGACAGTTAAAACTGAGGATACTCCATCTCAAAATTCCAGTGAGAAAGTAGAGCAGGTCACTCAAGATAAGCGTTTAATCAACAATGTGAAAGATGTGCTCAAGATATTCTACGAGAGACCGGACCATCTAAAGACAGCTTCACATGTGATAAAAGTCGCCAGTATCATAGGGGCATTGTCACTTCTACATTCTGAATCATTTCAATTGAATGAAGCCATAATGTTGGCTGGTATGAAACTGATTTTGAAGAGCATTACTGATCGCCTACACAGCCTTGATGGTCATAGAACTATGCTAAGCCTGGCTCAGTTGCGGACCGAATCGTCAAAACGTCGGTTATCGGAGATTTTAAACAACGCGAAACGTTCGAAGGTTGATATGTCTGCGTTTCCAGCCTTCGATGACACTGCATCGCATAGCTTTCATGTTAAAGATGGCACAGTGAGTAAACCCAGCTTACAGTTGCCTCGAACATCCCCATTTATTTCGCATAAAATAGGCAGCAGTGCCAATGCAACTACCACAGGATTGCGAAAGCCTAGCTCTTTTCAGAAACCAAAGGCGTTCGAAAGGCCAGGGAGAGACAAAAGTAGAGGGGGAAGCTTAGGTTCGCCTAAGTTATATTCTGCATCTTCGTAGTATATTCATTACACAAGCTTAAGATATGGGGCTAGTCTCCTTGTGCAACCAATTATACGCCCGTCTGTTATTTAACTCTAGCAATTTTTCGCTAAAATCGTCCCAAATGCTCTGATGGTAGTCATTTATCCACTGTATCTCAATCTGCGACAAATACTTTGTATCGATCAACAGCTTTGCAAAGGGAACTTTTGTTAAATACTTGAATCCCAAGAACTTTTCGCCGTTTTTGGTTTTCCCAAAGGAGTCATCAAATTCGATGACTTCCAATTCACTTTCGACTCTAAAACCAAATTCGCCGTCAACATAGTAACCAGGTTCGTCAGTCAATATGGCACCGGGCTGAAATAAGTCTAACTTGCTTGTGTTGTTTACCGTGGGCAGAATATACAAAGGCCCTTCGTGAACCAAACCAAAGCTTCCTACACCATGCCCAAGCCCATGTGCATAATCAAGTCCATGATTCCACAAGGGTTGGCGAGAATACGAGTCCAACACAATTCCTGTTCCCCTTGACTTTGCTGGGAATTTTGCCATAGCAACAGCCAAGTGTCCTTTCAAAACAAGAGTGTAATACTTCTTAAGTTCGTCTGTTGCTGCAGATCTGTCAAAAAGGTAGGTTCTCGTTATATCAGTTGTTCCCTCTAAATAATGTGCCCCGGAGTCCAACAAATACACTTTTGCGGGGTCAATAGTTTCACTTTGATATTTGGAGGGAGCATAGTGGATTATTGCGGCATTTGGACCCGTCAGAGAGATTGTTTCGTAGCTTAAACCTTTAAAATTGGGTAGGTTCTTCCTAATGCTGTAAATTTTCCTCGATGCATCGTACTCGGACACTTTCACATGCTTGTTGAGTAACTGGTGCTCTAACCAAGATGTCAACATGATAAAAGCAAGCGAGTCCTTGTACTGAGCAATTTTTGCATTATGTGATTCTGTCTTGTTTTTGAAAATTTTGAGGTTGGCAATTATCGATTCGTGGATAATAAAGCGTTTGCTGAATGAGTCAGGAATTATGTCATACAATGCCCACGATGTTGCCTCTTTAGTTGGAAGAACGATCTTCAAACTAGGTTCAAATGCAGTTGCATGTAATTGAGCAGCATCATGATAAAAGTCTTCGTATTCGGCAACAGTCAAATCTTCTATGGTTGACAAATATTCCTTCAAGCTGGGACCACTGTTATCCAATTTTTGATGATCCACATACAAAGTTACAGATGTTAGTGTCACGATAGCGTAGGAAAAAAACACAGGAGCAAAGGGTATGTCTGTGTCAGCTCGCAAGTTGAACAACCATGCAATGCTGTCAAGCTCAGTCACCAAATAGTGTGTACCACTCTTCTCTTTCAAAATTGCCCGAACTCTTTTAATCTTGTCGTTGGAGTGTTCCCCACTGTACTTTAATTCCCATTGGTAGATGGGTCCCAAAGACCTCTTTGGCTTTTCAGCCCCCCAAACCTCATCAACAAGGTTAACTTCAGAAAATGGTTTAAATTGGAAATCAGAAGGGCTGTTATTGAAGAATTCTCCTAAAGAGAGACTAAGCGTTCTTGGATCACAAGAAAGAACATTACTGAAATCATTAACGACTGCTGCTTTGATTGCATATTGGTACCAGAGTTGATACCCGAGGGTGTTTTGTTTATTCAATTTCCATAGCTTGGGGTCTAGCTGTTTCTGTGCTTGCAAAAAGTACCTACCATCAGTTGACAAAATCGCTTCACCTGTAAGTCTTTCAGGATCCGTCAAGGTTACAACTGCAACACCAGCGCTTCCCGTGAAACCAGATATAAACTCGCGTCTTTTATCAGCTAATGCAGTTTCTTCTGAATGGTGCTCGTCTTCAGAGGGAATAATGTAAACTCCAATCTTGTGTTTGCGCATTTGTCTTCTCAAACCCAACAAACGTTCGGCAGGACTGAGTGTTGATAAGGGATAGGAGCCTTGCACAGAAGGCAAATCCGGTAAAGGATCGTCATCATCCGAGTAATCAATGATATCATTGCCGTCTTGGATAAATGTGTTACTTGCTGATTGTCTCAAACTGATGGGAAAACAAACTTGGAACGGATTGAACATAGATTTGAAAAAGGTTTGGGACAGTGATGTGTGGGTTGAAATCTCATCTTCCTCTTCCAATTTCCTAGTTCTTGCCAATAAAGGCTCTTTTTCTGATAAGAACAGTGACATATCGACGATTTGAAATTACAGAGAAAGAAGTGGTGATGATCGTTTTGAAAAGTTTAAACTGTGGTGAATGTCAGTTTTGTGATTGTGTTTTCACCTGTGCGGCATCAAGTTCCATGCGAAATTGTTGTTACAACAACTTTTCTGGTAGCAGCATCCTGGAGTTTAAACACCGAGCCAATGTGAAGCCAGCATCTAGAACACGAATAACCGAGTTTTGAAGCAAAGCACAATTTGATTACAGTTGTGCTGCAAGAACAGTTTTTGGGTAATAGTAGGACACTCATTTTCTTATTCACATATTCGGTGAATAACTAAGGTCGACGCAATAATATTGTAAGATATGGCCATTAATGTACCCTATAAGGAAGGACAGAAGGTTCAAGTCATACTTTATGTCATGTTGGGTTCTTGAGTATTGAGAGGTGGCTGACCCATACTAAGTGTTACGCGCTACCGATTTCGTGTAACAAAAGACACGTAAAAATTTGACAAAACCAAGACGTTGCGTGGGTAGTGAGGTTGATTTGGTGATAGCAATTGATATGTTCAACTTGGTAACACGCGTTCAGTCTGCTGCCAACCTGGCGTTGACATCGGCCAGTATATTATCCGGAATAGTCGTTGTCTTAACCTTACTTCAATTATACAGAGACAACGTTTGGTCAATTGATACCACAACAATTTCTGGAATAGAGGCAAAGTCGTCCGTCAAGTATTCATTTCAATACGGCTCAATTAACAGGAAGCCGAAAGAGAATGTCAAAATGTCTTTTGATTTAGATACTGATTTGAGCGATCTTTGGAACTGGAACACCAAACAGGTTTTTGTCTATCTAACAGCAGAATATCCAGGAAAATCCGAAGGAAGCTCCAACAAGGTAACCTTTTGGGACAAAATTATACGAGACAAAAACGATGCCAAATTAAACTTGAAAGGTCAAAGGGGAAAGTACTCGGTCTGGGACGTGGAGAAGGGATTTAGAGGAAGAAACGCTACTGTCAAATTGGAGTGGAACATTCAACCACATATCGGCCCCTTGATCTATGGCGAAACTTCAAACGTTGGGGTCTTGCAATTCCCTCAAAATGAGAATAAGTAGTGGTGGTAGTGCTGATAAAATGATCTATAATTGTGTCAATATATACATATATATATATACAAGAATATGGCTTAGCTGCCAAATGTATACTATGCCAGTGATTATTTTTTAATTGTCCTCTAGGTTACTAACCGTGCTTGGTATGAATATTTTGGCTTTATTATGGTTGAATAGTAATTCTCTTAAAACATCCTTTGTTCTTCGCAATCTAGTGTCCTGTGATGAATTCAAGTAATCGACTTTACCGTTAAAAGCACTCAAGTTGGGGTAATAACTAAGATCGGAATTGATGTAAGCGAATATTTTCGGATATTGCTGAGCGAATGACACCTCGTTTTGTCTAATGTTGTTGCAGTATTCTGAAACCACCCTCATTAGTAGCCTTGATGTTTCATTGAAAAGTCTTGGTTCGTTGCTAACATCACGAGCAGGATTGAAGTAGTCGATGAAGTTAAATTGGTTCATGGAACGAGAGCCGTATGGATCTAAGTTTATGTTAAACAACCTTCCTGAAGAACTTCTCAAATAGTTGAGCTCTTTCAAATGAGCTCTATCCTTATCCAACGACTTTATACCAAAATAGTCCGAGAGAATTTTGAAATTTTCAGCAACTGCTTGTTCGTCATAAACATCACACAAATGTACCATGCAAATTTTATAACATAGTTTCTTCTGTTTGTACAATTCAAGTTGTGATAAGTTACCCATAATCAAATAATCTTCAATGATTTGCATAATGTTGACGAAATGTACAGTCGGTGCTTGCTTTAAAAAGTAGGATAGTAAGTAGTTGTAATCAAACACATTTGGTTGTACTCCCATCTCAAGTACATCAATTATCTCCTTTTGATGATCAATTCCGAATTCATTTACTTGAATAAGGTACTCCATGCGTTGTATAGTGAAATCAGCCAATGTTTCGTTAAGTATAGGAGCAACGCAAACATCTCTTCCCGTCTCTTGAATGCAGGTAAGGAACATGCTCCTATAAACTTCAAACTTTTGCTCCAAAAACATGCCATATTCAGTGCTGTTGACTCTCTTGTAACAAATGGCCAAAAACCGATCAATCTTGGCTCTCAAATCAAGTGGCAATTTCCCATCAAAAGACGTTTCACAAAACATAACGAATCGGGAAAACAAGTCGCTTCCCTTCTTTAGCCCAACGGATTCCACATACTTTATCAAAATGTCGCAGATTAACACACTATCTTTTTTGAAGTCAAGTCTTGGGTTTGACTTGGGCTTCTCACCATCAAACCCATACAACTGAAGCATCTGTTTCAACATTTCTGTACTGTTCTTATAGCTTCGATCGTACCTTTTGTCCAAGGACCGCATCGCTTTCATTACATATTTGTACGACTCAGCGCTTACCAAAATCCTCTTTTGATTCATTTCATTGAAGAGCTTCATAACATTCAATGGTTTATAATTTTGATAAACCAAGTTTTGTTTCAATAGTGGTAAATACAATGTTTCATCTAGTCGCATACGATGAGCAATTTGACTCTTTAAAAGACTGTTTATCGTCTTTATAGGCCTACCTTTAAGTTGCCTTAGCGAATTCGCCTGTGAATAGTCAATTGCATCTTGTCGTAAACAATCCATTACAGCGTTCAAAAGGTCTATACCCCCAGTGTGAGACTGGAATATAGAAAGCTCAGTTTGCAAGGATAGCGTGACAATGTAATTAATCTTGATGTCGTTGTATAGTTTAGTTTTTCTTGAAATGTGGCCACGCCGCCAGAGTAAGTAATTCTTCAACTGAGATGCGTACACCTGCAAATCAGAGAATGGTGGGCTGGATTGGCTGTGAGCATAATATGCTATCTCATCGGCTTTGGAGTATTGTCCCAATCGGGTGTATGCGGCAATCAAGCTAGAAGTAAAGACAGAATCATGTTTATGAAACTTGCGTGCCAATTCAGCAAGTCTGTCGAGGTCCTTCACAGCGCAGTTCCGGGAAAAGTGACGGGCAACAATTCCTAAAGCTTCACCTGATACAATGCGAAGTTCTAACGTCTTTTCTTTTTGAAGGTGTGTCTCAAGTGTTTCCAACACCAACTCATATGCTCCATCTAGTAACATCAATTGCAAACTATAGGGAAAAGCCTGCGCTACACCATCTTTCCTTGCCTTTTCTTGAGTTACCAAGGACACATAATTTTCGAATATGGCAATCAAGTCTTTTTGATTTTTTTGCCTAATCTTGGCTTTCATCCTGGCTATAAAAATAGCTGCATTCATAATTAACTTTCTGTCCAAGATTTGTTCATATAATCTTTCCAACTCGCTGTCAGCCTCAAGAAATTCCAATGCTTGCATTGTGATACCATAGTGAATAGTATCCGGTAAGTTTCCCTTCCCATACATGTTCTCAAACCTGTCTTGCAATGATTTCCAATCCTTGTGCTGAACGCAAAGATCAAGAAAAATGGCTTCCTGAGATTCATCATCATGAAGATCTTCATTTTGCAAATAGATCTCATATACTTTGTTCTCATCAAGCTTCAAACAAGCCTTCATAGCATATGCGAGATCCAAGTGGTTCAAAATATCCCTCCTGGGAAGGTTTCTTTGTCTCCACTGTGCTGACTTGAATTCAAATAGTCGATACGTCACAAATGGTGCTCTTTCTGAAAGGGTCCTCATAAGATGGGTCAAAAAGTCATAGGAAACCGACACCCCATGGTACTTTTCAACGATCTTGATGATGTCTTGAAAGTAGTAATCAAATTTATCTTCACTAGATGGAATACCAATCATTTGATATAGAGTATCATACTCGGATGGACCTTCGACGGTAAGCCACTCATCGTCTTCAACAACTTTTGCGTACTTGACAAAACTTTCAATAGCCCTCATTCTAGATTCGTAATTATCACCTGCTGCCAAGGAATTCACAACAAGAGCAATCACAAAGTCTCTCTTTTCACTTGTAGGAGTAGCCTCGTCGGTCAATTCAGACATCAACTTTTGCGCGTTGAATTCAACTAAACCGATTGGAGTTTTCTGTAGCTCCAAGGTCATTGTCACCTTATCTAAAAATGTGTATCCGTGATGCGGAACGAACTTTTCCATTGATGGAAGAATGAATTTTTCAAAAATGTCAAACCTACCTGTATGCAATATCAACAGCAACAACTTCTCCCTTTGCCCTAATATCTCCTTTTGTAAATCAAGTAGAGCCGAATTTTCAGTTAGACTCAATGCTTTCCAAAATAGCCCGATGAACTCGAATCCTTTATCCTGGAACTCAAAGGTTGCCTCCACTATCTTGTAAAAATCTGTTTTTGCTCGAGGAATTTCGTCTACAGCCAAATCACTGAGGCCAGTTAAGAATTTATTTCTCAATTCTTCATCGAAAATCAAGGCATTTGCTTTCTTATATTCATGGTCTAAAAAGCTTCCCAAAAACTCCTTGGTTGGTGCTTTCGTATGATTGAGCGTGGAATACAGTCGAGTGCTGATTTTGCTGCTGCACTTCGTGTTTATCACAGATGGTCTAGCTAATATTGGTGAATTCCGTAGTCGTAGGATGTGATTCAGCTCTTCACTACCATACCATTTGCCAGCAGATGATCCTAACAGAAGCAGTAGTTGAGTAGTTGAGTGCTTGTGACAACTGCTGATCGCATTTCTTATGGGTAAAGTATTTCGCAGTCGTATCATCATATGCTATATCATGCTATTAAATTGGTAACTTCAAACTATGTACAAGAATGTGTGAAATGTATTGTAAGACGCTAGCTTCACTCGTATGATTTGCAGATGAGAGGTGAAAAATTCTGAACAGGTGTAGTCGAGCTACCAAATTCAGAAAATCTGAAAAGTCTACACACGCATTGAATCTTGAATTAACAACTTTTAGTTAAACTATATAAACTATTAACAACAAACTAGCTTCTGTAAAACATCATTTCATCACTGGGGTAAAGAAAGGGTCTTATTTTTCAGAGTCATTAAATCAGTTTTTTTTACCTGTAGTCATGGAAGTTTGAGCTCCTCATACAGTGTGAATATAAAAAAATCATCACCAAAATAAAACGCCTCAAAATCTTAGTTCTACAATGAAATGACGTTTCAAGACACTAGATTGGCATAATAGAACGCTTCTCAGGCTACATGTTCTGATGTTAGTACGTCTCTTCCCTTGGCGAATGTATGCTCCTAACTGTTCAGCAAACGACCTTTCATCAACTACTCACCAGTCAACATTTCTAAAAGTTTGTACACAAGAAATGCGACTCCTTCTCCTTAATTGTACAAAAGAAGGGACTGAGAGCGAATTATGTCCGCCCGGTCGGATAAAATCATCATGAAATAAGAGCAACAACAGTTTTCCTAAAAGGTTTCACATACTCTAATGTGCAAGTTAGTATATTAATCATAGCAGAATGGAGCAGTTAATGTCAATGGCTCATACAAGGCTGAAACTTAACGAATATGCTTATTGTCAACCCATATACATTCAGTTGGAACAATTGGTAAAATGCAATTAATCATCGCCGGGACATGTAACAGAATTGAAGTTTGATTCCACATACATATGATTGAAGCTAGATGATCACTTGACACATGCAAGTCTCAATCGATACCACTAGTACAAATAGTGTTGGGATGAAAAGAGTTCTGGAAAAGTTTTCATTTTTGAAATTTTTTTTTCTCTTCTCTCTTTTCTCTTTTTCAAAGTTTTCTATTTTTGCAATGAGTTGATGACTGCTACCACTCAAGACGCAATTATCCTCGAACTTATCACTTTTGAAAAGTGAATTTAGATATGGAAATTGCGGATACGTAAGTTGTATAGTTAGCTATATTACAATTGCATTAGCAACTCCAGCTATAGAGAAGAGGTACAGGTACAACAGAAAGCTTGGCCTCGCCCTCAAAGAAATTGATTTAATTGGGAATGCAAAACTTTGATTCGCTTCAATTCTTCTCTGAGCTAAACCTTGAACTTGAAAAAATTGAGCTGACCGAAGATTTTCCCCTCGTCTCTTTCATCTGAGAGATGGCTAAAGTTCCACTTAACAATATCAAAGCGAGAATCAAAAACAACCATCCATTCAAATTCGATAATAAAAATGGAAAAATCAACGATAATGAACACTCAAATAACCAATGCAAGCTTGAAATGACTATCCAACCTTTGGACCTGGTCGACGAGGAAAAAATCTCCAATATGTAAAGCCAGCAAACAGGCAAAACTAATGAGTGGAATACAATGTCCATCAATACTGTAAGTGCTAGTATTATCGATGCACATTCTTTGTAAAGCTCAACCAGCAAACCCCAGTCAATATCTAAATTGAAATGAGTTGCCTGATTCGCTTCACCTGAAAATCCAAGGAAAATAATGGCGTAGATACTCATCAATAAGGTATCCACAGTCATCCCAAATACCAAGACGTCCTTTCTTCTTAGTAAATCAATGACCATCATTGGAGCTAAGATAAATAAATATCTCATTATTAAATCAAACTCCTGAACTATTCTAATTTCGCTCAAAGTCTTGACTTGACAAGCAATGCATATCGAATGTAGAGAATCTAGCAACTTAGTAACACTAGTAATGTCAATCGTCAATTGTAACAAAACTCCCGTGCATACTTCTCGGATATATTTTCTGCCAAATAAGGCGTTCATCGAGCAACTTCGAACGCTGGCGGTATTAGAATACCTTTTCACAACATAGTGCTTATCACCAAGTCGTTTTCTCTCGTGTTTGGACTTGCTTCTAACGGACTTTTCAGAATTGGCGGTTTCAATGCTTTCTAATATATCAGCAGCATTTTCCCACTCGTTATTTGACGCTAGCCACTTTGGGCTCTCAGGAAAGAACAATACGGCAATTGTGGCAAGGGAAAGGGGCAAAAGATCAACCAACCAGTGCAATCTAAGGTACTGTACATTTCCCAACACCTTCATTGCAATCATGGGTAACAGATATATGAGCAAATTTCCAATACTGGTTGCCAATATGTAAAGTGATAAAATCCGGCCCCGTCTCCTTGCTGGAATTATCTCATACTGAAATATGGGGATAACCACATGACTCATACCGATTGCAATTCCCTTCACCATTTTACCAAAAATAAGCAGTGAAAGACTCTCCGACACGAACGTGAATATAATACCGACAATCCAAATCAAGCATAGGGATTTTAGTGCCTTGTTATAACCGAAATGCACAGCTATCTCCCCTCCCAAGACACTTCCAGCTAGATTTACTTGTTAGGTTTTGAAATAAGGCAAAAGGCCCGTATCTAAGTGAGATTAATTACCAATTGCACCTAAGATGTTGCTCGATTTGAGTAAATTTTCTTCTATTTTTGTTGGATAATCGTAAAACTTGTTGAAGAAGTCTAAATACTGCAAACTCATGTATGAATACATCTCCATGCCTGACGCAAGTCCAAACAAAGACAAACTCGCTCCTATGACGTAACAATTGTAAATCTTAGCTGCTTTTTTTGTCTCCATTTTATCTGTTACTGGGGAAGTCCGTGGTGGGAGTGACAGTGTGGTTGTAAATCAAAAATAAAAGTTCCATTGCGTTTAAGCCAGAACAGAAGATACCAACGCAATCTCCCCACAATTTGCAATGAGTCATGATTTAGCTAGCAATTCAGACGTTAATGGGCATGACAGTTTGTATAGCCATTTACAACACTTTCTAAACGATGATAACATTGACCACAACTATCTAATAGCCAAGCAAACACTAGTAAATTCCCCAGCAATTTTACATATCTACACAGATTTCAAAGTTAAAATAAACAAGCCATTCAAAGGTCTGTCAAGTAAGTTGTTGAATGATGCAGAATATCAGTATTTAACTCCCCCAGAGGAGGACTCACAAATGGACGCGTTTGACGAGGATGATGACATATTAGAGGAGTTGAATACGTCTGCGACTGGGGGTATAGAGCAGGTCGAAAAGGAGGAAGACCCTGTTTTTGAGCTAGCTCATGTGCTTGTAAAGTATCAGTCTATCCTTATCAATGGAGTTGATTACAGATTCAAGTCAGCTGTGAGGTCATCATGCATAATACGGGCCAGTCTAGCTCAAGAGGAAGATCATATTCTTGTGTCGCTAAAATCTGGGTTTCTTCTTTTACTAAGAATTTTCCTAGTACCGAGGAATATCAGGGACATAGACTACGGGTATAAACCACTCCTGAAGGATCGACCTTTTGTATTCAAGCCATTTATTGTGCAATGGTGGAACTTGCAGCAGAAACTGAACTACCCAGAGCTCAATACAAGCGGATTTGTTCTCAGATCTTCCCCATCGGGACTTTCAACAATATCATGCTCAGCATCGCAGTCATTTCGTATTTACAAAACGGTGGAGCAGTCTAATTGTGGTACAGTCTTGCAGAATCATTTGAACGTCCCGTTGAATGGATTCTTGGTTGATTCTTGCTTTATTGAGTCAAAGTCCGCGATGCAGACCGACATGTTTTTAAGCTTAGTGTTTACCGAGCACAGGAGATTATACATAAATTTATTTAGCTGGTTTAATTTTTACTCCAGTGACCCAAGCATATCCAAATCTTCCCTTCCTTTGGAGAATACTTTTGACATACCCATATTTATTGCCCCGTTGCTCCAAAATTCCGCATTCCTTTTTGTTTCGCCTACGAAGCTAACAGTCATCTCGGTGCATGATATCATATCAGGTCATTACGAGTTTAAATCGTCCGACTTTCGAGCCGGTTCCTTTCCTACAAACTTTTATGTACCAAAGTCACAAATAAGAAGCATGGGAGATTATGAAGTGGACGAGGTTCTATTATCTTCAGATATAGGAGTTTTCTATTCGATCTTGATTTCTAAAAGTGGAATTGAATCGATAGCACCGATTGCTAGAGCTTCAGAAAATATTACGACATTTACGTTTGAGAGAACTTCTGCTGGTTATGAGCTAAAATATGCAAGTGCAAGTGGCCAAACCAATACCGTTATACTAAGTGAACTATATGAACCAGAGTATACATGTGATATTAAAAATGATACGAAGTTGTCTCACTCCAAGACGGAGCTATTGGAAAAATCGCCCAATTGGGCTCCTGTGATAGACTTTCAAGTTGTTCCTTCGTCTGTTTCTGGTGAGTTTGATCGTTTGAAAAAGGATGAATTTTGGTCCATCACTGGGTCTGCCTCGAGATTTAAGCTTTCACATATTAAGGTAGGTTATTACGGCTCAAAGCAAGATGAAGGCTATATAGAGCTCAGAAAAGTAGTTCAGTCCTGGCTATTAGAACTACTTTCAAGACTGGTTTTGATATGTGCCTTTTCATTTGAGACCAAACTTCTTGAATTTGATGGCAGTTCTGATAACGACATGGTTGAAGTTGAGGATGCAGAGATTTGCAAAGACGAGCAAACTATATTTTGTGGTGTAGTTAGGTCACTGCAGTTTACCAATGCTATTGCTGATGATGTTGATTATATAATTCAAGTTACTACAAGGTCGGTAACGGTGACCGATTTGACATCATTACACACTTGTATCACAAACCAATGCATATTGTTTGCTGAGGTAAGTGGTGATAAACTTCTCTTGATCATCGAGAAGGAGGAAAAAGTAATACTTTGCAAGTATATACTTGAGCTTGTTACTGCCACCGGTGACTTGAGTTTGGTTATCAACCCGCAGTTGGTATCTGAAGTGACCTTGGACTTTCAACCATCAATGATGAAGAGATGCATGGTAGGTAGTCTTGATATGATTGCTATTGGGTCATACGAGGGGTTCATTAATTTCTATCCGCTAAACGAGGAATTCTTGGCACCAATGGACAAATTTGAAATTCACAAACGGTTAATGCAAGTCTCCGAGTTTGTTCCCCATGACTTGGTATCGATAAAGAATCACATCTATGTGGGCGCTGCAGATGGCAACTTTGCCCAATTTTCCTTTGATGGTTTGACCAAGTGCGACTCATTTTTAAAGGTAGGAGATCGGGAGGTGAAAGTGCAAGCGAGCAGGGACCAAACCTTTGTCTACATACGATGCAAAGATTTGTACATGATGGATTTACAAAACAGTACCTATCCGATGCTTGTCCAGTTTAACGATATGACTCCCAAAATTGTAAACTCTGTGGTTGAATTCCCCCCTACTATTGAATTACCAACCTACAAAAGGTTAGGAGTATTTCGGGATAATGGCTTCGCCATTACCCATGTAACAACATTTACCAAACCTATGATCAAGCAAGTCCGCATACCGGATGAACCAAAGAAGCTATTGTATCTCCCACATATTTCAATTTTTATGTTGTTATGTGGTTCCCAACGTGGGAAGCTAAAATTTGTCGACCGACAGAAACACAGGATTTTGGAACACACAGAAGTTAACTCAAAGCGACCTGGTGAAGAGAGAATTCTAAGCGAAAATGAGGTGGCCCAATGTGCTTGCATATGGAGGATAGAGCGACACGATCGAACAAAATATAAAGTACTTCTAGGATGTTGTAATACTAGTAATGAGAAAAACACTGGATTGATTAAAGTATTGAATATAAAAAGAAATAAAACGAATGAAACCCCGTCTGTTAGCGTTTTGGTATTGGCTTCGTTTAATAGTCGAGAACCTGTAACACATATACAGCAAGTTCATGAGCGGATCTTTTTCACGGGTGAAAATACAATATATTACACTTTGTACGATGAAGTTGAAAAGAAGTTGATGCCAGTCCAATGTTTTAGGCAGTTGCCTAGTAAAATCATTTCAATGAGCGTTGCCGGAAACACTATTTTGGTTACTACACAAGAAGATTCCATATTCCAATTTGATAGTTCATCACTGGAAAATATCAAAGTCTGTTATCCTAAATCGATTCCCATGATTGACCAGGTTAATTATGGAGACAGGGTTTTTGCTAGTGCAAAAAACTCCCTGATTGTTGTCATGAATTCTAGTGATACAACATTGTACTCTTTAAAAGGAACCAAGATACATACTTCAGGTATTGCACGACTAGCGCCAGCTAACTTGACTAATCCTTGGTCTGAAAGTAGCGATGCTGGGAAAGTTGTAATTGGTGCAACAATAAGTGGCGAAGTTTTCCTACTACGATTGGTTGAGCAGAATTGCAAAGAAATTGAAGATTTAGTCGCCGAGTTGAACAAAAGTTCAGCATTTGATTTATCCTTAGTTGACCACTTGAATAAGATAAATCGTCCCTTCATAGGCAAATTAAGTGGCACAGGCTTGTTATCGCTCAACAAACCGTACTTCGATTACCCTGAGAATAGAGTTGATCCAAGTGCAAAAAAGGCTCTAATGGTCTTAGACTATGATCTTGATGAGTTGAGTGCAAATAGAGCAAAACTTAATATCTGAACCGTCTCGCGTTAAATAGTTATAACATATAAAGGTATTTAAACGAAATCATCCTGATTCGGCCTGGTTTTTCCTGCGTTGCCTCTCAAGTCTATACTGTTGAGCTGTTAATTCACCATTGTGTCCTTCTTCATTGGCATTGCGGAGCTCTTGCAATAAATTCTTAGCCCTTGATCCAACCGGAGAGTCCTTGTCCTCGGAATCATTATTTTCATCTCCACTAGCAGCCATTCTATCAGAAGAATCCATCTTCTCTTCAACAGGAGACACCAATCCTTCCGAGCCTTCTCTCAGCAAGTCAAATGAGCCCGACTTTGTCGGCGATGGAGGGCCGTCTGAAGAAAATTTCCGTTGGTTCTCCAAGATTTGGCGCCTCATCAATGCTTTCTTTCGCGCTGACGATGGCTCACCCTTTGTTGGCCCAACTGCCTTCAATTTTTCCAACAACGAGTCCATGACTCCTTCATCCTCATCATTCTCCGTTGCTTCATTTGGAGTATTACTGCCGCTGCTACTCTTCTTGTGAGCCGATTCGGCCAATTTCTTTCGTTGCTCGTAAATTCTAATCTCTTCTTCCCGTTTCAAGTTCTCAGTTTGGGCACGTTTAAACTCCTTCATGAAGTTTGTAAACTTGCTAATAAAAGAATTCTTGACAAACAGATCCTGTGCGTCCTCCCCAAAGTAAAGCATCAAGTCCTCAAATTGCTTCAAAGTAAAGTTGGCTTGGTCTAAAAGTAACCCTGCTTTTCTCGATGCTTTAGGCAATGCAGGCAAAACATGTTTTAGTACTCGATCCAGGGGATGGAATTTGGAAATGTCAGATAAGTTTCCAATATCAATTGAGCTTTGCACGTTTTTAATACTTTGAACATAATCTTTACAATCGTTGTATATGTGCTCAATTGAATATTTTGCAGTCTCATTACACTTGGCTAGCTCATCAAGGAATTCAAGATACTCAGGAAACTGGGTGCGAATAAGCTTTTCCACATAGTGCAAAAACGTCATACTATTCTTTTCATCCTTCATGAAACCCAAACGTTGCAATGAGCTCAATTTGAACCCACGAGCTTGTTTTGACGAATCATTCATATAGTTTCCCACAGTTAAAATGATTTCAAATACACCCTTTAAATGTTTTGAATTTTTGATACTGTCAACTGAAGCATCTATTGCTCTTAATTTGGAAACATAATCATCATAATCTTTTTCATATTGCGCAATGACTGATAACGCTCTGGTTCTTGACTTCCAATAGTGTTGTAAGTTATACATCAACTCCAAATAGATCCTGTCAGGTCTTTGCAACTCCGATGGATCCTTGTCCGGTTTGGTAATTTCGTCAGTCTTGTAATCGGTTGAGTATGGCTCAAAATTTCTTACTGCCGTATTGGTAATCTCTGTGATTTCTTCTTTGCCAAAAAATTCTAGGACAGATAGATTGGTGACGACATCTTTATCACATCTTAAAACCTTCATCACTAGTTCCATATCTGATAAGGAACTGAACGTATGCAAGTTAATACTAAATTGTTGTGCAACATCCCTGGACAAGAAAGAGACTTTATCCATATCTTCCTTCTTCTTTGAAGCCAATTTCTTGATCTCTTTAGCGGCAAAGATTATTTCAATTTCGTCAAACACACCCTTCGACATCAACTCACTTGCAAGTGTATCTGAGTTTGGTTCCTTCCAAAATGAGTTGTCGACTTCAGTATGATCAATCTTTTCCCAATGTAACTGTTTCAATTTCTTCTTTGGTCGTGGGACATTACCCAAGATAGGTGATGGAGATGGTGATTGTAATTGAGGTGAGTTTCTAGAAGAACCTCCACTTGACAAAGGTGGCGGAAGCGGCGGAGCAGGCGGTGCCGGTGGCGCTGAAGTAGAGCCATTCAAAAAAGATGGAGGAGGAGGTGCTGGTGGTGCTGGTGGTGCTGGTGGTGGAGCAGAGTTTGAGGACTCTCCACCCAATAATGAAGGTAAAGGCGGCGGTGGTGGTGGAGGAGGAGGAGGAGGGAGTGGGGTAAGTGCTGAATTTGAACCACTTGCTGTTTCTGCTGACGGTTCCTCCGGCACAGGTTCTCCAGAACCAGGTTCCTCTTGTTCCTTGCCAGATGTTGATGTACCACGTTCACCATTTGCATCACGCTTAGCTGCGTCAATAGGCTCTGCTAATTGAACCTTGTTGCTCAACTCTTTGAGGAACAGAGGATCCATGGATCCGATTGTAGTCATTCTATTCAGTTTCTTGTGCTCCTTCACTTGTTGACTAGAAACGTCAGCATTGGTCTGTACCTGACCTTTCATATACTTGTCCTCAAGTCTGTCCATCACCGAAGCTCTCTTCTTTGCTGCTTTAGGTTTATTAGCCTCAGCCAATTGCTTTCTCAACTCATTTCGTAATCGCTCAACCTCACTCAAAACCTCTTTCGTCTTGTCCCTTATTGGATCATCAGTGCCCGGTGAAAAGCTGTAATCGTCTTCATTGTGAGCACTAAAGTCAATATTGAAATCTTTAAAGCTATTTTCCAACTCTTGCAACCTTTCCACAGCAAGGTACTTTTGTTTGCTGAACATGGAACTGGTATTGAACTTCATAACGTCATTGGACTCACTCTGCAAATTGGACAATTTCTTTCTCAACCCATCAAGCTTCGTCAAATCGTCACTGCGCATTCCTCGCTTTTTCCCAGGTAATGGAACGGGAGGCAAGACAACTTCTGGCTCTGATTCTGGTTCGGGTTCACCATCTGAATCAGACTCTGATACAGTTTCAATGACCTCTGGTTCCGAAGGGCTTTGCTCCTCCAATTGTGGTTCCGTGTATGTTTCAAAGTCGGTCATTTCCAATTCCCGCGCCATATTTTCAATGTCTCCCATCTGGTCTCTTAAAGCTCTCAATCTCTTCAGCGGTTCCACTTGAGTACCCAATCGTTTATTATCCAATCTCGACTCAGCTCTTCGACGATGAATTTGCCTTTTCAACCGATCGGCCAATTCAGCATTTGATGTTCTTACTGATGCAGTAGTTGTTTTGCCCTTTTTGGAAATCGCGGTCTCAATGTCTCCACTATTCAACATAATCAAAAACTCTCTCATTTCAAGTTCCTGCTCTTGCTTCTCGCGCATGAGTTTGGTTTTCAAGTTGCGCATTTCTTCCTTCATTTCCTCATTGGTTCTTCTAAATCTTTCAATAATCAATTCACGCTCAGTCACTTCATTTTTCAAACTAGTAATCATTCCTTCGGCACCCATTTCAATTTGTCTCGTCATATCATCACGTTCTGCAGTGGCTTCCTCGGCAACTTTTCGATAATACTTTACTTCTTCCAAAGCGCGCCTGTATTGGTCATCTGTACTCATGTTGGCGTACAATTTATTTATGGCAATGTTCAAAGCGGCATTTTCATCGCTGCTTTGTTGAGATGATAGGTTTTGGATGATGTTGTCGAGTATTCGCAAACTTTGACCAACGTCTTGCCTATTATTCTTCCTTTCTGACTGTATAAGATACAAATGCTGCATTGTACTAAGGAAATGTCCTTGATTATCAGATCCTCTAAAGGTCTCCCACAAAGACTTGACCAAATCAACCGGATCGTTGAAGTTCATTTCACTATCAAAACCCAGAGCAACTTTCAACTCGGTCTCGTCTTCTCTGGCAAAAGACAAATATCTTTCTATCTGATTGTTGAGCAACGGTTGCTGAAGAGTCTGAAACTTTGAAAATAAACGGATCAACCCTGATGCTTGAAATTGCAGACGGAGATTTATCCTCAGTCTAAAGTCAGATGCATTCTCGACAATAATGTTTATAAACAACATTGTTGCAACGCAATAGTCAGGAAAATGATTCTCTTTAGGGCCGGGCCCCACATATTGTGATTTGATCTCTTCTCGTTCACCAACGTTGGAATTGAATTTACCAGTCGCGTCAACAGTTCTCTCTACTAGGCTCAACCAAACTTCAAAACGCTTGCAGTTCGCTGGTGGCGGTTTCCGTATCAACTCTCGTTTCTTACGATTATTGTTTTCATCATAGTCCTCAAAATCATATAGCACTCGTTCATTCAATGAATCAACTGCGTGTAGCACTTTATTGTATCGAGCTTTATCTTCGGAGTTGTAGGATACCACAAACGTGAGAGCATCAGTTGCCAACTTTCTCACAAGTAGTCTGGGCGATAATAGACAACCGCTAACAGCATTTACAAATAAATCGACATCTGTTTTAATTCTCTCTGCACCTAATTTCTGGTTCATGACGCATTTCAAACAACGCATTATATAATTCTCTTTATCAAACACTTCATCTTTGATTGAGAACACCTGTTGCGTTTCCATTCCATCGTGGAGCTTCTCTAAATACGACGACAACAATGCATCTCCTTGGCAATCGTATACAAACTCGCGTACCCAAGATATTGGCTCAGCTCTTAATTGTAGCCATAAATTACTTAATTGTGATGTTGTGATTGATTTCAGCATCAACCATCGGGCATAAGTTTCTGGTAGTTCGCTACTAGATTTTTGAGTGTACCGAAGTTGTCTCTCATACTCCGCTCTTCTGTCCTGCTCAATCATCATCCACTTTCTATCTGTGTCGTAATTTAACAAGTCCCTTGTTGCTTGTGGTGGTAAACTTTTAAAATTTATTTTTTCCAACATATCTTTAAACATTCTATCAATTTCAAATGCAGAAGATGGGCGCTCTAAATGGAACTTTTCGTATCCGTCTGTTGAGCTTCTAGTAGGTTTGATTGCTGAATTGAGTGAGATATTTGTTGACATTCTGCTTAATAGGTTTGTACTTGCAGTTGCATTTGTTTGTTGACGCGATAGTTGCGTTGGGGTATCATAGGGATTAGACGCGACCTTTTCGGTACCCATAGTAGACACACTATAAACAGATGACTTCCTATTATGTGGCGAAGATGTTGGCTGTGAGGATGGATATGCAGCCGAAGCCGATCTTGCAGGTGGGAAATGCGAATTGTGTTGCTGTTGCTGCTGCGGTAGGCTGTGTTGCAGCAGATGGTGTGAGTGGGCAGGTTGTTGCAGGTATTGCAGTTGTTGAAACTGTAACTGCTGTTGGTATGGGTTCTGTGACAGTCGTCTGCTATTTGAAGAATGTTGCGTGCCAGCCGATAAAATGCTGGCGGTATCTGTCGATGACACATCAGAAAGACTTTCATTCGTATGGTGTTGATGATGCAACGGCCTCTCTTTATCTCTATGTCGTTTCAAACCAAACATGGAGCTGGAAGACTTGCGGATGCTATTATTGCCCATTCCCGACCCAGGATCCAGTTGTTGAGGTTGCTGTTTCGATGAAGTTGTCGAATACGGTTGTGATCGATTCAACTCGTCATTGATTCGTGAGTTGAATTGGCTGTTGTTATTATTAAAAGTGGTCAGTTGCTGATAAGGGTTCGTGGGAGCTGGACTGTTGTTGAAGGAGTCCACTGGTTTCCTTCTCATTGTCTAATGTGTGTTGCTCCTCCAGTCGTTGTTGGTAAGTTATTGGTGATGTAGTAGATAGTTTGGATTAAGAGCAAGGAAAGATGACTGGGTGTGTTCTGGAGGATGTAGGTTGCGGGTGAAACGTGTAGCCAGAAACAAACAAAAATGGAGTCTTTTTTGGTTGTAAAAGTATAGAAAAGAAAGAAAAAATTAAGTTTTGTTGTTCATACAACAACAACAACAACAAACAGTTGAGAAAACTTTCAAAACAATTTAGTTACACACACACCCACAAACACTCCACAAACAAATGTGTAACAGATACTCTTACTAGGGCTTACAGGTTTATATAATACTATAACATTAGATTGCAGATACAAAATCAAATACCAAGAAGCTCATATCAAGAAGTAAGTAGTTTATAGTCACACTTACTCAACTTTAATAGGTGAAATTGTATGATTTTTTCTTTTGGTTTTTTTCATACGTAATTTGCATACTAACATAGCACCCTTACATTATTTAGTTCCCATGCATTTCATTTAAACCAGGGAGACCAGTGTTAAGCATTGTCAATAGTACGATGTGTGAAATTACACAACTGAAGATGCAGTAACTAAAACTATTTCTTTCCTTGCTGGTTGTAACTCTTTTAGTGCTCTTTATTTTTTTCTTCTGTACGACTCTGTGGTAGTCGTACAAAGGGTTAACCGAAAAAATGAGCGACGGCAGAGGAGAGGCGAGAGATAGGGGAGTGAAATACTTCTAGTAGAACAAACGACCGAGTTGTACCAAGAAAGTCACTGTTAATCAAAACAACGGATGGTCTTATCTTTATCTATAGCATATGGCTTCATAAGGCGCTTGCTCTAATTACATGAAAGTTATCATTAATTGTCTTGTTGTCGTCTAAAAAGATGTCGGCGATAAAAAAGAGAGATAAAAAAAAATTACCTGGCACACGCGCCAGACACGCGCTCGCTGGTTGAACTTGCATTTCTGGGGATTTTTTTTTTCCTTTTTGCCTTCAGTGAGGCGCAATAAAAAAGAAAGAAAAAAAAAACCGCCCGAATCAGATCTGACTGTAAGAGACACGTAGAAACATACGCGTTATGAGCCAATAAATTGTTTACAATGTGCCCGTATTCAATTGGTTAAAGATGTACAGAGGGAAAAACAATCCATGAGTTAAAGTTAAGTCTGTAATTACACTCAAGAAAAATACATATTCCATCAACTAGATTGCTTCATACCGGTACACATTGACACAATTACTGGCTATATAATGCACTCTTGTAGTCTCATGCATACTCAATTCTTATTTGCTTCCATCTGCTTCCATCTCAGCCAACATTTCTAGCGTCTGGTCCAAATCTTTATCAATCTTGGCTTTAAATTGTTTACTTTTTGATTTTGAACGCTTTAATCCACCATTACCTTCATCATCAGGACTATGGGGTTTATTTTTCATTTTTTGTAGAAATAATTGTGCCTCGGTAAGGTCTGATTGTGATTTGGCTTTCTCGGGTGAACTTGTTGCCGAGTTTGGCTTCAGATTTGATCCCTGTCTCAGTTTGAGTTTCAGTTTCAGTTTCAGTTTGGATTTCTCCTTTGGTTCTTCCTTTTGCTCTTCCTTTTGTTCCTGCTTGGTTTCTGACTTCAAGGTAGTCTTGGCATCTTCAAACTCACGAGTGTCGGAATCATCATCAGGTGTATCTAATGGTGATTTTTCTACTTTGGCACGCAGTAGTGGTGGCGTAGCTGCGTCATTCTTAGCACTAGTATCACTCGAATCTGCACGTGAATCTTTAGCCAAGGTATTATTTTCCGTTTCAATGGCAATTGTCGTTTCTATAGCCTCTCTTAAATCAAGGGACTTTCTTGCGGCGTTTGAGTCAATAGACTTTCTGGCAGCGTTTGAGTCAATAGACGTTCTGGCAGCGTTCGATTCAATTGACCTTTTCGGCGATATAGTAGCATCAATGTCCTTGTTCGTCTGTTTTGTTTCACCTCTATGTGGTATCAAGTAAGAGAATGTTTCATAATGGACTTCATCAATATTCAAATCATTAAATTGGTTGTTGGCATTTTCCCGTAATCCCAATTTGCTGTAAAATATCTTGAGTCTGATCTGGGCAAGTATGAAGTATATCTTGATCAACTTGGCCTCTTCTTCGGCATCCAATTTTATATTGTACACGTGTCCATTTGTTAAGTCAGCTTCACTTGCGCCCGGCGATGATACTGTCATTGACCGAGCAGTAGAGGACGAATTTGAACTTGTTCGTCTATAAAAATTAGAGCCACTACCGCCACCACCACCGGAAGACACACCATGAACATAGTCGTCGAATAAATGTACTTGTTTCAATTTGAACACGTTGGACTTAATTAGTCTTATTTTGGCAAAGAAATCACACAAGTTGCGCAATTTCAAAACACAATAATGACACAATGGATAAATTGCAATCATTACCTCATCAGCTTCATAAATCTTGTAATGATGAAGCCGACAATGTTCCAAAAGCACACTTCTCGATTCTCCACAAAATGCACAGGGATCAGTAATGGCAACCGACAACAATTCAGGAGCAACTTCTCTACCTGGTGAGCTTTTAGACCCTTCACTATACCCTTTAATTGGTTCAATGGAAACCCTTCCATCAATCAACGAGCTCCAAAATACCTTACTCTTCTGCCATCGGTTAAGCAATGTTGTTGACGGTAAATTAGGAACATGAGTAACGGTGCTTTCAATTTCCTCCATCCAAATGGGTTTGAAATAAGCAAGGTTTTTCAAATGAGTCAAATCAAGGGTGAACTCGGGCTTGATCAATGTATATACAAATCCTTTGAAATCCTTATTGTAATTATTCAAATCAAATCGTAATGCTGTCATGTAAGGTGCATATAAACTGCTTGAAAGCTGTTGTACTTGGTAATCATCTTCACTAACAGACTGGTTATCCTCGCCAAATTCCTTCTGGTCCAAATTGGGTGTGTTGTTATGACTAGAAGAGACCATGAGTCGTTGTTTATCTTCAATTTTAATAAACATTTGTTTCAAATCCTGTAATTGGTCTTGTAGATTACTAATAATAATATTCTTTTCATCAATCTCCTCGTACAATTTCTTATTCTTGATTTTGAAATTATGGGTTTCTCTAGAAGCATTGGAGACCATGGTGTTTGCTTCGTCAAATAAAGTGGCTGATAAATCATCAACTTCTGTTTTCAACCGACCATTTTCATTTTCAGCAACTTCCTTCTTGATGTTGGCTTCTTTGAAATCTTCTTGTAGTTTGAGGTATTTAGGTAGGATCAATTGATAACTTTCATCACTTTTCGTTAATACGGCATTTTTCGTTTCTAGTTCGTGAATGGATTTACGTAGCAGTAGAACCGTTTCTTCCAATTCAACTTGTCTATTGACAGCAGTGACTAATCGTGTAGATAGATTGCCGATTTCCTCTTCCAATCGTTTATCGATATCTCCTTCGCCTGACATAATGGTGATGGGTTGATAAAATGGGAAGTGGCAGAGTTGATTCGAAAACGTAATCGTTTCTCGTTTAAATTCTTTCTTTGTCGTTTTTTATTTTTCTTTTTAGTTTTTGTCTTAGCTTCAATCTTTTTCTGTTTCTTAAGAGAATGTATTAATAAAGGAACACGCGACTTCCGGTTCGAGCTTCTGTCCTCAGTAAAAGATTAAGGGAAAGACAGAAACCAAAAGCGCAATCAGAACACCAATTTTTCATTCCATTTCAAAATAGAGATGGCTACAGAGGTAAATCCCTTCAAAGTCATGTGATTGTCACGTTTTTATTGACACAAAACAATGACCCACAATTTCTCTAAATGCGGGACTTTTTCCTAGGTGCGGCTCTTTTATCTTTACATTTGCTAATGACCATTAGATAACCAGAACCAATCAACAATGGATTTCGTTACTCTCAATAGACCCATAGGCTATAGCAAGTTACCACTAAAGTACGGCTCCGCCTCACTACTGACACCCTTGAACGAAAATAATAACAGCATTGGAGCACTACAAGTTTCGTTCGACTTGATAAACTTGCCCATTGAAATTATTGGCAATATAATCAACTATTTATCACAATTCGATATTTTATCCTTGTGTCGAACATGTCACAAGATGCATGAACTATGCAATTCACGCTTATATAACCATATAATTATCGACTCCCAATTCAACATTTTCAACAACGAATATCGAATAAATGGTAAAACATACATCAATAGTTCATTCAATTTGAAACGGTTTATTAAAGTTTTCAACAAATCCCACCATGACCATCACATTTACTCATTTCATTGTAAGAATCTTCCTGATTCATTGGATATTTATGACTACAACTTGAATCAGGACTTGATCTTGTTATTTAGCAAGTTGAACCATTTACAAAGTTTGATTTGGTTAGATGATAATTTTCGACTAGATTTTTTATACAATTTACCTCAAAAACAACTCCTAACTACATTAATCCTTAATTTGAAATTTAGTAATTACCTTAGTGAAATTAATCAAGCTGTCGACTTTGGTGATTTTCAAAAGTTGAAATTTCCCAATTTGGTCAACTTTCAAATAAAACCGTTTAAAGATTCGGCGAAATTGCGACAAATTGTTGATAATTTACTCATAAATGACGATGACCCAAGTCGAGTTGGGGAACGATTGCGCCAATTGTCATTTTCGGGACAAAATCAATCCGTCTATGTTGTCAGGACGCTATTTCTTTGCACCAGGTTGAGACATTTGCCCGAATTGACCTCACTTGCGTTAAATGACATGGTGGTATCTATAGATGATGCCAAACTTTTAACACAATCGGTTGATTTGTCAAAGTTGAAGTTTTTGCAATTGAAGAGGATTACTGAAATAGAACATGATCAGCGACAAAGCTCATTTCTTTTAAACTTGAGGGGAAAGTTCAAACTGCTTTGCCATTTATCATTAAATGTTCAGGAACACAGGGATACAGCTGCCCAGTTTATACAGAATCTCCCGCCATTAACGTCACTCGACATCATTACAAGCACAAACCAACATACTGAGCTTGCTGAATGCATTGTTAAACATTGTAATTTAAAAAAGCTCTCCATTGTCATTTACAAAACAGTTGATGACCTATTATATGAAGATATCCACAGTGTATTTTACGATTCACTTGTGTCACTCAATTTAACCAGTCTTCGAATCAACAACACTTCCAACATACAAGGTCTTGTTCATTTAGTTTCATCTCAAAAACAACTTAAATTCTTGGATTTATTAGGTGCGAAAGCAGGTGGTGCGCCAAATTTAGGTCTTGGGATGATTCACCCCACGGTATTTGACGAATGGTTTAAAGTGCAACATGTCGTGTTGTTTTATCTTACGAAAAACCGAGCAATCGAGTATATTCGAATTGGCGATTGTATCTTTCAGTGTAAACTGGACTTGTCGGTGAATCCAAGAGGTGGGCTAAATGATTGGTTTGACGAGAGGGTTAGAGTATTTGCTACTTTAGGGTTATGAGAATACATGAGGAGTTTGTTTTTTTGCAACAAAAAGCATTTTCTCTCTTTATTTTAGCATCAATTTGCAGTCAAAACAGTAACACGTAAGATAATCGTGGAGATAGAACAAAAAACAGTGATACTCCTTCATCAATCAAAAAGGAGTGTGCTATAGCACATCCAAGGAAGTCTACGTAGAAAAAGATCCTAATAACTCGGCAAAGAAGCCATAAGAAGAAGTGGCTCTTTCAAAGAATCACATGACCATATCACGTGCAACTAAACAATTCTAGTTCGTTTTGTGGAATTTTTTCAACTCAAAGTCGCCAATTAACTCAATTCGTACTTTGGTGGAGGGATTCTTTCGTAAGGTGTGTGATGGGAGTCATGCTTCCCATTACACCGACAATCGCTCTTCTTTCTTTATTTTGCCTCAAAGTACTCTGATTCGATATAAACTAATGTGTCAATTGGAGGAGGGGAAGGAAGAGGAAAAAGAGATTTGTCTCATTTTATTTTTCAACTCCGAAAAAGTGCAAAAGCTCAGAGAACAATCGAGAAATTTCCAACAAAAGACAAAAATTGAACAACTGAAATATGATTGGCTTAACAAAAACAAAACACCTTTGTCAATAGTTTTTTGTGTTGAGCGCCATATGTATATATACCCCTCTTTTGTCAGCCCGCCTGTACTGCAGCCAATAAACGAAACGTTTACAAGGAGGACACACACAGAAAAACAACATACAAAATACAAAATACACAATAAACAGAAAAAATTTTCGGTCGCGGCAATCGGAGTCTCTTTTTCTTTACTCTAATGCAACAAGCAAGCTCAGCCTTTATGTTTGCTTTCCCCTCTTTGAATATGTTGAACAAAATTTGGATACAGCTTTGTATTTGCCAATTATTGTTTCATTCAATTTAAACTAGATCTAGATCTTTATTATTATTAGTATGTAGTTGGTTTTGTAGTGCTATGGTGTTGTGGATGAATGGAAGTTTGCAAGATTAAGGTACAGATCTGTTGTTCAAATGTTTGACAGTCGATGCTCTCGTATCAACGGAAGTTTTTTTTGTTATTTTATTATTAGTCACACGAACTCAAGACTGTGTATTGTTAGAGGCGTCTGAAAAAATTTCTTTTTCTTTCTTTTTCGTTTCGGAAAAACTATACAAAGTACATATATGCACAATGGGTTAAATGCCACTACTACGGCCAACGGTAGTACGGAAGGCTACAATCCTCACACAAAAGTTTAAACCTACTTAATGGCGTCCCACACATCCGAATCGAACTTCCCAAGATTTAGTCATATTTCGAAGAACGAAAAGAAGTAATATATAAACCGTCAAAGATTCCCTCAATTTCTTGCAAGAAAAGACAAAACATTATTCTTCAATTAATCAAAGAGATATATTCAATTACAGCTATTCAATAAAAAAAGATGCTCGCTACTCACCATCAACAATCAACATCTATCAAGATGACTGCTGCTCAAAAAGAAGCTCAAATTATGGCTGATATTAAAGCCAATGCTACTAAATTTGAAAACAAGTTCGAAGGCTCATTCTTGGGTGATTACTTTGGATTTGCCATTAGAAAATAGACAGCTACTGTTACAGCTACTTATACTTTCATTTCATTCTTGGGGTTAACTTTATAGATCTTTTCAAAAAGTACAATTTCTTTTTTTTTGGGCTTGAAAAGTGAGAAGAAAAAAATTTTTTTGTCTGGCTTTTCTTACATAATAAATAATAATAATAATAATAATAATAAATAATTACAGCATTTTTGGAATCTGATGATGATTTGTAGATATTCTTTGTAACTAGCTTAATTGTATCCTCATATCAGCGCCATTTGGATTGGAATATGAAGGTTGCAGAACATTGGAAGAACCTCATTCTAACTCACTTTATTTCTCTACAGCGCTACCAAAATAGGTCAAAATGCGAAAAACTAGAACTCAGTCGAGGTTTGTTAATTCGCTGTACAAGCTTGTCGCAACCGCTTACATCCGTAATTGAGCATGACAGGAGCACATTGGTCCATGATCGGCGCTGCAATTCTATCATCTCATATCAAAAGATTTCGATAAACAAAAGAGGAAACAATAATAATAAGAATAATATTTATTCTGACATTCTCCATAACGTCTATTTACTCTCAATATTCTTTTGTTCATTTGTCTTGGTTTCAGTCAGCTTAGGGCTACTATCGCCTTCTCTTTTGCCACCACCTTCATGTTCACCTTCGGCATCATCTTCACCAATCTTGAACATACCAGAATCATAATCAGGCAAAGATTCAGCATTGAAATCTTCAAATAATCGATCTCTAGCTTGATCTTGTCGTCTATCTTCACGTGTCAATGATGTTTCCGCATTATCATCATCGTTGTAATCATCAAAATCATTATCTGAATCATCATCGGAATCATATTCAATTAATTCATAATTTTCTCCTGTTCTTCTTCTACGACGACGCGTGCTGTGTGATCTGCTTTGTATCACAATTATAACAACAACGATAATAAACCCAACACCAGCTAATCCCATTAGATATTGTCCTGTATGGTCTTTTTTGTAAACATGTTCCCCTTCTTCCGTCTCTGTAGGCTCAGGTGCAGTTGATGTTGTAGATGATGATGGTTCTTGGGAAGAAGACTGAGTCTCTTTTGAAGTCCTTGACGACTCAACCGCACTTGACAGTGTGGCAGGTGTAGTTGTAGACGATTCTTCCTTTGATTCCTGAGTTGTTGTAGTTTCTGCCGTTGTCTCAGTCGCATGCTTTCTTTCAGAATCTAGTCTTTCCCTTCTAACTTGACTATAATCCTTTTCAATATCAAAAGTCTCGGCCTTTGACGCGTCAATAGTGGTACCGAAGAACCGAAGTTGCCAATTAACAAGCTTTATATTGACAGGTTTCGAATCACCAAACACTTCGAGTGTCCATTCACCTAACCCGTCTTCACCCCAATGGGCAATACTAGTGAATGTCCAATCTTGAAATCCTCTTGAGCTGGCATCAAGAGGTCTGAATTGAGCCAAATCACTAACAACACCACTAGGAGATACAAGCCTGACTCCAGCTCTACCTCTATACGATGAATCAATATTAAGTTTAACAGTAACGTGCTCAATCTTTTCAAAATTCATCACTTTTAAATCTTCTTTTGAAATGGTAACCTTGGAAGAGATGACTTTATCATCTCTCTTTTGTGGTTGTTGTTGCTGCTGCTGTTGTTGTTGTGGCTGGTTCAATGAAAGTTCTTGATTAACTTCAATTTTATCACAGTAATGCCATGATTGTGGCTTCACATTGTCCCAAGTTTTAGCAAACTCGACCATTTTATATGCATCTATTTTACCATATCCATACATGTGAGAATATTTTCTGTTCAATACAGTGGTTTGGTAGTTTCCATCTTCTTCATTAACTGGCGTAGCACTCAATACATTGATATATTGTAAATCTCTCCATGTCAAATTGGGGTTAGCACTTAATACCAAGGAGAAGATTCCACTAGCTAATGGTGCTGCTGCTGATGTTCCCCCATGCGTCAGACTACATTTCTTTTTAATATCAGTGGTGTGGATGTGTTCGCCTGATCCTGATGAATATGTCACCACCATAACTGCCGAACAGGACTCCGAGTACAAAGGATGCAATCCTTTATGATCAATAGCTCCAACAGTAATGGAGTAAATCGAATTGGTGTACCCGTCAAAATTGCACGAATCGGCAAACCTTCCACCATTGCCTGAAGCAAATACGTAAATGGCACCCTTGCCACCCCTACCTTCTTGAACACCCCTCAACATTGCCCTTTTAACTATAAGTTCTGGTTCACTTACAGTTCGACCATTATCTGTAGGCCCCCACGAACATGAATAAATATCATTTGTATCTAAACCGTAGACCATGGCCGATGCTTCATCAGCAGAAGTGATAGGTCCTGATAGGATCCTTATACCACTGACTTGCGACTTGTATGCAACGCCAATCCCACATACATCATTCTTTACAGCAGCAATCTCACCAGCACATCTTGTTCCATGGTAATCGTCATACAATCGTGGCAATGGAAGTGGGCCATTGTCATTAAAGTCCCATGATCCTTTCGCATTGAAACTGGCTTTCAAATCTTCACTCTCGGCGTCTAATCCATCATCAACAAGGGCGGTAACGATTCCTTGGCCTAGCACATCCTCTAGCCAAAGCCCCGTAGCGTTAACGTCATGGCCTGGATACTGTAAATTAATTAAATGCCATTGCGTTGCAAATTCAGGATCATGGATATCCAACTTTGAAGCTATCTCGGCATACTTTTGATGTATTTTGTCCGAGGGAGACGACGTCTCATCTTGTGGAGGATCATCTCTAGGCTCCATAGGAACAGGTAGTCTCTTGGACAACTTTTTTGCTGGTAATAGATGCAATGATGATACGTCGTTTATTAAGTCATCATGAATGTCTTCAAAGCCGGCAGACCTTTTCATTTTATTGTAGTTGTTGGAATTGTGATTGCCTAGAAATGTATTATGAGGATGCAGTTTGTCTATACTGAAAACATAATAATCATCTAAGGAGGGTAATTGATGTTCAAAATTGTAATGGTCGCCATACTTCAGTATGAAATCAAGCAAGGGTTTCTGTGACTGAGTTGTGTTCAACTCTATTAAAAAGTAATTTTTATTTTCATAGTCCCTTGTTGGGATTTGAAACTGATATGTCAAGCTAACAAAATAAAGCAAGATATGGAGCAACAGTTTGATTGATAACATGGCTCAGAATCTTATCGAGCAATCAAGCAACAGTGAAAGTGACAATAGGGGAAAAATAAAATGGGTGTGTTGTTTGTATGTGGGGAGAAGCCCTATGTGCTTTGATGCCTATAACTCAATGGTCTACCACTTTGGTATAGTGTGCGTATATTGGATTCAAGCCGGTAACTATTGTTGATATTCACCTCCAACGAAACAAATATAAAAGAATCACCAATGTCTCTCAATAGCCACAAGTACCCAGAAGAAACAAAAAAATCTGATCGTGTTCGTTGATATTGTTTTTCTTTTTTCTTTCAAGAATATAAAATACAAAATTTTCAACACACTGTAACATCAACCACAACATACATATATACACACACGCTCTGTTCGCCTACTTTACAAGAACAAAATTTATAAAGAAGTCAAACCCACATAGTGATATTTCATATACTGTTTTACTTCTTTATAGCCTCTAGTTGCAATCTCTAAGAACGTAAGAAATCAGTTCCTGCTTGTTAAACCTCAAACATTGTTTTTGCTTTTTGACATCGATCCGAAATGACACGTAAAAACAACGCGAAAAATACGTCACAATGAAGCAATGGCAGAGAACTTTGATACCCCAAACAGGCGATTTACATTAACAGCTCAGTAGAGTCTATCTCTGTCCATCCCATATCCACATCTATTGTCTTCTGCTTTGTAGCTACCACTGTTTCAGTTGGTGTTTTTAAAATTTCCAAGATCTATCACGTGTCAGCAGATTCAGATATTTTCCCTTTCAATACCCGAATAAGGAAAACGGAATAATCTAAAAAAGAGATTCATAGAACAAAAAAAATATAACCACCTTACAGTTCAGTTATAAGCTAAAGCCAACCTGTCCTACCCTCAAGGAATATTTTTACCATGGCAGTGCCTATGAAACGGATAATAATACTTGCGCTTACATTTTTGACGCGTGCACTTGCTGATTCAGATATGGATATGGATGAAGAAAGACCCGAATTTCATCCGATCAATGCCGGATCAAAAGCATTCCACTGGATATTGTCATTATTTATACTATTAATACTACCTTCAATTAGTACCTCATTAGCATTCGCCAATAGACTACACTGGTCGCTACTTTTGCAATATATTTCAACGGCTTACTCCATCTTTGAATCGTTGTTTTTGGATTTTCCCGATAATAAGGACAACCATGAAAATAGAACTTCAAAAGGTACAAGCTGGTTTTTAAGTATATTGTTGGGTGCGACAATTTTCATGGGAACACTCATCAACGGAAGCAATCTCATCATTAACAAATTCTACCCACACTTGTCCAAGCACTACAACGAGTATGGCTATTCATACAAGGTATACAAGGTATCGTCGTTGCTTTGTCTTTTGACAGGCTGGGTTAGAGTGTGTATGGCACCGATTGCATTATTTGGATTCTGCTACGGCATTCACACGGGTCAATGCATAGCTCACGGTATCATGGGCTCAGCATTTATTTTGTATTCGTTTATATTGTCGGTGGTACTCGTGGTTCCTTGGATTCGCAAACACCAGTTACACAACAATAGCCCCTCATTGAAATCACAGGAATTTTACGACTCAACAGTGATGATGTTGTGGGGGATTGTCAACACCTTTACTGAACACCGTTGGGGAAGAGAAGCTTGGAATATGGGCGATTACCAACATACTGCCATGGGTATCATCTGGTGGGGTGGTGGATTGTTGGGAATGTACTTGTCAAGAAACAATCAAAGGTCATTTGTACCGGCATTATTGTTGATATTCACCGGTTGGTCAATGAGTCAACACTCTCAGCATTTGGTGATTTCGACTAAAGTGCACTCATTGTTTGGTATTGCATTAATGGGCGCAGGAGTAACGAGAATCGTTGAAACTGCATTTTTGTTAAAAGATAAAGCTTGTAGCGAGCTGGGAAAGATACTCACATTCCAGTACTTGCCTCCCTTTGGTTTAGTCTTGTCAGGTATTTTGTTTATGGGAGCCACCGAAGAACAGTTGCAGTTGGTTCATGATTTAGGATCAGACCATTCGGCATACATTTTGGTAGTTTCAGCAGCAGCATTTTTAATCTTTCTTTGGATCCAATTATGTATCTGGTTGTACCTAAGGCTTGTGGGGTATGATGAAAACGGTGAGCTTAGTAAGCAATATTCACCTGTTAATGTTGAAGAGTTTGAGTTGGGGGATATAAGCGGAGACGAGGAAGAGGAAAATGACACACCGCCAGAGGAATTTAGAGATAGCAGATAGTAAGTCCCTTTATAATTTGTAAACAGTTCAATTAAACATTTGTATACTGTATTTCGCTCCACGATAAAACGTCATCATCTCTTATCAAAAGAGAAGAAAACGGAAAAAAAAATTGTTTATCTTAGTAATACACATTTCTTATTGGATTTCTCAACAATGAGTGCTATACTATCCGCAGACGACTTGAATGATTTCATATCACCAGGAGTTGCGTGTATTAAACCAGTACAAGATACAGCTCCTCACAATCAAGAAGCAAGTGAAAATGGAGAGGTTGAAATTCAAATTGATTCACAAGGAAACCCTCTTGAAATATCTAAAATTGATGGAAAACAAACCAATTTATCACCAGCACAGATTTCCCTAGCTGATTGTTTAGCTTGTTCTGGATGTATAACGTCAGCAGAAGAAGTTTTGGTTGCCCAGCATTCGCATCACGAGCTAGTGAAGGCGTTAAAATCACAGGATAAGATATTCGTTGCCAGCATATCGCAACAACTGCGGGCTTCGTTGGCCACTGCATATGATCTTCCAGTGGAGACAATAGACAAACTTCTAATAGACTTGCTAGTTAATCGAATGGGGTTCAAGTATGTTGTGGGAACATCGTTGGGAAGGAAATTGTCATTAATCAATGAGGCAAAAAACGTCATTTCAAATAAGGGTCAAGATTCAAAACCAATACTATCGTCAATATGTCCAGGGTGGGTATTATATGCTGAAAAGACTCATCCATACGTGCTACCCATGATATCTACAGTAAAGTCTGCACAACAAATCACTGGTTGTTTGTTAAAGACACTCACGGCTCATGATTTCCAAGTCCCGAAATCTCATGTTTACCACTTGTCGATTATGCCCTGCTTTGATAAAAAGTTGGAAAGTGCAAGGCCAGAGATATTTGGCGACACGACGCCAGACGTCGATTGCGTGTTGACGGCAAAGGAGTTAATTGCGTTGCTTGAGGAAGAAAATTATCAGCTTGTTCCTAAGATAAACCCACCAATAACGAATAAGCCACTTGAGGAGGTTTATAAGTCAGTTGCACCAAGTAATTGGCCATTTGTGCAGTACTCCTGGACTAACGACCCTGGTTCTGCATCAGGAGGGTATGCATTCAACTACTTGCGATTATTTCAAGATGATTTGATGTTGAAGGGTTACTATGAGAGTGATTTCTCAATGAAGGTAATAAGGGGAAAGAATTCAGACGTGTACGAAATGAGACTAATGCATAAGGATGAAAAAGTTGCAAGTGCGGCGATTGTTAATGGATTTAGAAACATACAAAATTTAGTAAGGAAACTTAAACCAAACGGGAAAATTAATGGACGAGCCAACCCATTGGTTGCCCGAAGAAGAGCTAGAATGAAGGATTCGGAATCGACACATGCAGCAGCTGAAGAAGTTGCTGACCCTTCTAAAGTTGATTATGTTGAAATTATGGCATGTCCCAGTGGATGCATTAATGGGGGTGGTCAGATTAAACCACCAACGGATGTTCCAGAAAAGGCATGGATAGATGAGGTTTTGACAATGTATAATACTGTGCCTACATTTGACTTGTCTTTGCATCCACAAGAAGTACATTCATTCATAGAATGGAGTAATGCATTTGAACAAGAATTTGATATTAATGATGAAAGGCTATATAAGACGTACTTTAATGAGGTTGAAAAGCCAACTGATCCAACAGCTATCCTAGTTGGGTCAAAGTGGTGATGAACACTTGAGCGATACAAGGTATTTATATAGAAATTGAGATTGGGTAATATGCAGTACTCCTTTTCATTACAGCCAATGAAAGATTGAATTTTTCTTCTTACTCAAAAATTGCTGCTACCATGTTCATTCTCTATGTGAAGAAGTAAAAGAAAAAGAAAAAAAAAAGTTCAAACTCACCAAAAGGATATCTAGTTACTGTTTGCCATTTGCTGTTCACTACTCTCGAACTCAACTTAAAAGGTCACAGTTGCTCACAGAGAAAGGATCCAAGTATATTATATACAGACCTGCTTATTTATTTCAACCTATTCATACCAACCATTCACCTTCACATACAATGTTCAGATCAAGCGTAGCATCCAGGTTAGTACAACACACAACTGTTAAACCATTGGTCATCAACAATAGCATCCGTTTCATCTCATCATCACCCAACTTGCTTAAGCCAGCTTTGGCTGCAGAAACTACCGAATATTTACCAACAGCAGGATCAACACAATCGGCGTGGCCAAAAGGGTTCAGACAACCCAAACCAAAGACCTGGGAAGAGAGTCATGAATCCGCATTAAGTAAAGCTACAAAGTACTTCTTTTTGAGTGAAATAGCCCGTGGTATGTATGTGTGTTTGGAGATGTTTTTCAGAAGTCCATACACGATATATTACCCATTTGAAAAAGGTCCAATCAGTCCCCGTTTCAGAGGTGAGCATGCATTAAGGAGGTACCCCAGTGGAGAGGAGAGATGTATTGCTTGTAAATTGTGTGAAGCTATTTGTCCGGCACAAGCAATCACTATCGAAGCAGAAGAGAGAGCCGATGGATCAAGAAGAACTTACAAGTACGATATTGATATGACCAAGTGTATCTATTGTGGTTACTGTCAAGAGAGTTGTCCTGTTGATGCTATTGTAGAAAGTCCAAATGTGGAATATTCAACTGCTACAAGAGAAGAATTGTTGTACAATAAGGAAAAATTGTTGGACAATGGTGACAAGTGGGAACAAGAATTGCAATACTGTATTGACGCTGATGCTCCTTACCGTTAAGAAGTTAATAGTATATAATAAAATACAAAATTCGAATAAGTGTTGTCTAGGGCAAGTGTAGTTGATCAGAAACATGCGCAAGGATGCGGATGCAATTTGTTTTGTAGTGACAGACTTTACCTCAGAGGATTTACGAAATTTATACGATCGCGTGAAAAAATCAAAACACTCCACCAATTTTCTCTTTCCACTCCAGCATTCTTTACCACCTAGCTCATGTCATTAATTAAAGATTCCACCAAAATATTGATCACAGGTACATCTTCAAACTTGGGGTTTAATATAGCTGTACGTTTACTTGAAGATTTACCCAATGATAATGAAATTACATTAATTGTCACTTCGAGGACGTTACCAAAAGTAAAAGAGGTCATTACCGATATCAAAAATTACATCATTAATAAAATCCCCAATAAGATCAAATTGGTTGAGTTTGACTATTTATTGGTGGATTTCACCGATATGGTTTCAATTCTATCGGCATATTATGAATTGAACAAGAGGTATACCCATATTGACTACTTGTTTATCAATGCCGCACAAGGAGTGTATGGCGGCATTGACTGGGCACAAGCAGTTGTCGAAGTTTTGCAGAACCCAATTCAAGCAGTTACTAATCCCACTTACAAACTCCAACGAACAGGGGTACAATCTGATGACAATTTGGGTCTTGTTTTCCAAGCCAATGTGTTTGGTCCTTACTACTTCATACATAAAATTAAACATCTATTGGCTAAAGGTGGGAAAATTATTTGGATTGGTTCACTCATGTCTCATCCGAAATACTTATCATTCAATGACTTACAGTTGTTGAGATCGCCCGAGTCTTATGAAGGATCAAAGAGGTTGGTGGATTTATTACATTTTGGAACCTACAAGCAACTTCAAAAGGACGGAATCAACCAGTACTTGGTCCACCCAGGTATCTTTACTAGTTTTTCATTCTTTCAATTCTTAAACTTATTTACATATTATGGTATGTTAGTCTTGTTCTATTTGGCAAGATTTTTGGGATCAAAATACCACAATATATCAGGCTACATTGCAGCTAATGCTCCAGTAGCAGCCGCGTTAGGTAAAACCAAACAAACGTCAAAGGTTGGTTCTGCTTGCACCAGAAGCGGTAAAGAATACTTGATAAATGAAGAAGTTGACACCACGGGACTGGAAGATGTAGCTAGATACCTCAAAGATTTGGCAGATGAGTGGGACATAAAATTCAAGGACCAAATTGTCAACACACGTATCCCTTAGTTGTAGATTGACAGTTCCAAACAGGTGCATCCGCACCCACTAGCACATTCAGTGTTGCCATCAGACCACCACCCCTGGGCGCATTTGGTATGTAGAATATGCTCACAGTTGCCACATAGTGTAAAGTTTTTAGTGACTAATAATCCACAATAAATGCAGTATTTCAACATCAGACGTTTGCTTGTGTTCCACGAATTAGGATGGTTCAGTTCAATTGAAGTGACAGTATTGATAAATATTTGGCTCGGAAGCTGTTTTTTCCTCTTTCTAAACCCAAACTTACACTCGTGAGTATCGTAGATGTGATCATGCTCAGCGCCATCATAGTTAAACTTCAACACTTCTAGTCGATGTACAGGGAGATTCCATTCATACAACGTTTCGGCATATTGCAGTCGGTACATCTTCATCTTTGTGTCATCTAAAAATTCAGGAATTAACGAGGAGTACGAGTCTTCAAATAAATCCAACTCCTCCACATTCTGCATGTCAATTGTGATTACTGGTGGTGGTTGGTGTCTCAATTCAGTTACTGGCCTATTTATAGTCTTCAGCTTATTGATCAGCATATGAGACATCAGCTTTGGTGTAGAGACACGATGCACCGATGGTGATTCTGTTAGTGAGCTTTGGGAACCGTTTTTCGAATTTAAAGCAGAAAAAGAATGGCCAAATTTCCTTCCGTGACCGTACCTGTCCACAGAACCCGTGCGTGTACTATAATTGTCAAATGATGATGTGACAGAATGAGGATAATCAACGTTTCTCGAACTTGTCCGGGTGTGTGAATGTCTGTTTGGTTCAAAAGTGTGCTCAAAGTGTTTGACCGCGTCCGTTTGCAGACTTTGATGACTTGACAAATGATCGAGATGAGAGCCAAGTTCACTTTCTTCCTTGTCGTTTGGATCAAAATGATGCATTGTATATGGGGTTTTATGTAAAACGCAAGACATCGTTGCGAGCATTTGCGTGTTTTGCCTTTCGACAAAGTAATTGAAAATTTCCCTAATGAGCCAAGTATATCCAAATGGATGGGTCCCCCATATTGAAAAAACTTCACTTGGTCTGTCTTTTGCATTTGATGATTTGATGTCCAACTTCAGGGTCAAGCGAGAAACTTCGACATTGCTCCTGACATTGTTGCTTAATATAATTTCCAATATTCTCCATACTTGAGCTATATCCTCAAGCCCATACTTTAAAGCCACTTTTGAATTAAAACCAGCAAGATTCTCGGGTTTATCGCCGACAAGCTTGTATTCCCTAGCCAATTCTACCCTATTCGGTAACAAATGGCTGAAATCAATAATTACCACAACATTTTTAATATCGCCCTTGGAATCAATTCTGCTCTTCTTTCTCTCATCCTTAACTGATGATTTGTAATTGGACAAAGTTTCTCCATGACTAGTAAACTTTTTCAAAGATGACTTGTGTCTGCCTTCGTTGGAAATAAAACGACTACCTAACCCAAAATTTGATCTTAATGGGACAGGAACTCTGCTTCTAGACGAGGAATCGTGTTTTAAAATCTCCTCAAAATCCTCCTCAAAGTAATCTTCAGAGGACGAAGTGTCAGAGTGGTTTCCATCAGACATTTCTGAGTCTGAATTACTCAAGTCAGCAGCATCAAGTTCTGGAGAAACATCAGCTAGCAGTCTTGGACTTTGCGCATCTTTCACGCCTAAATCGGAATGCTTAAATAATCTCAAATTTTGGTGGTTGTTGCCACTACTGGTTTCAGTCGGTCGGTTATCCTTTGGAATGAAAAAGCAAACCAACAGTCCATTTGGTGACCACACAGCACCACACCCTTTTGGGATCGGTGTAGAATCAAAATTGCCTTGTCCTTTTATATCACTTAAGTCGAGGTTAACATTACCTGGAGATTGAGCTCTATGGCTTAGAGTGTTGACGCTGGCAGCTGGAATCAAATCATCATACTCCGCATCCTCACCTGACGAGTATCCATGAAATCCTGGTTGTTGGTTAATCAAGTCATCTACCCAATCCTCATCTCCTACTTCTGCCGGGAAAGATGTGTCGTCGTCAATGTTTTCTCCTCTGGTCTCAGCCATTGCTTCATCATCAAGATCAACCCTTTCTCCCATTAGGTATCGTAAGCACGGCTCAAGACAGAATTGTTGATACCTATTAGTATAAAACTGTGCAATTTCTTCCAAACTATTTTCCATCGCAAGCCTCATATCTTTGCTAAGTTCGTGAGTCTCTTCAATGTTGAATTTTATCGAGTTCTGCTTCTGCAATCGTTGGGCTCTCTTTTTCGATAAGCTCTTGTCAAACTCAATCTGCTCAAGATAAGGATATGACCGAGGGAAGCTAAGTGCAAGCCGAATGAATACTAATTTCTGTTCAGCTACATTATCAATCAGCTCACTGAGATGAGACTCCACCAAATTATCTTCAACCTGGCTCTTGTGTTCAGTCTCTTTTCCATCATCGCTCACGATACTTTTGTCCATTGTTGAATTAACAGCTGTTATGGCAAGTCGAGTGTTTTCAGAAGAGTCCAACGATCGACGCTGGTCTGGCGCTTTTGAATTAGTTACTGGAGCTGGCCCTCTGAGACTGATCACCAAGTCACCTGTTGATACTGAAATCTTTTCAAACCTGATGAATGGAAACTTGTGTCCCACTATACTGACCTCTTCCCCTAGGTTAGACGGGGTCTCGCCATCACCATATACAGAGCTATCTTTTCGATCGCCACGACCCGCGTGACCCATACGCACCCCGGAGATCCAATTCAAATGATCAAGTTGACTAATCTCTAGTCCTAATTGCCTATGCTTTTCTGATATCTGATATGACGTCAACGCAGACAACAAATCTCCTCCATTTGTTTTTGCCAAATCATCAATTGTGACTTCCGGTTCCTGACAATATGTCTCATAGTTATACGTCACCTGCTTCTCAGACTTTCCTGTTGTGGAAAGGTCAGATTCCAGGTCGTTTTTAAAGACATTAAAGAATGTCGGATCATAGTTAACCAGTCTGTACAACTTATCATCACTTGGCCACAATTTCAAGTCAACATCCAGATCGGACCATGTAACCAACTGATACTCTTTCCAATTATTCTTTGAGACGAATCCGTCATAGGTCTCGTGTCTTGTTCTCCATAGAAAATCTTTGATTGGGCCATGATGACCGACAAAGGTGTATGCAGAGGACCCTTTATATTGCTGAGTTTTATTAGTGGCCAAGTATTTTTGATGAGCTTCTTCATAGTTTATAATGTGTATTGCATCATTTCCACCTCTCAAAGGCATGACACCACAAGCCTTGTCTGAACCAAATGGCAATGCTCGTGCTCGCACTATAGGGAAATCTGCCTCGATAACAACACTAGGTCTTAAATCATTCTCCGCCCCACTGTCGAAATAATTAAACTGGGAAACCGCCTTCTTTGCGTCATCACTTTCCAAATCCCAAAACTTTATGCTGCGATCATTGGAGCAAGTTATGATGTTCTTCAATCCTTGAGTAAAGTCAAGTCCATTTATCTTGCCCTGATGGGCTTTTGAAACCTTAAAGACAGGGAGTGCACCCTTTCGAGTATCCCAAATATAAAGCGAGTTGTCATGAGTCAGAGCAATCTCATATGGGTTTTCATGATTCCATTTAACTTGTATGGCACCGGCTCTCCAGTCGGCCCATTTTGCAACTGGTTTTCTAGGTGTCCTCATATCCCAGCAAAGAACAAAAGTGTCAATAGAGCATGTTGCTAGCATTTCTGGGTCAAATGGGTGAAAGTTTATATCTGAAATTGCCCTCGAGTGTGAGTGTAGAATGTTCTCTATGGCATTGTTGGACGGTCGATTCAAATCCCACAAGAGCGCTTTTTGGTTCGAAGTTGATACACACCACGAAGGTTTGACTGCGGCATGAGGTGACCATTGGACATCAGCAACTTCCCATGAAGTTATATGGTGCAACCAACGGGGAGGGGTGAATGGATCATCCATGTCAATTACAAACAATCCTCGTCGGCCTGCCAATACAGCATCTCTCCCATTTGGAGATAGTGACATGGCTCCAATTGCACCATCCACTCTTAGCAGCAAAGATTTGCCAAAAGTCGGGGAATCATAGGGATTAAGTAGTCGATCAATCATTGAAATGCTGGAGGGAAGTTGTGTGAATTGGAGAATAAAAAGAATCCAACCCGCGAAAAAAAAGTCAGTTCCGACTTACAATCAAAGGCTTGACACTAACCACTAATAACAATGGCTGAACCTACAAATAATGACATCGATATGGTGGATGAGGATTTCGATGACGCTGAAGAAAATGTTATTGACGTGCCGAACTCAACCAATCAACAACCTACTTCAGGTGAAACCCAAGAAAAACAGTCGAAGGAAGAAAAGTCAAAGCAAAAACAACAATCGCTATCTGCAGCTGCGGCGGCTACGGCAGCGGCAGCCTCGTCATTAATCCCCGACTTGCCTGACCTTACACGTAAAGATAAAACGCTCAAGGAAGTTCTAGATATGATGGACGATGAGTTTGCACCTATCATACCTGACGCCGTAACAGATTATTACTTGGCAAAGAACGGATTTGAATCGTCGGACGTGAAGATAAAAAGACTCATAGCATTAGCCACCCAAAAGTTCGTTAGTGACATAGCACAAGATGCGTATGAGTATAGCAGGATTAGAAATGCCAGTGCCGTTTACAACTCCTCTAACCCCCAAGTGAGAGCAAAGCAATTACTCCAGGGACAACAATATGCTAACCAACAAACATTAGCAGGAAACGGTAATGCTAATGCAGAGAGCGGTGAGCAGCAAACATCTCAACAATCGCACTCCACCGTTGGCAATCAGCAAGGGAAGGTGGTGTTGACCATGGAAGACCTTAGTAATGCGCTAAGCGAGTACGGTATGAATGCTTCTAGACCAGGGTTCTACAGGTAGATAAACGAAAGAGTATTATGTATTATAAAGTATTGTAATAAAAGTCAATTCTCTACATTCCACCCATGCCACCAAATTGTTGCATCATTCTTTGCATCATTTGTGGATTTTTCATCATCTCTTGAGCCTGTTGCATCATTTGTGGGTTACCTCTCATCATCTGTTGTGCTTGCTGCATCATTGCTGGATTATTCATCATACCAGCTAATCCACCAGGACCACCGGCACCTCCACCTCCTCCACCCAACATACTCATTGCCTGTTGCATGAAATTTGGATTTGATTGGGCACTCTGCATCATTCTTTGCATTTGAGGATTTCCTGCGAATGGGCCTCCAGGCTGTCCACCTTGGCCTTGAGCTGCTACTGCAGATTTTGCCATAGACGACATCATTCGGTGTTGTTGCAAAATCATTTCAACCTCAACTACACTACACCCCGAACCTCTCGCTATCCTTACGATTCTGCTTGGCTCTTTGATGAATATTCTACCGTCACTTTCCAACTCTTTTGCGGTCATTGAGTCCATAATGAAAATCATGTTCCTAATCTTGTTGGATGTCTCCTCTTCACCCACTTGTGACATGATACTCGACATTCCTGGAATCATCGATGCAATATTCGTGAGGGGTCCCATCTTCATAAAATTGTTCATTTGGTTTTGAAAATCCTTTAAAGTAAACTTTCCCTCCTTGATATTCTCAATCGTCTGTTTGTGTCCTTCATCTTGATGCAAATTTAAAGATTGTACGTGTTCAATAAGCGACTGAATATCACCAATACCCAACAACTTAGATATAAAGGTTGTTGGTTTGAAAACTTCCAAGTCACCAATATGTTCACCTGTACCAATAAATACAATCGGCGTTTTCGTTGCTGCAACGGCAGAAATAGCACCTCCACCTTTTGCATGCCCATCCATTTTGGTCAAGATTATAGAACCGAAATCAGAGCTTTCTTTGAAAGCACGGGCTTGTGACTCAGCTGCTTGACCAATAGATCCATCCATCACCATGATTGTCTGGCTAGGGTGAACCGCCTCGCCTATCTGAACCATTTCGGTAAACAATTGTTCCTCTTGTCTATGTCTTCCCGAAGTGTCAACAATGATAATGTCAAACTTCTCCTGCTTGAATTTTTGTACACCCTCAAAAGCAATTTTGACCGGATCAGGCTCTAAGTAGGATCCATAATAAGGTATATTAGCTTTTATAGCATTTTGCTTCAATTGATCAAATGCACCTGCTCTAAATGTATCGGCACATACTAATCCAACTTTGAACCCCCTCTTTTTGTAGTAAACAGCTAGTTTTGTACAGGATGTGGTCTTACCTGCACCTTGTAATCCCACAAACATAATGACGTGGCTTGACTCTTTTGACACTCTCACCTTTTTCCCATTAATGGTCTTGGTAGTCGCTGAAAGTTTCTTTGGCTTGGGCGGTTCGACATGAGAATCAACCAATGCACATAACTCATCGTATATAATTTTCTGTAACTTCTTTCTCCTGTTTTGGGTCGAAGTTTCCTTTAATACGTTTTCCTCCTCAATCTTGTCTCGTATATTGCCTCTCAATTTGGCGACTAATTTCACATTGATGTCGGACTCTAACAACGCAGAGCAAATGTCTTTAATCATTTGTTGGATTTCATCGTCGGAACCCTTCTCCACAGAAGAAAGGGCCCCTCTAAGTCTTTCTCCTAAGTCAGCTAAAACCATGACGATTGAACAAGTTGGAAGAACAAAGAAATTAAAAAAAAAAAAATAAAAAAAATATAAAAAAAGCGCCCAAAAAAGAAGTGAAGGAAAAAAAGAGTTCATTATAACGTTCTCCAGTTTTGGTAGTGCAGGTTCAACACTAGGGTCTATCATGAGTAGTAGTACTACCCCACAAGATTCTAACAGTGAACAAAACAAGACGAATGAGGTTGCCGAAACTAAACCAAAGGTGAACTTTACCGAAGGAGGTGTTGAAAACTATAAATTTTATCCGGACGATCCCAAGAATCACAGACACAAGTATAGATGGGCGGGGAAAGAGGCTTCGAAGTTTTATGATCCTTGTGAAGAAAGCAGGCAGGCATCTATGGACTGCCTTTACCGTAACCAGGATGACAAATATGTCTGTCAGGACTTTTTTGACGCATACAAAGAATGTCGAAAGGACTTTTTTAGAAAAAAGAGGCAGGATAAAATAGATGGGAAACCAGGTTGGGGATGGTAAAACAATGTATATAGCCATAAATATGAACCTTACACGATATCGAATACCGGTAGACTCAGAGTCACGTGCCCTGTAAGTTTGTCGATAGCATCTTCTGCCTGATTATGGAAGAACCGTTTGTTAAAAGTGTCCGAGTTAATTGGAGCTGGTTCTTCAAACAAATCGAAGTCATCATAGACATACGTGTTTCTTCCCGTATTTTCATTTAAGAAAGGGTTCGTGGTTAGTATTATTCCCGTAGAGTGTCTAGCCATGTGTCTATGATGCAAATGAGAAACCGTATTGTGGATTTCTAGCTTTCCTCTTTGTTTATCAATTGAGCAAAGGAGTATCGCGGTGATATCTTCCGATTCATCTTTTAAAATGTTGTTGTAAACCTTCCTGTAGTTTTCCATGTACTCTCCTTCACTGTGCGCTAAAATTGTGTTGATGAATGTGTCCAAGTACTTTGATATATCAACTTCGATAGTAAATAAGGCATAGTTTAGTTGCAAATTAATCAACGTTCCACAATCCTCCTTTGTAACAGATTCTGCCAATCTGAATGCTAAATTTCGTTCCCAATCCTCTATAAATATATCATTGTGCCTCTTGCACCTTCTTTTTTCCAGCCTTTCTAGACATGGGGGAACCTGGGAATCCTTTAGGTATTCAAAATATTTTGTGATTTCGGGGAGACTCGATTTGAATTCCTTTGTTAAATGTATGGCCTCTGTTTTCTTTGACTTTCGAATTTCAATATCACCAAAATGTGTGAGATCTTGGTCCAAATGCTGAAGAAAGTTGTAAAAAAAGTTTTCTCTAAATTGTATAAATGGGTTGATCTTCATCCACTCCGAAAGTTGAACTTTGATTTTATTTAAATTGAATCTTGCCGAAAGCGGTTTTTCCAGATTTAAAAATCTCAAATCGTTGGTTTTAAAATCAACCACTTTACCCTTAAATGGAACCTGTATAGTGCTGGCGTTTATATTTTTGAAACCTACATTGTCATCCACTGAAAGGCGATCTAGCATGTTTAGCTTCCTTATAAGTATCTTGTTTTTAGGCAGTTGAAAGGTATTGTTGGACATTCCGCAAAAGAACTTTGCAAAATTATGTAACTTGAGAAGCAAAGACTCTAGGCTTCCTTCTGGTGCTATACTGAAAACCCCCTCTACGTGAGAGCTAACACTGGAAAGTTTCATATCACAAGTGTTGTGTTGGGGACAGTCTAAGTTTATGCGATAATTGGATCCCGATTGGAAGTAACTTGAGGGCAAGCCATCTACCAACACGTTTTTGTCAATATTCGTGTATGGGTATGCAATTACTGGCTCGTCTAATGGATAATCACCATCATCAATATGAGTGGTTTTCTGACGTTTATGACTGGGTCCTTCCTCTATTTTTGTTCGTCTCTTGGAACTTGGCGGTGGAGGCAATCTAATTTTAAGAAAAAGCATTTTATTAACTCTTTTGCGCAAAAATTCATCCATCATTTGATCAGCATTCATGTTATTGTCAAGCAGACATCCCTGCATGTGATTTTTCAAGCTTGAAAAGTAGCGGATACTGAATGGCCGGTGAAAATTGTTTGGAAATAAGGGGGATCCCTTTCTTGCACTTTCAATCGCTTCCAAGACTGAATGAATTTCTTGTTGCAACAGTTCGGCTTCCAAATCAAGAAAATCGTTAGCTTTTGGGTCATTATTTTTAGCCACTTCGGTATCCTCCGTATTCAACATACTTCTAACACGTATTGCATTCTGCCGCCTCAAGGGAACGCTTGAATTTAAAAGTGGGGTTCGGGCAGTTTGAGGATTTCTTGCCGATGCTAACAAGAGTCTCTCATTCGATTGAATACTTTGTTCTGCATCTTCCATAAGCACTGCCGACATATCCTCGTCATTTCCGCTCACTTCACCCTCATTATTATCCTCATCCGAGTAGTAAACCAATCCCGCATTTGCAACATCATCATCTTCGTAATCAAAACTTTGGTCATCGGCATCATCATCATCATCATCATCATCGTCATCCTCACTCGACTCAACAAAATATGCCTCTCTGTGTCCTGAACGTGATAGTTCTCTGGATAGATTTCTCAATTGTGACGGAATATTATTTAATGCCAAGCTTGCTTGATGGTTGCCACCTTCTCGATTGATTAGTCTATTGAAATGATTCTGCAATCTGTTGATGTCATTGAAATGGCGGAGAATTCGTGCTCTAAAATTAGATTCATCAGTCTCTCGCAGCATCGAGTTTTGGTCGCGTAGCATAAGGTCTGATATAACGTTTAACGAGTTTAACGTTGGAAATGTCTCAGTTGAAGCGTTACGAAATCGTCTCACGTCATTTAGTGGCAGACCTGCTGTTGTTGATTGATTTGATGGTCGTTGGTTTCCACCCAGGGAGTTTGACGGTGATGAGGGTGGCGGCATTTGTAAAGTAATTATTGTATATAAGTGCTTGTGCTAAGGAAGATACGGCCTATCATCGCCAGGAGTTTATCGTGACACACCTGCCACAAAAGGCTCCCAGGGATAGTGCGCTACCATTGTCCGGTCAGTCTTTGATAGGCAATTAAATCAATAACCAATACAAGGTAAAACTTGGGGAACAGTATTATTTCATGGGTAATATATCTTAATCAATATTCATACAGTTTGACTTTAGTCAACCCCAATTATTACCTACGGTAAAGATTGTAAAAATTTTGCATAATTGTGAACCAAAATTATTCCTTCTCTTACACTTACATTTACAAGTAATAGTGTCCAAATCCCATTTCTCTGCAACTGAAAGGAAAGTCAAAGTATGATATAAGATACCACCGAATTACAAAACAATCAACTTGAATATATGAATCCACACTGTTTTAGGTGCCACAGTAATACCAGGACGCGGAAATACTTCCCTTTTCGTCTATTTTTGTTTTGTTTATCTATTTAATTTTTCCCGCAGCTTGGAGCCGTACGAAAGAGCAATAAGATATAAAGATCATATATTGCGAGCAGCGGCTTTGCCCCTCAAATCTGAATAACAGAGATCACTCGCTAGTACGCTCTATTAAAGAATAACTAATCATAACATACATGGAGACAACCACAGCCGTAAGCGAGTTAAATCCGTTATTGGACGAAGAGGCTGTTGAACATTACACAACAGCAATCAATGATACCGAAGATGCTATTCAATCAGGTGAAGAGGATGAGGACGAGGACGAAGAGCTTGCATGGATACGGGAACACGCGGAGCTTCACAAGCAGACGTGCTGGTTTATGAGGCCATCAATGTTTCAGTTGTGCTTTGTCTTAGTCAGTGTCACTCTAGCAATGTCGATGGCAGAAGGTACAAGAAGAATTGTGCTCTTGAAGTTGGCATGTAATTCCTCTCTTGATTCGAAAGGACTCTGCTCCCCGGTGGATACTCAACTTATTGTATCAACATATGACCAGTATGCTTTGTTTGGAACCACACTTTTGTCCTTCTTTGCAATTTCAAAATTTGGTTTGTCTGACTTGTATGGGCGGAAACCGTTCTTGGCAGCTGGTGTCATTTCTTTCACCGCTTCAAATTGCCTACTGTTTTACTTGTACCATTACCAAACTTTCAAATTCAAATGGCTACTTCTTTCGTCAGTTTTGTCGGCTGTGGGGGGAGGCTACATGATTATAGGAACTATTGTTAATACATGTGTCATTGATTTGAACCAGAAACCATCAGAACGAGCTAATGCGTTAGCGCGGGTGTCTGCATTCACAAATGGTGGACAGTTTTTAGGTCCATTGTTAGGCACACAGTTGAGTTCGTGGGCAAAGGTGTCCTATGATGCCAACCCTGGCAAACAGATCCACATTCAGGGTATAACACGAAGTACGAAAGTGTTGAATAGCGAGTTTTTCATTTTGAAGCTCGAGTTGGTGATTGAGATTGCCCTTTGCTTATTCGTTGTGTTTATCTTTAGCGAAACCCGCACTCCGAAGGCCTTGGCAAGATCAAGAGCCAATTCAGTTACAACGAGAAGCTCAGCAGCGTCGCAGTTGGAAGCTTCAAACAGAGACACTCCTGGGTTAATTCACAGACTTGGAAATGAATATCTCGCTCCCTTGAAAGCATTGTTTCATCGCAAGGGCACAATGAGATTTATGGTGATCTCTTTAACGTTGGTTATTGTTCTTGACCAGGTCTTGATGCTTGGGTTCAGCCAAGTTTTCATTAACTGGGTGGTTTACAAATTCGATTTCGAAGCAACAGACATTTCCTATCTCCTTTCATTGTTTTCAATTGCAAGAGTTTTTAGCCTTGTTGTATTGCTTCCCTTTTTCCAAACCACAGTGCTTAAAGGGTGGTTCAAATTTAAAGTTTTGAAATCGCAATTTGACATGATTGACATGATTTTGACCGTGATGGCATTGGTGGTTGACCTCGGTGTGTTTGGACTTTTGTGTTTGGCTAAATCAAAAGCGGATGTTTTCGCGTCGTTGTCACTATGGTCGTCTGCGTCATGGACAGTCCCTGTGTTGCTTGCTGCAGCCCTAAAGTATTTCCCTACAAGCAAAGTAGGTGGATTTTATTCTGCGCAGGCATTGCTTCTGAATATCCTCACAGTTATTGGTCCACTTGTGATAATGGGTGTTTACAAATGGTCGTTGAGGCAAGAATGGGATAACTTCATTTTCTTGCTTTATGGAGGTTTCATGGTTGTGTTTATTTTGGTAGTGTTTATCGGTAAATGGGTATCCGGGTTGACGAGCAGCACTGAGGAGGAAAGAGTCGTTAGAAGGTCCACATCAGTAAACTTTGCTGGAGATTTGGTCAATGGAGTTTAGATTGGCTTTTTTGATTCAATTAATTTCTTAGATTTATACAGAGAGAGAAAGATCATTGTTAACGATCGTAATATACATTATAACCTCAATAGCTGTTCTTTAAAGCAGTAACACTATTCACCGCCAATATTTTTAAGATGTTGATCGGTGGTGTTTCTGTTCAAATGCAAGACACGCTTACCCATGTAAACAGCAAAGTATAAATTTTGTTGTGAAATAAAAAGTCGCAATTGATAAAAAGATTTTTGCTGTTTTTGTGACTTTTTACTGATAAGAAGAAGACTAAACAAATCAAATAAGTCACTCAGTTCACATTTTTAACATTGCTCTACTGTTGATTATTTCCTGCTATAAAGAAACTGTTATTGCTATTCACCAGATATATTGCCATGCTAATGAATGCTTGACATTGACGCTGCAACTACAGATACACCAACAGCCACAGTTATACATTACCAAGATTATGTTTGACATATCATTGCTCACCGGATTCCCCGATGAGATCATCTACAACATTCTTGATCAACCTTGCTTAACCCTAAGTGATATTTACAACTTCCTATTCAGCAAGGCAACCCACAATATAGCTCAACGTATCCTCAACAAACGAGTGTTAGTTCATTTATCGGTTGGTAAACGACGCAACTATGAAAGTTTGATCACATCAACTTACGATTACGAAACAACTTGCGGACCTTATCACTGGCATATATATTACAGCTTCACTACAGCCGATCTATTCCTACATTGGTTAGTGACTCACCATAGATTGGAAAACTATATTATCCAAATCTTTATTGAACAGTTTGATATCAATGAACTAAAGGTGTTGAAATTATTAACGTGCAAAAGGTTAAAGATCTATCTCAATTATGAACATGACTTGGGGAACCTGGTTCCCCGATTTAATGACATCGTATGGCCTTGCTTGAGAGATATTTTTAATTTGGTAGAGAATCGTACTAGTGTTGTTGTGGAATACGAAAATTTCATTGACTCGCCAATCCACATTAATCTAACCAATATTGAAGAAATTGAAATTAGAAACTATTTCCCTACTAACAATCCCTTTCACCTAATCAATGATGTACCTTGCTTAACCAAAATTATCCTCAATAACACCAGCATGGTGCCGTTGGCTTTCTACCTCGATTGTCGCGGTGATAATATAAGTACATTTATCATCAAGGGGCCAGTTGACAGTTTAGCTCATGTGGGAAGGTTTTTACAGTATCAGTGCCATCAAATTAGAAATTTGGTTGTAACTCGATGTCATTTGCATGACTTCAGTCGACAATTTTTGAACCATTTTGCTCCAATGGGACTACCAAGTTTGCGCAAGTTAGATTTGAGCAATAATGGATTTGGCAATTTGGAAAACATCAACTTACAAAACCCTTTCCCCTTATTGGAGAGTTTAGTCATGAAATTTGAAATCCACAAGACAGTCAAGTTTAAATTTAGTAATATTCAATTGCCAGCGTCGTTGAAGCTGCTCAGTTTGCAAGACAAGAAAATATACAGTTTTGATACTACACAAGGAGGACCTCAAAGATTGACCAGTTTGGATCTATCCTACAATTATCCTTTGGACTTCCATTTTGACAGTTTTGAAGAAATTGATTCATTAAATCTATCATACAACAGATCGATACTATCATCAATCCATCGGTTTAACCTTGATGATATTGCCCGCTTCATATTTTGCAAAGTTGAAGAATTGAATCTACAGGGTTGTAATATAACAAATGAAGATTTGGAAAGTTTGGAGTTGCTACTAACACCCCAGGGCAACACTACACAATTCAATTCACTGCAACTCTATGATGTACCACTTTCACGACTTCGCATCCTAAACCTATCAAATAACAAATTAAGCAACTTGCGATGCTTCAATTCGAAACCATTCCAATCATTGCCTTTACAACAGATTGATTTATCCTTTAATGCTTTCCATTACTTAAACAAATATAATTTCCCATTCACCTTAGCCCGTTATCCTCATTTATTGAAAATCAACTTGACGGGTAATTCACGATTACTGAATATTCAGTTAATGGATGGTGCAGATGACGATGAAAAATATCCTAAATTACAAACTATGTACACTTCAATTCGGACTGAATGAGTGTTGATTGTTCTTCTATTCAGTTGAACAAGAAAGCCATTTTGCTATTGCTTTACAGAAAATAAGAACTCTTTTGTGAATGGCCAGACATTGGCGTAATTACCGACTCGTGCAACAAAATGTTTGTATTCTTTGTAATCACATTGCGTAGATTGTTTCGTTTGATCGGTTTGGATAAGAATCCATTCATTCCGCAACTTAGACACTCTTTTATGTTACTTTCATCAGCAAATGCAGTGAGGGCTATTATCGGATTAGTGAAGTGTAATTTTTGTCGTATTATACCAACGGCTGTGATACCGTCCATTATCGGCATTTGAATATCCATAAATACCAAGTCAAATTGCTGTGGTACTAGCTCTTCTTCTGATTGATCCATTGACTGTTGTATCATTTCCACTGCTTCAGCGCCATTTGCAGCCATTACCAAATTCGTAAATCCTTCGAGTTTCAACATCCGTTTGATGACTTCTTGATTCACTTGATTGTCTTCAGCAACAAGAATCTTGATATTGGATAAGTGGTTCTGCGATGTTAGTGGTGTCGATACTAATGACTCTGTTGACGTGGGGGTTGTACTATGAGTACCAGTATTTGTGCCACTTCCATGGTTATCCGACTTTTGTGCTGTACCGGTTGAGCCCCTAGCAAAAGCAATACTTGAAGGTTTTAATTTTAATCCCTTTTGTGATGGTTTGCGACGATGGGTTAACGATGACGAGTTTTCGTTTGTATCTTCTTTACTCTCATCTGAGCTAGTATCCACTATATCATCTTCAAAAACAACCCTTCTGTTCATCTTCGAATTCGGATTGAACTCATCATCACAGAGAGCTTCAAGATCTTCAGGCGGAATCATGATCTCTCCTGTCTGTGGCAACGGAATGGTTAAAGTGAATGTCGATCCTTCTCCTACTGCTGATTTCACAGTAAGCGTCCCTTTCATCATCGAGGCCAACTGTCGGCATATACTTAAACCCAATCCAGTGCCACCATAGCTTCGACTCAAAGTTTGATCACCTTGAACAAATGGTTCAAACACCTTCTCTTGTAATGCTGGCTCGATACCTGAACCAGTGTCACGAACCTCAATTTGTATAACCCATTGTTTTGGATGGTGTATATTTTTAATCTTGTATGACTTGTGTCCTTCAATCTTTTCCTTTTTGTTTAATGTGTGGTACGTCTTGAAATCTTTGGCTTGAGGCATCATGTACTCGGACTTGGCATCAGACCCTTCTTCTTCCAATTTATCAAGTGATGACCTTGGTGATGGCGACCGCCGACTATCCGAAAATTGTTGTTCAAATAACGCATTTTCGTATTGAATTGTTGAAAGAGTAACGATACTCAGTGTGTCATCAAAGTCACCGCTATTCCTCTTTTTTGGATCAGCTTGTTTCCCTGGTGATGATGTGGAATCCTTAACTTGTACTAAAGTAGTATCGGTATTGTAATTAAAAGGGAATGGTCTTTTGCTGTCATGTACTAAGCACACTTTCTTGAAATCGCAAGCTGCTGACTTGTCATAATCATATTTTCCAAGCAATCTAAAAATGACATCAACTGACCCATCAACCGGAGTGAATTTGAGTGCATTAGACACAAGGTTCATTATGATTTGAATGATCCTATTTGAATCTCCATAAAGTATCATCTTTCTAAATAGACAAGGTTTGACAACAATTTTAAAGTTCACTCGCTGGTCAACAGCTAGTTTATTAAAAATTGAATTGATTTGATAAACAATTTCAAGGATTTGAAACTTGGATTTTTCCAACTTTGACCGGTTTAATGTGTTTTTTGAATATGTTAACAATTCTGTCAAGATATGGAGTAATAACTCACCAGATCTGTAGATCAATTTCAAAGATTCATGGAGTTTTTCCTCGTCCTCCTCTTCCATAGCAATTGATGTCATGCCTAGTATACCATTAAGAGGAGTTCGTAATTCGTGTGATATATTTGCAATGAACACCGTTTTGGCCTCGTTTGCCGCTTCAGCTTGGATTTTAGACGCCTCCAATTCTCGCGTTCGAAGCTTGACTCGCTCTTCCAAGAGAGTATACTGCTTGTCTAGTTCCTCGGTCATGATGTTGAATGCTTCCGACAACTCAGTTAGTTCATCCTTGAAGAACTTCTTTGATGTCTTAATGCGTGCTGGTAGTTGCATACCAGTGGAATAGCCTGAGGTAGATGAAGTTGTCGTTGACGTTACACTATTATTCCTTGAATCATGAGCAATCTTTTCGCTTAGTATTCTCTCTTTTCGGTATTTTGATATGTATTCTGCCGAGTCTTGCAATTGAGTAATGGGCCGGATAAACCACACCGCCAACGGAAACGTGATTAAGCACATAAATACAGCAATAGCAAACATCACACCAATTATGATCTTTTTCAATTTATTTACAGGAGCATTAAACACTGACTTCTCTTGTATCACAATGATTGACCATAAAAGATTGTTTTGCATGATTTGTCTGAACCCAATGGCAACACTCTCACCAGAATAGGATTTGACATTAGTGGAAGTTCCCGAAGGAGAACGTATAGCTGTTCGCACCGAGGTTGACGAATTAATGTTGTACATCTCCCCTGGTCTCAATAGTGAGTTTGCCACAGGAAACACTGTTTGGAATCCAACAGCCGCTTTAGCACGTTCAGTGGAGTTAAAAGTGTCCACGATGTCAGTTAAATTGCCATAAAGTGGTTTAACAGCAATAACATTGTAATCCTCACTTGTTGAATTTAACGCATCTCGAATTGTTTGCGCACTGGCAATAATCGATAAGTAACCAGCAATGTATGGTTTATCAATTATGATTGATGAGTTTGAGTAGACCGGCAACGTCACTCCGATAAAATATGGGCTGAATATATCGGATGAATCATTGGCCAACGGTCCTGTGAAGTAAAATTCTGACCCATTTGAATCTAGTAAAGCAGGTGGGATCGAGCTATTCTGTAGCAAGGGGAACAAGCTGCCAGCTGTTGCCTGAGATACTATTGTTGCATTATTGTACGAACTTGCCAGAACTTGCAAATCCAAATTGTATAATCTAGCTGCAGCAAAAGTTTCAGTTGATGACATATATTGGTCCAACGTATTTTGAGCACTGGAAAACACGGCATTCGAATTGTTCCCTGCCCTATACTGTGACAAGGGTGTAGTGATAGCATCCACAGAAGATAGGGTCCCCACTTGGTAAGCAATAAATGCCAAGGCTTGTTCCACTTGAGTGGATTTTAATTGTGATATGACATACAACCGTTCTGATCTCAGTTGAGTTAAATTCGTGCTAAAGTATAAACCAGTGACGATCCCTAGGATTAAGAGCGAGAACAACGAAGCAAAGCAGACTAGGACTATAAGCTGCGGTCTTATCCCTATCTTAAGCCTTCTCATACTGTCTTTGTGTGTGTGTTTGTGATGGTGCAATGATCAAGTAACTCAACTCTGCGTGGTGACTACTCTATATATGTGTTGGTATTTCTCTTTCTTTGTTATAAACATGTAACTTGTAAGATAGTCGTTTGGGTAGTTGTATTTGTAGTTGCAAATAGGATATTGTTTCTTGAATGTGTAGTGTTATAGAGATGTGTACACCTCTCTAGTGAATAGATCGTTTCTTTTCTTTTTTTTTTGGCAGTTTCCTATTGTTTGTTTCTCGTAAAATGGTTATAAAGCCTTTTACAGATGATGACGATGAACAAAGAGAAAATGGATTCAACAGAACACCGCCAAGGCTCTTCTTTGTAGTATTGAAAATTATTATTTAAAAAAAAACTACAAGGTAAGTATAAAAGCGAGTATATGCAAAGTGTTTCAAGGTTTAAGGTTTTAATACCAAGAACTAATGCTATTTTTACTAAGAAGGTAAATTTGCAGCTTATTAATGTTCTATAAATATATGAGGAAGAATACATTCTATTCCTGGAAAGAGTCAAGACAGAACGTAGTAGTAGCATATTTATCCTACATAGATTCTTTACCATTTTTGTATGCTTCAATTAGCCTGCAGAACTACACTTTGACATTCAATTTCATCCCCACGATCTGAGCTCGTGCAAGGAGCCAAAAAAATAATCCAGCCACTGATAAACAGCCAACAAAGATAATAAAGTTATCATAGTCGTGCACTTTGCCGTGTTTAATTATTGCTGCGGCGATTGGGATACCGAAAAGGTTGGCCAACGAAAGATAAAAGTTCAATATTCCGTACTTCTTGCCCAATTCATTAGCCTTGGAAATTTGTGACAAACACACTGGCAAAAGACTAAGTATTGATCCCGAGAATAATCCTCCCAAAACGCTAAACGCGTAAAGCACCTTGTGATTATTTCCAAATGGAAGTAGCAACACCAATATCGTCAAACAATAGCCCACCAACATAATCACATTTATGTTGAACCTTCCAAAGTAATCACTAGCTAGACCAGGCAAGAATCTTCCTAAAGTCCCGATACCATTCCATATTGTAATCAAAACCAAAGAGTCGGATTCGCTCATTCCATGAGCTATGGCGTAACTGGCAAAATATGTGACTAGTAACACGAGACTAAGCTCGGTAAAAAACCCACCACAGATAATAAACAAAAAAATTGTATCTCTCACTTTGCAAAACTCAATAAATTTACCAGGCACCTCGTTCCATTGGAAAGAAAGTTTATTCAGTCTCTTTTCTTTCCTAAACCTCTCCCTCACTAAGACAATTGAGCAAATCATGCAACCCAAACATGTGAATGCTAATATTCTAAGAGCCCATACAAATCCCACCAGTGAATACAACTTTCTCAACATTAATGGAAATACTAGCCCGCCAATACTTCCTCCTGCTGTTGCAAGCCCGGTGCTGAATCCAACACCTAGCTTGCTATTCATGCCTTCAAACTTCTCTATCTTATCATCATCGTCTAAGGCAATATTTGAATTGTCCAGATTTTTAATCTTGGGGCTAAACCAATGGCCTATAACAGACACTAACGGAGCCATGCCAAAGCCATTGCCGACACCTAAACTTATAAAACTCAAAATAAAGTGCCAAACTTCAACACTACTGGCTGCCCCCATTAGTCCAGCAAATATAAACGATGTCAGATATATTAATAGCCATAACGTTCCATTTGAGTCAAATAATGGACCCGAGATTAATGCCCCGGCGTAAGCCAATGCCAAATAAATTGAAAAGATCCAAGAAACTGTGCTGGCAGAATACCCTTTAAACTGATTTACTGAAACATAAGATTGCACAGCACCAATGGAGTTGATCAACCCTAAGTTAACAACAAGCCCAAGAAATGAACCAACTAGAACGGCGTACGGTTGCACATTTTTGAATCTGGCAAATGTGTCATCATCTGGACTTGAGGATGCTGAAGAAGAAGAAGACAACGGCGAATCAGATGTCCGTTGGAATTCAATCGATGACTGAACTGATTGGTCTTGTCTTGGTGTGTCAAAGCTGTTTGGTAATTCACCGATAGGAGTGGCTGGGTGGTCCCGATCGTCAAATTTATTGGAGTTTATATTCCTCGAATGAACATGCGCAGCATTCAATTCAATCTCTTCCGTGAAGGTCATTTAACAGTCTCTGAAATTGGTTGACAGCGTGTGTTTATAGTGTATTGTGGAGTTAAGTTTTGGTAAGTTGGATGCCGATGAGGTTTTATACATAAACTTTTTGCTGCGCTTGACTAATTTCGGAATTACACCTCCATTAGATATCGATTAGTCATCGGAGGTGATTTTGATTATGCATTTAGTTGTAACCTTAAACTTATTTAGAACACAGACACCATTAGTTAGGATTAACTCGCTTCTTCTATAGCTGCGTCGTTCAACCAGGTGGCAGTTTGCTGTCCCAACTGAACCCCTAACAATCTATGCCGTCTCACTAACTTAAACAGATTTGCGCTGCGCATTGCTTCTGGTAGCAATATGAAAAAATAAATAAGAAAGCAGCAGCATCTTTGCGAATACTTCCAATTCCTAAAAGAGGCATACATACGATCAAAGCAATGCCACACGACCACCACGGGGAGGAGGAGAGGCTATTAGATGATGAGCATACTCAACAAGGCAGCGTGAATGACTTGCACAGCGATAACTCAGACCACGAAGATAACGATATCGTATACATCAAAAAACAGATCAAGCAAAATGCCACACAACCGTTCTACAGACGGCCTAGTGTTTTTGCTGTAATCTTTTTGATAGGGTTGCTCACTCTTAGCTCATCTAGTGCAGAGGGCACCCGCCAGTCATTAATCTACGCCAAGGCATTGGAATCGTCAAAAAGTGACGAGGCGTCAGTTCCCTACATTGTTGCTCGTTTCAACCAATACTTCTTGGTTGGAACTACGGCAACAGCGTTGATCCCAATCGCCAAGTTTGGAGAATTATCGAACGTGTATGGAAGGAAGCTATATTTTGTGATGGTCATAATCACAATCACCATTTCGCGCATGCTCCAGTACCACCTTTTCAGAAACTACGTGGGTTTGCAGTTTGGTAAGCTACTTTTGGCCAATTATGTCTCGTGTTTGTTTGGAGGAGTCAACATTATTGGAGCATTGACCGAACTGTATGTGTCAGATTTTACTTTGCCCGAAAGTAGAATTTTTCAATTTGGCTTGGCTTCGTCAGCGACATTTATTGGGCAACTGTTTGGTCCGTTGATAGGTACGTTGATTAGCGATTGGGCTGGCGGAAAGTCAGCCGAAGCAGTCAGTGAGGCTGACTTCACCGTGTTGAAGTTTGAGCTAGCAGTTATGCTTTTGTTGCTGGTTTATGTTATCACGTTATTTCCTGAGTCAAGGAACGAATTAGCAAGAGAAGCATCAGAGGAGCAATTGGTTGAGCACGAGCTAGAGGAGGAAGGAAATTCGGCTTCTGAGGCTGCTTCCGAGTCAAGCGACCTTGACAAAAACCTCAACAGACTTGTCTTGTATCAAATTTTCAAGAGCATTGACATTATACAACCAATGAAAATCCTAACATATCCTAGCGAAGTGGCAAAGGTGAACAAAAAGCACCGCTTGCAAGAGTTGCGTTTAGTTGTCATATCGTTGGTGCTAATTTATGCCACGTATCAAACATTGATATTTTCCTTAAACCAGGTGGTTATCGAATACGGGCAATATGCATTCCATTGGGATTCAGACAACATATCCTACCTCCTATCAACAATTTCAGTATCGCGAGCCATCTCGCTTGTGTTAATTTTACCGTTTTTTGAGAAAACCTTGTTGAAAAGAACATTCTCCTTAAGATCGTTGAATCGGCTGTTTGACATGGTGGAGTACATCCTCATGTTATTATCTTTTGGCGTTGCCATACTTGTATTTCTTGCATTTTACACAACTCAGAGTCGCGGTTTTTACATCGCTGCAGGGTGTTTTTCATTCGACGCATTAATTGGCCCTGTATTTGATTCAACGATTATCAAGTTTTTCCCCAACTCTAGTTCTGGCCAAGTTTACGGAGCAATCACATTACTCGTGTCGTTGATGAATTTAGTCTCGCCCATATTAGTGACCTGGATCTATGAGTTGGCGTTGAACTTTGAACATGCCAATCTTGTGTATTTGTTTTATGCGTTTTGGATGGGTGTTTTCATTTTCGTTGTTTACTTGTGTAAGCGTGTGTTGCATTTGAACAGAAGCACCACCGATAAGGAGTTTAAGTTCATGAATGGTGAACTTTAGCAAGTACTAATAAGATTAATGTTTTGGCTACATCCTTTGCAATATCAATCAGTACAAGGACTGTCCACAAAGCAGGGTGACTCATAAGATGGCGTATATGAACGTGTGATACAAAGGTCAAACGAAGAAGATTACACTTGAAACGCATTGTGTCTGAAAATAAGTAGCTCTCTACCCCCTGACACTTGTGTATTTTGTGGTGTTGAATATGAGAAGTGTCAAAAGATAAGCCAATACACCTGGTTGTTATACAAGTGCACCAGAGAAAGGAATAGATCATAAATATTTCACTTAAATAAAGGAATAAATAACCACTAAAAAAAAAGGCCCGCTCCTCATTACTGATCAATTGGCAAAATATTTGGTACTGGTCCCAAAGGAGTAATACCATAAGGATTAATCTTGACATGAGATTTAGTATAATGGTACTTGATATGTTCAAAATTTGTCGTCTCTTGGAACCCAGGGATTTTCCAATACAACAATCTAAGCCAATTATGAATATTTGGATAATGAGTTCTAATCATTCCAATATTGCATTTGAAATGTTGAACATAAACTGGGTCAAAACGGATAATTGTAGTGAATAACCTAATATCAGCCTCAGTTAAACTATTGCCTAATAAAAATTCATTTTTGCGGTCTTGTTGCTTATTCTGTTGCAATAATGACTCAACTTTATCCAAATGGGCAAACACGTTACGACACTCTTTATCATAAACCTCTTGCTTGGATGCAAATCCTGTTTTATAAACTCCATTGTTGATGTTATCATAGACCCAGCTGTTTAATTCATCAATTTGCGATTCCAACTCTTTGGGAACCAAATTCAAGTCAGCATATTCTGTAGGCAAAATTGAATTAAATTCGGAATTCAACATTCTGATAATCTCGGCTGATTCGTTATTGACAATTGTTTGCTCCTTTTTGTCCCACAATACAGGAACAGTGAATCTACCTTGATAATTGGGATCAGCTTTAAAGTACAATTCTCTCAATCGACTAAAGCCATATAAATGGTCAGGTGTGCCTAATGACACATCATCCTTTTGCTTTAATGAATCCAATTCTTCCTTGGTTGGGAATCTCCATCCTTTATCATCCATGTGCCAGTGAACCACTGACAATCCTATAATTGAAACCAAACCTTTCAACCTCCTAGTGATTAATGTACGATGGGCCCATGGACAAGCAAATGAAACATACAAGTGGTATCTACCTGCTTCAGGAGGGAATCTAGCACCAGGCTTGCTACTAATCCAATCACGAAAAACCGATGGTTTTCTCTTGTAGTTACCATCTTCGTCGGCAAACTTTAAAATTTCAATATTCTAGAGAAAGGGTTAGTATGAGCTATGTGAAGGGTTCAGTAGATAAAAAAGACATGCTCCAGACATTATAGCTAATTAATTGATACTGCCCAAAGGTGTAGATGAAGAAGGAGCGGTGAAATTTTTGAATATTTAAATGACTATTTGACCCTGGGGGGATACAACAACAAAAGTATGGCCGTTATATACAGGATCTGCTGTTTTACTTTAGTAACTAATTACAAATGGGGAGAAAAGTGGATAATGACTAAAGTTTTAGTATGACATATACTTGTACTGGCAGCTAAATGTGGCAAGGAGCTGCTTATAGAAATCCATTCAATTCAAATAGTATCTACTCTATCCCATTACTACTCGTTGTGTTGTTTCCCTTACAAATTTAAAGTAGATTGCTATGACGTATCAACAATGTCATAAATAAATACAACACGACATTGAATAAAATGAGTCGTGTGCATTAACTCAATTGTTATTTTGTATATTTTGGTTTTTTCTTTCTATCATCAATCCTCAACAAAAGCGGCTCATAATTCACGAAACTTTTTCCAAAACAACAAAAAGTCTTAAAACAAGAAACGATTACAGAATATGACATCGATTAAAGAAGATTCTATTGATGAGAAGATAAACCCACAACTTAAACAAGAAACACTGCAAGCAGAGGAGCTGTCGCAGGCACAATCAAAGCCTGAAGAAACACAGGCAACATCTTCTCCAAGCAGCAAGAACAATAGTTCCGCCACCGAAGCCACCACCTCTACAAATACGTCAAAGGCATTACGCAAACTACCCCCACTTGCCAGTCTTCAAACCGTCTATCGTAGTGACTATCAACCATTCACCACGTTTTTACCGTACGAGCCAGCATATAGAGAGCAACAACCCAATAGTAATTCACCTACAGGTGTAAACGCTGTAACGACGACAAATATTGCTGCTAGTGCCGTATCACGTTTAGAATCGGGAGATTTTGAGTCAGCATCCACAGAGGCAAAATCCGAACCAATTGAGTGGAGTGGCAACACTACCAATGCTAATGATACCGAACTGAGGACACAAGACTCCAAGGTTGATAATTCCCGACAGTCGCTGGAAGGAGAAGAATCTCTTCATCAGCAACAACAGCAGCAGCAGCAGCAGATGTATCCTCGCTTGACCAAAGCCCAACCGAGCTCATTTTTATTACCCAAAGACCGACAAAAACCATTCAAATGCACGTTTGAATCCTGTAAATGGACATTTGCACGTCAATCCGATCTAACCCGACACTTCAAATCACACATGGCGCCACAATACCATTGCCCTTATTGGAAAAATGATCCAACCTGTCATAAAAATGGCGGCGCTTTTAATCGATTAGATGTTTTAAAACGACATTTGAAATTGGTACATTTTGTAAGAGATAAGCGATTACCCATTGGTGAGGGAAACGGCGTCAGTGGAAATGGAGAAGGAGGAGGAGCTAGTGGTGTAAATGCTACAAGCTCATTGATTAAGAGTGTTGATGAACCAGGGTGGTGTCGATCTTGTCAACGCATGTTCCCTAATGCCAAGGCATTTATAGACCATTGTTATGAATGTGCGTCACAAACACAACCAACAGAATGGCGATCTCAAAAAGGCTCGAGTGGCAGGACTGGTGGCGGCAGTGGTGGTGGTGATGGTGATGAATTATTATCAAGCGCTGATCTACACCAGACTAAATTTAGAGTACTTTTAGGTCCACCACAAGCAAAGAAGCAGAAAATTACGCCCACAGCAACCACAACAACGGGTACATGATACAATGAACGTAGAAAAAAAAAACATGGAACACGAGAATCAATTTATATAAGTTATAATAATACACTAATAAAGGGTGGAGTAGTAGCTGAAAGAGAGTGGAAACTCCAATCCAATCAATGCTGAAAGAAAATTCACCTCTTACGTAGATTGTTCACTTTCCCTTTCTTCTCTTTCAAAGAAATCGAGAATGGCACAATTTGGATGAATGATATAAACCGTCCTTACTCCAGACGAAGTTGGATCAGGCATCGACTCATCACCATCATCACCATCATTGCCCTCATTTTCATTATGAGACACACTCATCAAGATTCTATCTTTAACCAATCGTTTCAAAACCTTGTAGGCAATTTTACGTTGTTGTAAGTAATCAGCCTCGCTCGATAAATCATCTTCTTTTTGTAACAAGTACCATTCGACTAATTCGTCAGCTGTCAAGCCTTCGCCTCCCGCTTTATCATCCTCGGATATTTTCTTGACTAACAAGTTCATCACCGAGACATATTTATCATATGATATCGTTGTTGGTTCAGTTCTAGTAGTTGTTGATCTTGCAGCATCACTCAGAGCGTTTCCACTGGCATCTTCATCCATATCCGCATTCTCTTCTTGTCCCTCTTCTTGCTGTTCAATATCATCGGCTTCCATTTCAATATCATCCATTTCAACTCTAATGATTGATTGTTTTAACAAATCATAAGCTTCAGCTACAAAATCAGGCGTGATTTCCTCAGTACAGTTGGCCCTAGCAATAGCTTCACTTAGTCTAATCATTGACTCCAATTGACGAACAGTGATACGATAGGAAGAACGACCCAAACCTTGAGCATCATCGTCACGTAATTCTTTATACCTAGTAACAAGGAAGTCTCTTGCTTGTTTGGTCATTTTGGGGTTGAATGTTTTGGCATATTTGATATATCTGGACAATTGTTCGGCTGAATAAGGTGGATCAATAGCTTCATCTCTGAGCATATGCAAGTCAACTATATGTGAGGCCAATTGAGTATCAACACGTTCATTACAGTCATCCAAAATGACAAAAAACAAATCAAATCTTGACATGATGGGCGCCGTCATGTTCAAGTTTGACCGAAGACCAATTTTTCGATTATACCTACCACCAATGGGGTTTGCTGCAGCCAAGATTGAAGTACGTGCATTTAAAGTCGCATGAATACCTGCCTTGGCAATTGAGATGGTTTGTTGTTCCATAGCTTCATGAATTGCCACTTGGTCAACAACATCCATCTTGTCAAATTCATCAATGGCACAGATTCCATTATCGGCCAACATCAACGCACCTGCCTCGATGGTGTATTCACCGCTTTCCTCATCTCTCACCACTGCCGCAGTCAAACCAGCGGCTGAAGATGCTTTACCCGAGGTGTAAACGGCACGAGGACTAAACCCACAAACATATTTCAAGAATTGCGATTTAGAAGTAGATGGATCTCCAACAATGCAAATATTGATATCACCTCTCAAATTGATTCCGTCAACTGTTTGTTTGTGAACACCAGAAAGTAGTTGTAACAAGATTCCTTTTTTGACGGTATCATGCCCAAACACAGCTGGAGCAACCGATTGAACTAATTTGTCATAAATGTATTCATCTTTAACCATCTCTTTCAACTCATCAACTTCAGATTGTGGTAAAGAGAGAAGGTAGGCATCGGAGTTATCATTATCCTCATCCCGCTCATTACCAATTTTGTTAATCATTGAGCAAACATGGCAAGCATTGAATGCCAACTTATATGTTAAATCTCTAACACCAAGTGTTTTCAATCCTGAAACACCTGAATTCAACTCTGATCCCCCTTTGTTTTCCTTGATGGATTGAGGTTTGACACCAGGTAAACCCAACTGTGATACATCAGGTATGACAATTTCGCAACCGGTGAATTTACATTTGTCACCCGGCTTGGCTCTTTCTACTGCCTCGCCTCTTAAAATCACATCCAATGTTCTTGGCATTGATCCGGTGGGGATTTCATTAGCATTCTCTTGTATACGAACCCTTTGCCAGTCGATAAACAACGATTTGGACACATTCAAGGTGAAGTACGATTGGTTTTCACATGAAGGACATGAAGTTGGCTCAGTGTATTTGAAAATCTGTTCAACACCTTCAATCAATGCCGAGCACATGTCACAAGTAAAGCTTCCCATATACAATTCAGGTCTAACTTCAGAAGTTCTGGTGACAGTACCAGTAATTGTCATCAACGACCCAATCTTGTTTGAACGAACATCTCTAATTCTTTGAACTGTTGGTAAATTGAAAAATGAAAGTTGGAAAACACGTTCATTTGAAGCGGCACTAGTTGTAGATAAACTGTTTTCACTTTCTGGTTCGTCATTTTCAACTTGACCCAATAAATTAGTATGAAGTAATTGAGGGGCATATTTTTTCAAAAGTCTTTTCAACCCATTGAGCAAAAACGGGTAGAACCGATAATATTGTTCCGATATAGCAGTAGCTAAAACCCCATTTTCTCTGGACATTAAATCTTGGTAGTTAATGTACAACGTACTATATTCAAATGTCTTCATGGATTCAATTTGTGCCAAGTATATCTTCCCCTCCCATCCATTATCCAGTTGCTCCGGATCAACAAATTCTTCAATAAAATTTTCAAAACTTTCACGAACTTTTTCACCAGTAACATCAACTACTTTAGGGGCAGCATTTTGTCTTCTTCTACCGGCGACGATTGGTCTTTGTTGGGAATTTATCTGCAGTTGTTGCAGTTGCAGTTGTTGATGGTGGTGTTGCAGCTGCAGTTGCAGTTGCAGTCCTAATATTGTAGAACCATTGTCTGAAAACATGATGGGACCAGTTGTTGTTGCTGGAGCAGGTGTGGAAACATCTCTGCCGTATGATGAGGATACTTGTGAATTAAGCAATTGAGCAGCATCTGATGGTATACCAGCAGGCGATGAAACAAAATTAGACATCTGTGTGGTGTGTGTGTGTGTGTGTGTGTGTGTGTGTGTGTGTAAGTGTGAATAGACTGCAATTAGATATCAAGTGGTAAGAACTAGTGGTTGAATCAAGGGTGATATATATTTTCTGTACTTCCTTTCAGTTTTGAAAAAAAAAGGAAAAGACGCGTCTCATTATTATATTTTGTGTTACACAAAACAATTAATATACCGCTACCACTTTAGTCAATCAATTATCCTAAATAGGAATAAATATTAATTATACACACCAAGTATTCCATCAAGTGGTGTGTACTTAATGTTCAACATTTGTAAACAAAGTTATTATGAAAAGAAAAGTTTATAGAATACAACTCTGTGAGTCTATTTATGAATTAATACACAATGGTCTTTACTCCTCTACTTACATGTAATTAGTCTTTATCATAACATCATTTAAATTTTTTGTTCTTTAAATGTTCTAAATAATAATATAAAAAACACATCAATATATATACAAGAACCGATATGGTCTTCTAGTCTCTCCAGGTTTACTGATCAGGCAACATGTTAATATCAAACCATCCCAAAAAATCATCATCTTGATTATCCATCCATCCATTCGATTGTTGTTGGAAAAAGTTATCAATTTGTGATACAAATGATCCTGATGAAGCTGCTGCTGCTGCTGCCGCTGCTGCCGCTGCTGCTTCATCGGTAGCTGTGCTCGGTTGCTGTTGTTGTTGATGATGTTGTGGGTGCTGGTTGTTGTTGAATACAGAGTATTGATCGTTGACATTGACTTCTTCAATCGTAGGTAAATAGCTCTGTGGTGGCGGTGATTGACCGAATTGGAATGGTGGTTGGTGGGACAACTGTTGTGATTGGAGTTGAGGTGGCTGTCTTTGTTGTGAAGGTGCACTAGATTCGAGTATTGGTGTAGCTTGTTGTAGTTGCAAGTGCTGGTGCTGTGGGGGTGGCGATTGTTGTTGCAGTTGTGATTGATGTGGCCACGGTGACTCTGTCTTAGTTACAATTTCTGGATCTGGATCTGACACATTTATTAAATCTCTTGTTGATCCAGTGGCTTCCAACATAGATAATGGAATACCATTAATCTCCAATGGTTTATTATCTCCAGCATTCAGCTTGGCTTGACTCATTGCTTGATCAGTAGGCACCAAAGTTGTGATAGTAGTACCATTGGGAGTAGTTGTAGTAATGGTACTGAAATCATCTTTTGTGATTTGATTATAAAATGGCAAAGGAAGCAATTTCTTATCATTAGTGTCAATTTTTTTTGCTGGTGGTTTTCCTTTATCCAAAGCAGTTCTTCGTTTCCCTTCATGAACACACCACACTAAATCATAAAACAACGATGCAGTTAGATGAGATCTCATTCGTGATATTATGCTTGATCCTTCCTCTTTATCCTCTTGTAAAAAGATATCGGGGTAAGTGTATAATACAATGTTTAGATTTTCCAAAACTTTAGCCGTTCTTGACATGTCATTTTGCAAGTTTTGCCATGAACTCAAAGTGTTCCTAAACATTCGATGTACGGTAACAATCGATTGTCTTGCTGAATCAACATATTTATCAAAAAGATATTTCGATAAATGTAACTTGAAAAGAAGCAACACTGAATATGAAACTGCTTGTCTGATGTATATTGGCAATTCGATAAGACTGGTTTCTTGATTCAATTTCGAAACAATGGTGATTATCCGAGTGGCGGATAAATATGCTGAACTAACATACTTGACTTGATCTTCAATAGGAGTGCCCGGCAAAAATGCAAAACAACAAATCATCAACTTTATGTAAAGATAATACACTTCAATAGGAGATCCTTCTTCAATTTGCAACTTGAATCTTAATCTTTCCAATTCCCGATCCAACAAATTTAACGATCCAGCACGATTCAGGGGTTCTAATAATCCATCGGGCCTAGTAACGCTAATTCCCATAACATTGACCAATTTGCATTGGAAAATTGATAACGAAATCAAACAGCGGAACTGCTTGGGTAATGATTGATCAACACGAGCGTTTTCCAACAAGTAATCAGTGGTGTTTATCGAAGGTGGCAATCCCAACAATGACGACCAAAATTGTTCACAAAAGAATAAAGCTAGCCATGATCTAGTTCTCCATTTTTCGGCATCGGGGCCCAAACTAACTTGATTACGACTAAATTCTTGAATGAATTCTCCACCTCGATGTAATCCCAATTGTAATGACAAATTCTTGGCCAAGCCAACAAAACGATAAGAGCAGTCATCAAGTACTTTTTCATTAGGCAAAGGCCAGATGGATAATATAATCAATGCTTGGATCACGTGGGTGGATCTTGGGGTCTTGATCCAGCATGTTTCTATTGCCAATTGTTTAATTAATGATGCTAATGACATGTATAAAGTTGGCTCTGGCTCACCTAAACTGGCAGTTAAAATGACGACCCAAAATAATAAATTTGATTTGTGATACAATTCTGTAGCGGAACGTGAATTAATAATGGGGAAATACTTTAAATTCCTTGTCATGAACCGATGGTGCAACTCATTGGCTTTGGATAAAGGTAAAGTAACATCACCCAACACAAATTCTGAAATTGGTTGGTAATTTTCCTCCTTCATGTCGTAATTACTCAAAGCCGATGGTGAATTGTCAGAGTTTTCACCCATTAATGGAGGACTTTGATGTATTTTGGTTACTGATGAGATAGGCGACATATTGGGGCTATGAGCATAAGATGATGAAGGTAATACCATAGGACTGATAGCAGCATTTGAGGGATACAGATTACTCCTTTGTGGTTGTGGGTGTGCAGGTGTATGTGCCTGTTGTTGTGGCAGGAGTTGTGATTGAACCTGAGGTGAAGATGTTTGATTAATAAAACCCATATTATGCTGGCTCAATGCTTGTGTTAAAAGCGATTCATTTTTAGTTAAAAGATCAATTTTTGCTTTCAATTCGTCAACATCCAGCTTCAACGATTGTATTTGTGATCCCTTCTTTGGTCTAAATTCAGGATCTATTTCACATTTGAGTCCCATTCGATCGCATCTTTGGCATGGTTGTGGGTAATTGTCCAGAGCATTACATTTGATCTTGTGTTGACGACAAAATGTGCATGAAGTCACTGGTCTATGTCCTGTTTGTTTAGACTGTTTTTGTGATGAGTCTTTGGGTGATTCATCCATTAATTTGGGCTTTTTGCTTTCACTAGGCGACACACTGCTACTGACTTTTCTTTGCTTCTTCAATTCTGGACCAGATGCCGAAGAATTGGTGGTGGTGGTGGATGTTGCGGCAGTTGCAGATTTTGAACGCTTAGGTGCAGGCAAGATAGGTGTATTCGCGTATCGAGGAGATACGGAGACTAATGGAGATGGTGTTTGTGGAGAGTGGGTCATAGGTGCTGGTTTGGGTAATATTTTTACCTTTGCCTTTTCCGTATATTTCATAGCTTTTGCAATGGTGTTTCAATATGTCAATTATGGTGCGATTGTTGAATGTTATTGATAAAGTCTGGTTGCTGTTGCTGTTGCTGTTGCTGTTGCTTCCAGTGATGCGTGATCGTGGTTGATTCTCTGTAAGTTTAAATCCTCGTAATTTCTGACAAAAAAGAAAAGGAAGCAGGCTCTGGATTGGGAGGATAGTTAGGGCTATACTTGATGCAATGCAAAAAGAATTCAATGATGGTCTCTTCGTGTAAAACTTATTTGAACCTCTAAGAATTAAAGAAATTCAATAAAAAATTTCTTTCCTTCTGTTGTAAATTTGAAATGGGTTTATTAAATAGAATGGGTTATTTTGTTGTTTTTTTGATTTTTTTAATTGTTGAAATTTTATATTTTATTTTTATTTTTATTTTTTTTTATATTTTTTTATATTTTTATTTTTATGATTTTTATTTCCCTGTGACAACAGTTATAGTATGTATGAATGGATGTTCAGAGAAGGTCAGTTCCGTAACTGACAAATGTAAACTATTGCAGCATGGATTCAAAGGTAGTGTACTTGTGAACAAGACGTTGAACTGATGGAAAAGATAAAAATTTTCAGTGTTACACAAACCGCAAGAAGGTAGAGAGGAATGCAGATGGGTTTGATGTTACAGCATGTATGAAATTGCCTTGATAAGTGTTTGAAGATAGTTACATGACTCTAGGGTGTATTGTATTATCCTGAATTGGTCTATATAATAAGTATAATTTAATATAGGGTGTCATTATTATGAGAAAAACTCAATCGTTAAAAGTATATTGTTCTGTACCAAGCAATGTCAAACTGACACTAGCACTAAATTCCAAGAAAAAAAAACAAAAGAAAGAAAAAAGGCTCAGAAGGAATTGGAATAGCACATTCCTCTTCCCTTTCTTATTTGAAGGATATTAAAAAGAGAAGACCATTTTAGTAGAAGGGTTGACAATTTGGTCATCATTTTTGTTTCCCAAAAGCCTAGATCTAAAATGATGATTGTTTAGTGATGTAATGAATAGTTGCTATAAAAAAGAAGACCTAAAATAATGGACATTAATTACCGAAAGCCTTGTATTTAGTCTATTAAATGAAATGTATTTTGGCGCAACGAATATTCCATTTGTCCCTTTTTTGACTCACCCACGGCAATTAGAGAAAAAATAAAAAAACAAAAATAAAATAAAATGAGAAAGTTATCTAAAAGATCAGTGGAATGTATATAAACTCCTTATATAAGAATTGAATTGTAGACGACGAAAATGCAATGTGTGGTCACACTTATACTTTGTTGCTCATATCCCTATTTCGCAATTGACAATACACCTTCTCTTGAGTAATTATGCTATCAGTTCTTCTTTCAAACAATACATACAATGCAAACTTGAAACAAATGAACAACGAATTTAACTATATAAAAAATAACTACTGAATCTAGCCTAGCAACCAAACCTGATCCAAAATAACAAAAAACTAACTATACACTCTTTTGTAGGGTAATAACGAATAAAAATAATAAAAAAAAACCAAAAGGCACGTTGCCTTCCTCCTTCCACTTGTCTTGCAACAAGTCTACTCTTCATCTTCAACTTTTGGATCACCAATTCCATCTTCATAAATAGCAAACACACAATCACTTTCAGGCAAGCAAGGCGAGTCGTAAATCTTACAAATTCTCTGTTCACCTCTTCCCTTCTTCAATGATAATCTCGTAGTTGAAGCATGGGCAATAATGTTTCCACCAATTGGTTTCTTTGGATCAGGGTTGTACATTCCTGACATTCCATCAACTTGAGCCACAACTTGATTGGTGATAACCACAGCAATACCAAACTCATCAGCTAATCTTTGTAATGTTCTCATAAACTTGGCGACTGATGTTTGTCTAGCACTTAATTCACCTCTACCGGCATAATCAGTACGATACAATGACATAATTGAATCCACAATCAATAATGAAAATCTCAGCTCGGCCATCATTTGCGCTGCTAAATGTAATAAATTCAATTGATGTTCAGCATTGTATGCACGGGCATAAGCAACGTTATCTAAACAATCATTAGGACTGAGTCCATACCTCTCGGCAATTGAAACTAATCTGTTGGGTCTGAATGTTCCTTCAGTATCAATGTAAAGACATTTACCTTCTCCACCACCCATATCTATAGGTAACTGACATGTGACTGCAAGGGTATGACATAATTGAGATTTACCAGTTCTAAACTCACCAAACACTTCGGTTATGGATCCAGTTTCAACGCCACCACCTAATAACGTATCTAATTGTTTAGATCCAGTAGTCAAACAAATCAACTCTGATCTTCTTGAATGAAACTCAGATGCAGTGGTGAATCCAAGTGGAACTAATTTGGCCGCTTCATTAGAAATCTTATCTGCTTTAGCTTCACTAATACCCTTGACCGTGATTAATTGTCTTTTTGGTGTATAAGCAATCGATTCAATAGTATGATATCCTTCAGCTTTTAATTTCTTAATGTCAGACGATGTGATACCATTTCCTTCAAGTTGTTCTATAAGTAAAGGTCCATTTAACTCTTCGTCTTCTTCTTCTCCTCCTCCTCCTCCTTCTGCACCACCCGCGTGTTCTTCTTGCATATGATGATCGTGTCCTGTGGAAGAAATGGAGATGTTGGATGCTTCGAGTCTTTGCAGTTGTAACTCAACTTCAGTTTGTGACATTGTTGGTATCTGTAACGTAATATAGGTGTTATAAAGACGTGTATGTTAGAAAGAAAGGTTTACGCGTTTGGTATTTAGCCTCGCGTTCTTTTCAAACATTTTTGTTTCGCCTCTTTGAATCTATGCGCTACCAATTTGTTGATGATTTTCTTCTGTAGCCAGATTTGGTTGCAAAAAAAAATATATCGAGAAGCAGATACGGATCTTGTAACTACAAGTGATAATTTGGGTAAAAAAGGAATTATAGAAGAGTGTGTTATATCTAACAGAAGTAAGGTTGATGAATCTGGACTAAGTTTGTGGAGTAGTTTGGTGTAGTTTATGAACAATTTGACAGAGGTGGGCTTCATGTCGTCACATATAGTGTGGTAAAATGTTGCCAGACGGTTAAGATCAGTTTAAAACATATGTGAGATCTGTTGTTAAAACATTTATCTCTTGATAGATAAAGATCTATTGGAGGGGCGATCTGTATGATCTGTATGATTTTAACACAAAAGAAAAAAAATGAATACGAGTTCTTCACTTTTCTTTTAATGATGATGAATAGAACCGGTGAGTGATAATAATACATAAACAAACTAGCCTTATAATTATATTGTACGGAAATGGCATCAAGTGTTTGACTTAATGTCTGGTCAAAGTCACCTTTGACTATACGAGGGATCAAAGATACGAAGAAATCGTTTAAAAGAGAGATAGACAATATGACAAGCTTGATACTTTTCGGTTATAAGTCCCAAATGAGGAATATAAATTATATAGCTTCTTATCAGTGCTGAGTATAGATATTATGCATCGATGTGAACTAATCGTTTATCTAGTTGGAAAGCATTTCCAACTATATATATCTCACTTTCCCTCGTTTAGCTCATTTTAATTTTTTCCTCGTATAGAGAGAGAGAGAGAGAGAGAGAGAGAAATCTTTGCTCGTTTAGAATCTTTGCACACAACCCATTGCTTGTGCAGCATTACACTACCTTTTCTAATGTAGTACAAAAATAGAGAAAATGGCATAAAAAAGACTAGAACCTTCATATACGATGATGATGCAGCATTAGTAAGAAAATACAGAGTTCCAAAGAGGTCATTTAACTTGATGATTACAATGATAGAAGTAGTTGTGAATATTCTCTCCCCTTATTTTAATCGTATAATCTGAGTATATTGGATCTGATCGTAAAGTGTATTCCTGATTTAATTCGTTCTGCCTAGTGAGATGGCAGTGCTTAATAAGTTTCTTTTTTTATTTATTTTATTTATTTTATTTTATTATAATTCTTTGTAGGGGCGTCAAGATGTATATTCTCTCTGTCAATTAAAAAAAAAAAAAAATTCAAATAATAAAGATATGTATATATATATGTATGTATGTATATGTATGTATATGTATGTATATATATATATATATATTTAAGACTCTTTTTTTAATATAAATATATCCATTGAAATTTCCATTGATTATTTTCTTTTTACAAACATTTAATCTGTTCTTTCAAGACAAGCACTTCAAACAATAGAAGAGAAGTTTATATCAGTTCTCTACTTTTATACATATTCTCATTCTCATTCACCTATTTCACGAAACAACGGGATATTTCAACTATATTTCCCACACAACACACACTAACACACACTCACATAATACACACACGCGTTTGGAGAAAAACGTAAATCTCATTCTTTTCAAAAACACACCTAAGGAAATGTCGTCATCGAGTCAAGTTTACTATGACTACTCCCATTTCTCCAATGGAACTACGTTTATGGATGCCTACAACAATTTCAACCAAATTCCAAATTTAAACATTGTTGAAAAATTATGGGCTAGTTACTATTACTACATGAATAACGATTTATTTGCTACTGGGTTATTGTTTTTCGTTACTCATGAGTTTTTTTATTTTGGTAGATGTTTACCCTGGGCTATTATTGATCGAATTCCTTATTTTAGAAAATGGAAGATTCAGGATGAAAAGCTTCCTAGTGACCAAGAACAATGGGAATGTTTAAAGCTGGTTTTAACATCGCATTTCTTGGTGGAAGCTTTCCCCATTTGGTTTTTCCATCCGTTATGTCAAAAGATTGGGATTTCTTTCCAAGTGCCCTTTCCTAGTATAGGACAAATGTTGTTGCAATTGGCAGTATTTTTTGTATTGGAAGATACTTGGCATTATTGGTTTCATCGTGGATTACATTATGGTGTTTTTTACAAGTATATCCATAAACAACATCATAGATATGCTGCTCCTTTTGGTTTAGCTGCAGAATACGCTCACCCAGTTGAAGTTGGATTGTTGGGATTAGGAACTGTTGGTATTCCTATCTTGTGGTGTATTATCACAGGTAACTTGCATTTATTCACTGTTTCAGTTTGGATTGTATTGAGATTATTTCAAGCAGTTGATTCTCATTCAGGTTATGAATTTCCTTGGTCATTGCATCACTTTTTGCCATTTTGGGCTGGTGCTGATCATCATGATGAACATCACCATTATTTCATTGGTGGTTATTCGTCAAGTTTCAGATGGTGGGATTATTTCTTGGAAACTGAAGCTGGTCCAAAGGGTAAAGCTGCAAGAGAAGCCAAGATTAGAAAACAAGCTGAAAAATTGCAAAAGAAAACCATATAAGCAAAGCAGCATGGAGAGAAGGAAAACCATCCGTTCCCATTTGTTTTTTCATGCCCCATCAGTATTTGTCATTTTTTACTTATATGTTTGAGCACTTTTGTTGTTGTTTTTTTAACCACAGTTCATCTTCCTTTTTCATTGGTACACATATATATTGTTGTATATTTATAGATTATTAACTAATTCAAAGTTTTAAAAATCAACCACTTTAAACTTTCAGTTTTCTTTCTTTACAAATAAAAAAAATAAAAGGGAAGCCAAATATTCACTTGTTTTCTAATCACAACCATTTAGATTTCCAACTTCTCCTTATTAACCCAATCTTCATATTCTTTTCTCTTTGAAACTATATCAATAAAGGCAACTCTCAGTTCCAACTCGGTAAATGCATTAATACCAACTCGCTCACCCAATTGTAAACTATCCTTCAATTCAATTGGTCTCAAGTACTTCAGCTCTTCAACAATCACCTTGTCGTCGATTGATAAATGTACCGGATTTTCAATTGATGCGATAGCACCAACCATAACGATAATGAATCCAACTATAGCTTCAATGTAGATGTCCAATGGTAAAGAGATTGACTGGTCGGTGGTATTACTGCCGTGCTGATGCTGGTGCTGGTGCTGGTGCTGGTGGTGAAGGTGATGGTTGTAATGTATTGCATATTTATGAAATTCAAATGCTGAATATCCCGAGTGGATTAGTAGAAGTATACCAACAAAGTATAACAAGTACTTGGAGGAGGAGCCAGTCGATGCCATGCTTGTGTATTTAGGTGTAATATTGAGGAATAGTTTGACCTGATTGAATGACGTGGTTGGTGGGTGGGTAAGTGTGTGTGTGGTTAGTCTCTGTGTGCTTAATCTGATGATATAATATCCTGTGGATGTTCTGTCGGTTGCCATTTTTCTTTTTCTTCTTTTTTCTCTTTCTTTTTTAAATTTTAAATTGACATTTTTTATCAACAACTACAACAACAACAACAAACAATCATTGACAACCACAGAGCTCAATCATATACATTGACATTGAACACATCTAAACAAACAGCATCATCATCAACAACCCAACCCATCAGTACAAAGGTGAGGCAACAGCAAATACAGCAGGGAACCATTTTTACACCTGATAAAAAGGAAAAAAAAAATTAAATAAATAAATACAAAAACCGTACATTAGATAAGGGCAAGGTAATTATTATTACCAAAATTGCCACTCTGACTTCCCATTCCACTACCACCCCCATATACATATATATATACGCACTTTTTGAATAGATTGACCAGCGTTACCCAACCATCATCGGCTGTCTCCCCGGTTATTTTATAAAATTTTTGAATATCACGCGCGGTTTATTTTTGTTGATTTTTTGAACCATGACTGAATCCACAGTTGCTTCGGAATCTACTAGCCAGCCAAAGGAATCTTCCGCAGCTGCACCTGCACCAGTAGCTACACCTGCACCAGAGAAGCCACAGTACAATCCTAAACTCATTACGTCATTGGACTGCAAATTATTACAATATGAATATGGAATCTATAAATTGGAACAGTTTATAGCTAGCTTAAAACGATTACAATCATCGACTTCGGAAGTTCCGCTAATCCATTATATTGTCTTGTTAACTGGAAGTGTTTTTGCTATAAATGATAAAGCATTCGATAAAAGATTCGATAAGTTATCCAATTTCAAACCAATCCAGCTTGGTACAATTAACATCGCAGCTAATGTGTCTCATATTCCATACGATATTCCGGATTTGCCAGTACTGGCATTGGATGATTTCCCATCACTTGAAAACACGTTGAAATGCTTGAAACAAGTAGAAACTTTGAGCAATATCTGCTTATCGGGGTACCAAAAGAGACTTGAATTGGCAAAGATCGATAAAACAAATACAGTAAAGGGTGCTGATATTGAAACGTATTATGCCAAATTAGATAGCATTATTTCGCATGATATATTCCATCAAGATGTTGATTTACTATTGAACGACTTGATGTTCCCTTTAGGTAGTGATGATCTGATCAATATCCAACATTATGAAGAAGCTTCATTAATCGACATGGATCTTAAAGAATTATTTGTCATTATTCAACAAATGGAAAAACTGTTGGCCAAATTGAAACCGGTGATTGACTCCTTGAAGAAGCCGCAAATAAATGATTCTTATTCAATACACAAGGTTTTCCTTCTCACTTCCAGATTAAATGAAATTTACACAATTATACGAAGGTTTGGTAGAAAGATTTATCTTTCCAACCATCAGCACTTGGTTGATTCAAAATTTTTATACCATTGTGCTAATGCGGCATATTTCAAAACTAATACCTTGAAGAATATGGATGATTATTACAATTCAATGAAGAAAAATGGAACTCTTATTGCCAACATCACCAGACTAATACGTCAAGATACCAAACTTGAAATCAGTGCCAAAAACGTAAGTACGCATATCAATTTTGTTGTGCAGGGTCTCAATGTAACTGAAAAATCACTAAGCGTATTGAAAGAATTTGGATTATCATGGATTGTTACCGAAAAGAAGTTTAGAAATGTTTATCATTTACCAAGAGGGAACTTGGATAAAATTTACGAAAGTGTCCCCGAGTTGAAACCTAAACCCCCTCAACCCAAGATAGCAGCAAAAACACAACAACCGCAAGCAACAAGGCCAAGCAATCTCCAGACTTCGGCCATGGAGAGGCATTTAAAGACTTTGGATTTGAATGATAATGGTGGCGGTAGGAGATCTCGTTCTTCTTCAACCTCAAGTGTCAATAGCAATGGCAGTAATTCATCAAACACCTCGTCGGGTTTAATGAGACGGGGTTCATTGACATCCCCTAATAAAGCGCCTGGCAATTCAAGAGTATCATCGCCGCGTGCAAGACCTAACTCGATGTTGTTTCAGCAACATCCAAACACTTCAAATACCAGTTTTGAAAATGGAACTGTCGCTGATGGGAAAGCAACCACTAGTAAACCTGGGATTGGCACGCAGGGCGCTGCAGCTCAAGGACGTCGGAGGTCAAACTCTCATCCACTTGCAAATGAAACCATTGCGACATCTGGTGCTGCTGCTGCATTGAAAGCCAATGGAATTAAAAATTCATCGCCATATAAACAACAGCAACAGAAGCAACAAGAGCAACTACATCAAAAGTCACAAAGACAACAACTGCCATCTGATACTGAGCAAACGATGAATGGTGTGTCACAAAATTCACATAGTTCACTCACAAAGATGTTGATTGCTGTTAGTGAAGATACTGCCGAAGATGCTGCTTCTTCATCAAATGTCAAGCTCTCGGCATCTCAAAGGCTTCAGCAGCATATTAGAGATGCGGCCAAATCGGGCAATATGATGACTACACAAAGGGAGGCGTTAAACTCTGTTGTCTATGATCCGAATCACACCACAGATCTTAATATGAAAAGGTATATTGATAGACCAAGGGCAAGTGAATCTCAATCTCCAGAAGCATCATCACCTCCACTTCCACCTCCTCCTTCAGGTGCCGTGCCTGCAGCTGCCGCTGCATCTGGGCCTTCACAATCTAATGAATTTCATGTCAAGAGTAATGGCCAGCCAATACGTCGAACTAGAGATCAAGTGACACGAAGCAACACACAGCGTAACAGTTTCATTCCTGAAATACCAGAAAAGACATCATTAGATGCTCAACCAGTGTCGCAAGACAACTCGTCGAATTCAACTGCGGCTTCATCGTCAACGTTGGGTAACAGTGTCGACCAGCCACAGCAAGCGGCATCTTCTTCGATGCCAGCAGAATCCCAACCCAGTACTACTACTACTACTTCTGAAACAAACTCAGGGTTCGATGATCAGAATACTTTAATTGTTGGCTCGTCCAATGAGGCAACCACAACCCCAGTGATCAAGAAGGTCAGATTCGCTGGAGTGCCCGAATGGACAGCAGCCGAAGATGCACCCACCAAGTATTCTCATGCAATTTTGAGAAACTTTGCCGTGTTCCGATCTCCCTCCAAGTCCAATAAAGAACGAAGCAATTATTTCACAAAGAGTGATATTTTTTTAAAAGAAGAGAGTTTGTCATTTAGAGCTAATCAAACTTTGAATGAAGGCGAACCTGTTTTACCATCTCCACCGCCAACAACAACAAAGAAGGGGTTGGGATTATCTAAATTTAGATTTAAACTGCTGTAAAAGAATTATTTTTTGTTTTAGAGATACAGTGTCATACAGTAGAAATGGTGTTTAATGATTATTTAGCAAACTTTTTTCAAGTAATTAGTAATTTTGTATAACTTATTTGTACGTAATTTTGAGTCCAAAGTTCATTTGTATTGATTAATGTGTTGTTGCAAAAAGCCTTACACGTGACAATATTGTGTTTCATTTAATAAAACTGCGAAACTGATGTTTCTACGACACATCGCATCATCGCAAAACCCACAAAACGCTTTTTTCTTTTAGATCTACAACACTTACACAACTATTACCCAGTACACAACCAGCTTTAATAATGAGACAAAAGAGAGCTAAATCTTACAAGAAACAAATGAATGTGTATCATTACACATTTAAATTTCGAGAACCTTATCAAATCATCGTTGATGACGAAATAGTCAACACTTGTCAAAAATCCTCTTTCGATATCGGTAAAGGTTTAACTCGAACAATCCAAGCCGAGAACAAACCAATGATTACCCAATGTTGTATACAAGCCTTGTATAATGGCAAAAACCAAGATGCTATAAACTTAGCCAAGACATTTGAGCGAAGGAAGTGTAATCATCGTGAAGCTATTGCACCACGCGAATGCATTAGTAGTATAGTTGATATAAATGGTGAGAACAAGCATCGATATGTCGTTGCTACGCAGGATTTAGAGTTGCGGAGGAAGTTGAGACAGGTTCCTGGTGTTCCATTGGTTTATATGAATCGATCAGTGATGGTTATGGAGCCATTAAGTAATGCTAGTGCAAAGTATAGTGAACAATGGGAATCCAAAAAGTTGACGGGAGGATTAAATGATTTACAAGCGGGGAAAATAGTTCATGAAGATGAAGAAGATATTGAGGAGGAGAATACAGGGAATGAACCGGCCAAGAAGAAAAGGAAAGGACCTAAGGGGCCTAATCCGTTGAGTGTAAAGAAGAAGAAGAAAGCAGAAACTACTGAAAAGGAAGATGGAGAGACGAAACACAAGAGGAGGAGAAAGCATAAGAAGTCGGGAGAAAGACAGGAGAGCCACGGAAGTGAAGATGAAAAAGGAGAAGCAAGAGGTGGAGCTGAAGACACGGAAATGACTGCCGAAGAAACGGCAGGCCAAGCGACAGAACAAAACCAGTAGAATGACAGGTTGCAAGAGACTGAAGGAAAAGAGTAAGGTCAGACTTTGGTAAACAACTGCTACAAAGGATACTCCATTAACATCAAAAAAATAAATAGAGTCTATAAAATCTATAAATTAATCAGCCTTGAATTGCCAATTCTTCATCCAGTTGTAAAATATCAAAACTATTTTGACTTTCGTTTTTCTTTCCTATACCATCCTGATTTGACACATCATCATCTCGTCTTTTGCGATCTATTTTCATCACAAAATTGACACTAGGGTCAATTAAACACAATTTACAATCAAAGGCCAACGAATTTTGCCTCAATGTCTTTCGAAACATATCACACAACTCCTTCAACATCGATTCAAACTCTTGATCCATTCTTTGAAACCAGGTCGGATCATACAAGATGAATGTAGATTCTTTTAACCACGATATGGTGAACCCCACATCATCATCAATTTGATGATACTTGCGCAATGCATTTTGTAAATCTTCCTTGGTGATGCCGAAAAAGGTATCTTGAATTACGATGGCATTGTACAATGCATCATCTAATTGTTCTTGTGTCATTGATTCAACTTGCAATTGTTGTCTTTGTTTCATTTCCACTATATGCAAACAATCTTGAATCGTTGATGCGGGGACAAATGTTAATCGAGTAATGACGATGAAAACTGACCTTTTCGGTTCTTGGTCCTGTGACTCGGTGTAAAGTTTAAAAGATTGGGCCAACTCATGGATGAATTGTCGTTGTGGCGATGTCATTGGAGGGAAATGGTATGATTTCTTGGGCGATTCAATGCCTTGACTGATTTGGTAGTTATAATCTTCAAGGAATGTACGAATGACATTTTCAATTCGAGTACACCATTTGGCTTGTTTGGTAAATGTGTTTAAAACATAATCACTGTAAATGATTTTTTCATCTTCAGGTACATTCACGGCGAATGCTTCACGAAGCTTGGCATCTCTCTTGGCAGCAGCACATGATTCATTACATTCAAGTATGGCACCAATTGCAGTAGGGTCATTTATCGATGCTCCACAAGGCACATTCTTTTGTAAATTGCCACATTCACATTGAACAATGACTGGTTCGTTACATTTAACAGCATCACAATTGCTACTCTTGCCAACTTTATCAAAATGACATTTCAATTTACACAAATGAGGACAGTTTTTCCTCACTTTTTGACATTTGACCATACATTGATTAGCATGGACATGGACATTGTCTTTGGTGCATTTTGATGAGCATGTACGTAAACATGGATGGCCACACTCCTTAGGTGCCATACACATCTTTCCACAACTAACACGTTCTTGCGAACACATTATTCCGGGTAGATCCAGTCTTGCACCACATTCACATGTCTTTTTGACCAATACGGTACACTTCGGACATGGTACGTCATCATTGTGACATTCATGGGGTTCAGGTCGATGTCCACATGCAGTTGGCCGAGTACATTGCTCATGACATACCAATTCGGTACCACATCTGACTGGAGCAGGAATCACAGTCTTGCCACAATTACAAACCAAATCTTCACTTGTTGATTCTAGGCATACTTCGCAAGGACCACTGTGACACATTGCTTGGCATTGATGTTGCCCACAAGCTTTCAAACGGTTGCATGTTTGAGTGCAAATGTGCACTGCTTCGATTAACATGATATCGTCACGCAATGTACGACGCAAATTGTTTCTCACTGCCTTTTTCTTGGCCCGTTCTCTTTCCAATGCAACTTGCTCATAAGCACAACATTCGGCACGGTGATAATGTTTTCGACAGCTCAATAGCACGGAGCATTTGTGATGACACTTTATTTTGATGCCCAGTTGCACAAATTGACAAGGGGCGCTAAACTTTTCATGGCCACATTCGCACGATGTGTCAAATATGGAAGTACATTCACAAGGACCTGGATGGCATTTGAATTGGCAGCGGCACCCACATGGCAACAACTTGTTGCATACATTCGCGCATTCCGCCACCAGGTCAGTACATTTAGTCCTATTGGAAGAGTCAACTTTGGTGCTTCCACAATAGCAGGTCGAAATGACATCAGGTGAATATTTACACTTTGAATGGTCCATTTTGGGCGGTGGCTGACAGGCAAAGGTTTCGTAATGTTCTCCACAGTCGTAATAATATTTCTTAACCTTACCACAGGAACCGCCACCTATCCATTTCTTGCCGTTGTGATCTGAACATTGCACAGGTTTACGTTTATGACACTTTGTCTTCAATTTGGTATCGCCACAATAACACTTGTACTCAACTTTCTTTTGGCATTTGCCGCACGATCCACCATGACATCCTTTAGCACACTTGTGATTAAGGTCGCAAACTTTTTTGCCACACGGACTATCACATTTCCAACCTTTTTTGTATGGTGTTATAATACACGGCAATTGCTTCTTTTCCTTTCCACAATGGCACTTCATTACCGGGCCAGAAGCTCCACAAACTGGATGCTTTCCGGGGTGACAGGTATTCAAGCATCGATGGATACAATCAGGGTACTTGTAGTTACATAAACTTCCACAACTGAATGGCATAAGGGGGTTCTTCGCGGGATTCTTAACTTTACCGCACCAACAAGTGAATTTCTTGGGTAGCACTTTAGTCTCATGATTACATGCAGGGCATCTCCAGGTTCTGTTCGTCTTGTTTGTGGATGATCCTCTTACAGCCCAGTCAAGAATGCAATCGAGGTCATAGACCCGAAAACATTCTTGGCAAGCCCACACAGTTGAATCTTGGTCAATCTCGCCGGTACAAACAAGACAGATATACTGACCTTGTTGAATTTCCGACAAAATTGTAGACTCCAAGGATTCATCTAGGGGAGTGTCGGCCTTTTGATCACGCTGTGTTGGTTGACTATCCTCTTGGTACGGTTGTATTTCAACTTCTATTCCATCACGAATAAAAGTTTGCAGCGACCCACTAGGTAGATGTTCTGAAGCTTCGGGTTTATCTTGTGTCATGGTATGTATTTCGCTTCGAATACGAATTGGCTAGTTCTTATGCAGCCCTCTGGAGCTTTATATATAGTTTTGCCTATGGAGTTTTTTTGGTCTTCATAAAAACTGTCTGAATTTCTTTTTTTTTTGTGCTTTTTGCAACACAAAACTAATGTGAGACATAAACATACAAACAGACATTAGTCATATGTGGAAAGGTCAACAAAGATGGCTGTAGTCTAAAGAGTAGGTTTATTGATCTGTATAATGAAAATTCGTCTTGTGGATTACGACGCAAGAACAACAGGCAAACCTGAACCTCTCGAAATCATCCGTATAATGCCGTTTCCACTCATCGGTATATACTCTAGTCAAATTCCTATCTCGCAGGGTCTCAAGATCTACAGACTGGCCACCACCATGCTATTCAATAGAACTAAATTAAACTTGGTCTCATTATAATTAAACAAACTTTTCCGAAAATAATAAAAAAATACAAAACACAGTGTAATGAAAGCGTCTCTAAAACCCCTCATTATCAAATGAATTTTTTCCTCTGATTCATCAACTTCTTCGACAAAAACCCCTTGGCAACTCCTCTCATAACTCAGCCTACTCTCACACTCCTTCTCTTGAAGAAATCCATAACTTTCCTAGCTGCACTTGATTCCTTTGGTGCACTATTAGTACCACTACCACTGCTGCCTGGAGCAGCAATCGAGTGATGTTTCGAGCTGTTGTGGCCAGTACCATTGGATGCGTTAGAATGGACTCGCTTTGAGTCCTTTTTATTTATGTTGGCCTCATTAGTAGGCTCCAACACTTTTCTGGTCTTGGTTTTTGGTTTTGGGACTGATGCTGATGCCGATGATGAAGATACAGTAGTAGCTGGCGTATCACTCCTGTTGGTTTCTCTTGACAATGGAGTTGGTGCGAGGGAGTTGGTTGCGTTGGTACTTGGAACATTGGATCCATCTTTTGCTGTTGGCAACGAAACATTCGAACTTGATGAATGATATGAACTATAAAAGGATAACAAACTAAACCTGTTTCTCTTCTTTGTTTCCTTATGTTCGCGGTTTTCCTTGTTTTCGTCAGAAACAGTTCTTCTCGTTGTGCTTGACCTTCTGTTAACATCATCAGGTTTGGGGTGTTTTGTCTCAGGGGCTCTTGATGGAACCTCACGTGTGCGTGGCAAATAGTCTTGGGTTGTCTGAGCTGGTTTCTCGATATATTCCTCCATTGGCTCAGGCAACTTTTCTTCAACAACTTCTGGTTTTAATTCATCGTCATTGCTATTCTCCACCATCTTGCCTTCTTGTTCAACTGATGTAGCTTGATTCTCCTCTGGTGAACTAGCCGTGACCGTTGACTCATCTTGGCTCTTTGCTACCTCAGATGGTGTCTCTTTATCTTCCTCTTCATTGCTTGCCAATTCCGTCGGCATCACCTTATCTATTGGCTCTCCAACCTCAACTTTCTCCACACTTTTATTCGACTTTGTTGGTGAATGGTGAATACTTTCTGACAAGTCCAACGCTTCAATCTTATCTTCCAAATAGCTTAAAACAGAATTTCTCTTGTTCTCGGGTGATAAATTATAACCACTATGACCGTTATGTCCAGGTAAGTTATCTTTACTCAACACGCCATTAACGTGCACATGGGTAACCACTGAGTTTCTTCTGCTAGACGCTGGTCTCGAATCCGTCATCACTGCCTCCTTCGGGGGCGAAGTTGAAATGTACTGAGTCATTGAATTTGAATATGAAATGTTGGAAGTCGTGGCGGGGAATTTGATTATGTCCTTGTAAGAAATAGTAACTGGCGAGGGCGATATCAAGGATGAGGTCATCGAAGATGGATGGTAAGATGTAGGTCTTGGTTTCTTTGCAGCAGGAGGTAATTTGGCAAATTCCTTAGGTGGCAACAATTTCGTAATAGGTGGCAAAGTTGGAGCAGGAACAGCATTGCTACCAGATAATGTACCTGTTGGCTTTGTGGGGCTCTCGACAATAGTTGAAATTGTTGACGAGTTTGCATAATTGGCTGAATTATTTGTTGCTCTGGAAACGCTTTCATCGTTTACCATTGACTTCAAGGCAAAGCTAGCTGAAGAAGCAGAATTTGAAATTGAGGCAGACTTTTGATGGCCCCTTGTCGGTGATACTGAAGAGGGCTTTTTTGGTGAAGGAGTTTTTGATACGTTAACACTATCCGAGGAATCAACGGGTCTGGGGGTATTTGCAGTAGACATAGAAGGCGAAGCATACAAAAGACTGATACTCGTTGATGAGTACGACCTTGCATGATCTGATGCAGTCGGTTGTGGTCTTCCACTTTGTGGTTGTAAATGTGACACCTGCTGGTGATGATACATCGAAGGTCCCATCAATGATGAGGAGCTTGTTGGAGTGTTTATCATCGAGAACCTCTTGTTGTATACCGGTGTTTGTTGCTCGGCCAAGGCAGCCGCAGCCACACTTGCTGTAGTAGCAGCATGTTTTTCTCGGTAAATTCTATCCCATTCTGGTTGTCTAATGGATAACAATGTTGTGAAGGAGCTTAAGAATGGATGGTTTCTAATTGAGTCAATTGCAATTCTTTTCCTTGGATCAGAAACAATGATTTTTCTGAGCAAATCACGAGCCAATGGACTAACATACTCAGGAAACGTTAATGGGGTTTTACAAATGTAATGGTACAATTTAATAATATCAGACCCATCCTCATTTTCTGGATCGTCATCAAACGGCAAATAACCGGATAACATAGCATACAATATCACCCCCAAAGACCAAATGTCTGCTTTCCTTCCTTCGTATGGATTTTGCGTCAAGACCAATTCCGGGGCAGCATAACAAGGAGACCCGCAACTTGTCTTCATGAGATCATTACCCCTGTCGCCACAGGAATTGACAAATCCAAAATCACTAATAATAACATTTTTGTGTTTGTCTAGTAACAAATTCTCTAATTTCAAATCACGATGAATTAATCCTTTGGAATGCATGTAGTCGACACCACTGACCAATTGAGCAAAAATCTTTTTCGCCACTGGCTCCTTCAAGTACTTGTGTTGTAGAATGTAATCAAATAGCTCACCGCCAGAGGCATATTCTAACACTATACCGACATATTTCCCACTTTTCATCACCTCGACTAAGTTAACAATGTTGGGGTGATTCAACAACTTTAATGAATTAATCTCGCGATGTATTTTCACCTCTGAGTCGGAATCTTTGACAATAGTTGATCGTTTAACGAGCTTGATGGCTACTTGACTGGGGTACTTACCATCTTTTCTCCATCCTAATTTGACTTTACCAAACTCTCCTTCTCCGAGGGTTGAGCCTAGGATATATGCGCCAAACCTGACTTCTCTCTGCACTCTTTTCTGCATTCCAGAGTGCATTTGTGAGGATATAGTTGAACTTGAAGCAGATGTAGGTATAGTCTGTGCTTGATTAGAATATGAGTTGGTCGTTGCCGCGCCTACCGGTAGCTCTGGTATAATTCTGGGAACCTGACTGTTGGGATTCTGACTTGAGCTACTGGAGTGTCTAGACGATGACCTTCTAGGTGGAGCCTCCTCTGTGGTTGAAAATGTGTCGTCTTGTGTGACGGCTACTGCGTTTGCCGACATGCTTTATTTTTTTGAGGGAAGAATATTTATAGCCAATGTTTGAGGCAGAGTAAAGGAGTGACTGTAGTTGATGCTAGTAGATTAAGTTGACGTGTGTATTGTCACTTTGGAAAGGAGTGCTGAAATAATCTCTGGAGGAGTAGTTTTGAACTTTTGGTGTGTGTTGGTTGTTGTTGTTATACACCACGGTTGTCAAGTAAGAAATGGTGCGCAAAGTAAAATGTGGTCCACTAAATTTAATAACCTGATTTTTTTTTTCTCACACTCTTTGTCCTTGGTTTTGTCCCTCGCAAGAAACGAAGTCGCTTTGGTATGGTTTGAAGTGGATCCCGTTTGAAGTGATGATTTGACAGCTCTGTATCAAACTGAAAGGAGTGTGAAATGGTGCAGCGACGAAAAGAAAAGTAGTTGAAATTGACAAAACTAAGATTTTGACGATATAAAATAGAACATACTTTTTGGAAATGCAATGTTTTTTTTTCGTTATTGTGTAGTTGGTGTGTGTTGTTATTATTGTTATGTTTTAGTTTTGTATGTAAACAAAAACAAAAACAAAAACAAAAGGTAAGAAAAAAAATAGAAAACTTCCTATTACAGAAAGATTGTAAACACCAGTGTCAACTTTTTAACACTTGAGACATTGCAAAACAGTGACTGAAACACACACCAATACACGAGTTCTTTAAAGTGCAAGTTTCTTTTGGATTTATAACCAAGAACTAAGCACATGGTTATGTATTCACGATAATAATTGTCATTAGACGATTAGGTGATGAACATCCACTGGTACCCTTATTTAATCTCCTGCTATCACTCGCGAATGGGTTATCTCTTCAATCTTCCATTCACTTCTAACCATAAAGCAAATATTTTCATTCATTTTTCAGTACTGGCATAGTAAGATGCAACAATCAGAATATCGAAATAACCCCACGTTGAAAAGCTTCCTCTAGGTCATCAAGTGAATCTTTCTTGGTTTTTCTTATTTGACCAAGAGTGTTGTTGTATAAGCTCTGTATCTCTTCTTGTCAGCATTTACCCAAGGATTAACCACTCCTTCTTCGTCAATAATTGTTGGCTTAGACACCTATCTGCTTTTCATAACAGCATGATCAGGCACTTTGTTATTTTGGGGTGTCATCATCATGTGACAACATTTTTTTCATCAGTTTTACAACCAAATTGTTGTAAAAATATTTCACCAAGGATCAAATTGGTTTAATGCCATCTACACGAGCACCCATTAACTTACTACTTTTTCTTTCTATATAATGCACCTTCTATAAACCTCACTACCAGTTAGTTATGTTCTTCTCGGCTTCGCCAAATACTGAATTACCTCCATTATCAACATCTTGCACATACCTGGCCCAATCTTCAAATAATTCCACACCGTCACCATACATTTCAGGTAGATTAGTCTTTAAAAAATCTAAACAATACTCATTGATGATCTCAAACTCGAGCAAAAAAGCATCATGCCCTTCTGGAGAGTCTAATTTTTTCAAAATCGAATTTGGTATATTTTCACCCAATAGCTTTTGTTCTCCGTATGTAAATAACCCATCGGACTCAATACCTATTACCAAATGCGGCTTTTTCAAAGTCTGTAGGATTTGCGGTAATGGGTCCTCATTGGTGATTGTGTCAACCAAGCCACGTGTTATATCATGCGTATCCAATTTCCTTGTTATTGAAATGTAACAATTAGCATCAAATCGTTTGATGAATTTTTGACCCTGATATCGCAAGTATGACTGGGCTGTGAAATAAGTGGGCAACTTCTTGTCCTTGTTTGTTTTTTGGGCATTGTTCAGTTGAGATCCTTCATTGTGCAAAAGCCAGTGTTCTTCATCTTTAGTCTTGGGGTATACTTTACCAGCTTCATCATCATCATCAGCTTTACTATTCAAAGACTTGCCCAAATTTCTACCAAATCTGGTTTCAAACGAATTTCGCGATCTATAAGTAAGCAATGCTGCCATTCTTGCCGCGCTTAACCCTGAATCAGGTTTTAATCCCAACGTGTTTTCATAGTAATAGCCATCGTCGTAATAAGGATCACTAAAGATGCACTGGCGCTGGGTCTCGTTCCATGAGATGCACCATGCTGAGGCTCTAGCCGAAGTCGCCAAAGCAATAACCGCCCTCACGTAATCAGAATTGTTATACGTGCTCGAGTATTCCATGGCCAACATCCCGCCCATTGAACCTCCAATAACACAAGCAATTTGTTTGACATGTAATGAGTCCAAAATCAACCTTTGGATACCCAAGTCATCTTTCGCAGTTACCAAGGGAAAATTTGGTCCGTATGGCTTACCGGTAGACTTGTCTATTGTGACTGGCGAGCATGATCCATATGGAGATCCTAAAAAGTTGATGCATATGATAAAGAACCGAGATGGGTCGAATGTCTTGTTGGAGCCCAATAAAGGACCCCACCAATCTTGTACATCAGAAGAACCAGTTAATGCATGACATATTAGCAATGCGTTATTAGCCTTTTCATTCAATCTGCCCCATGTCTTGTACGCCACGGGAAAATTGTACAATGTTTCACCACATTCTAGCGTATATTCCGGGATTTCAACTATAGTCTGACCTGGCACAAGACTTGCATAAGAGTTGCTTGCTCGTTGCTCTTCTGTTATATCCTTGTAAACGTCTGTCATACTCAATTTGTATGGAGAAGGGAAACTTATCTAGTGGTGGGAGTGTTGTAAATGCGTAATGCAATCGAATTTCTATATCAATGGCGCTGTGAGAGCTGTAGGATGCAACAAATATTGACTTCTATTGATGAAATCAATGGAAAAATAAAAAATAATAATAATAATAAAAAGGAAATTTGAAAAATTGTGGATGGCCAATGCTTGCGATGGACAAATGAATCGGTTTCTTCCTGACCAATTGTATTGATTATAGAAGTGAGTTAAAGTGTAGTTTTTCAAAAATGTGAAACGATAATTCAGGTCAACCTGTGCTAAATATATAGGTACTAGTTCTTTGATTCTTAGAAGCCAGGTTTTTGACTCCAGAATGTTACTCACAATAGCCCCATTTCACGTGATAAAATTACACAAAGAGGAAATCAATACCATACGAAACTAGCAAAGCTTAAACAACAGTTTACGCGGAACCTATTACACTCACAAGTACTCTAAATATAAGCATTCTTATGCAAATTTCTAATCTCGTAATACCTATTATATATATGAAAACACAAAACCTCGTTCACCTTCATCTCTTTGCTTTCTCTTGTGGGTTACGTTCCTTTTCATCTGCTTCAGTTTCATCTTCACGTTCAGTCACGTCGCCATCATCGTCTTCCTCATCACTTGTACTGTCACTGCCATAATCGCTCTCTGACTCATCCTCTGAAACATCAGCGGTCTGCACACCAGATTGAGTTTTGTAGTCAGGATGGTGACGTTTGTAGTTGGCATTATGAAGTTCCTTGGCCCAAATCAAGCTTCTTGCATACTCCAAGTCTGAATACAAAGCCTCAATGGCATTCAAGACACCGTATTCACGATGTATTTGGCTACTTACACTCTTTGCTTTTTCAATAATCTTCAAGTCCTCAGTTACAGTGACAAGAGCTTTTGCCAATGATTTAGCTGTCAATTTTTTCAAAGCCAACCCAGCTCCCATATCCTCGATCCTTCTTGCATAAAAGAACTGATCACCAAAAAATGGCTTAATGATACTAGGACACCCCGCTTTTAGTGCAGCACCAGTAGTTCCAGAACCACCATGGTGTACAGCCGCATCGACTTTGGGCAACAACCAATCATGTGGGATCGAACCCGCATTGAAGACTTCAGGAGGTAATTCAACCTCCATCTTATTTTTATCCTTGTGACTACCACGATCAGACCATCCTTTATTCAAAATACATCTAACACCAGCGTCTAGAACAGCTTCAATAACAGCTTTGGTCAACGATGCTGCATCCTTGACAACAATAGATCCAAATCCAATATAAACAACCTTTTTCTCATCTTCAGCTGCCTGATTAATAAAGTCCACCAAATCCTGAGGAGGTTTGTAATCTTTTTTACCTTCATCCAAGAACCAATATCCAGTAACCTTGACCCAGTCGGGAAAGTCATTTGCGGGTGGTAATACACACGGCGACACGTTATACAAAAACGGTACCTTTGTCTGCAGCATTCGATACAAGTTTGTCTTGGGTAAGTCCAACTCCCGAACTCGCCATTTGTTTACTTGAGCTTGAATGCCTTTCCAGAAGACATTGTCAAATAACACATAGGTTAAGTAGTTGAACGACCCACCTTTCTTTTGGTCAGGAACCAAAAATGCTTGTGGATATGCTCTTGTTCTAGTCCACGGCATGGTGAATGCTCTAAAGTATGGGATCACCAATGCTTCAGCAATGTGAATACCTGCCATTGCAGAAGGGCTTTCAATCAAAATATCTGCGCCTTGGCACGCTTCCCAACTGGTTGTCAATAATTTCGCAATCCATCCCTTGAATTTAGCTTGTGCATCTTTTAAAAACGTAACTGACAAACTACTATGTCCGACCATAAACGACATCAACTCACTGGGATTACCAGCAATCTCTTTAAACTTTATGTGATGGTCTTTCTCTATCCAGTCTTTGAATTCACCATGGGTAGCTATTGTCACCACGTGTCCTTCCTTTTGCAAACCCAATGCCAACGCAATATAAGGTTGAACATCACCACGTGAGCCAATGGTAAGAAGCGTGATATTGTACGAGGTTGACGGTTTCATCTCGGTTTTGAAGAACGGTGAATCTTCCAACACAATTGGCACATCTAACCCAGACGCCGTTGTGAGACGATCCTCAAACATCTTGATTCTGGCAAGCCCCACTTTCAGTTCAGCAATCTCCAAATCCCTTCGAGAATCTTTTTCTTCAAGTTTTTTCCTCTCGGAGTCGGTATATTCCATTCTTGTCTTGGACAACTCTAAGTTATAATTAGGACCCCATTCATGTGGCTTTGGTCGGAAGCCTTCGTTAGCATGAAGCTTCCCTAGCAATTCTAGAGCAACATTTGTGAAGTCATCACGAGACTTGGCAAATGCAAATTCCAAATCCAATTCTTCGGCTCCTTGCAAGATGAGTTTGGTTCCAGCATATATTTTTCCTGAGATTGGTTCAACGCCTTCAATACTGGTCAGGGGAAGAATCATCTTTGTAGATACCCCTGGGAGCAAACTTCTGAAACATATCTCGTGCTCAGAAACATACAACTTACCATAAACAGGAACAGTCCGTAACAAGTGACAGAAATAAGATGCAACCAATCTTGAATTGTACAAAGAAAAATGCTCCTGGAAATGCTTTAATGCAATTTCGCGTTCCTTGGCATCCGAGACATAGTATTTGTCTTCGATCGTGTAGTGAATAGGAGATGCAGAAAACCTCGCTGTCATATTGGAAAATAGTTTAATGCTTTTACTGAAACCTCGCTTTTTCGATTCTTTCGGATTTGCCAGTATGGAAGGTATAGGAAGTTCATCCATGGCAGTTATAATGTCATGGTAGTCGTTGTCCCACCTAGACGTAGCATCCTTCAAGTTTTTAAACGTCGTTTCAAACGTGATTTCCAAATCTTTGAATACCTTTTCTGATAGACTGTGCGGGAATGAAAGGTGGTCCATGTCTAATCGGCTTATGCCTCCATCCAGCATTACCGAAGAATCATCAGACTTTGCAGATAAGCCGAATGACTTGCCGAACCTCTTAAGCGCCGAACCGCTATCACGTTTCTCCTCTGGAAGATTTGAATCTATTACGTTCTGAACTAAAGCATTCAACGACGGCGACAACGTAGAGTATGACTTTTCCAACTCCTGTTTTTTAGAACCAAACATATTGTGTTTCTCTCGAGCAACTTTATTTGCCTGCTTTTCCATAGCCCCTTCGAAAGATTTGAAAAAGTCTAGACCATTCTTTGGGATCAAGAATATTATCTCCTCTTCTCCATGTTTATTAAGTTTCTCCTTTATTTTATCTCGCTTCCTTTTCTCCAGAGGATCGTTGGTGACGTATTTAATACTTAGGCTCAAAGGTATATCATTTTCTGCGTCATCAATGCCACCCTCCTCTTCTTCAAAAATAGTACGTCTTCTGAAATCGGTGATATTAGCAATAGGAATCTTAACCAACACTTCGCCATTGGTCGTGGCATTATGCAATTGAAAAATCTGTTTCGTTAAATTGTTACACCATTGTCTTGCTGAATGCAAGTTATCACATTGGAACCGATACGTCTTTTTCTTAGAAACCAAGCCAATCCATACAGAGGAGCTTCTCGCTTCGACGTTGTCCTCGGTTGCCCCAAAACCTTCTTGAGAAAGCATTGATTCGAGGTCAGATGGTGTTTCCAGTATCGAGGGTGGCGTGCTGTATCCAGACGTGTACCCACTACGCATCGCTGATCCGGTTTGTGTGCTTTTCAGCGTCGGTGAAGTTGCTTCTTTGCCTTTTTCCTTTGTCAATATCTCAGCATATAAGCATGTTCTCAAATCAATAACTTTGAGCGGAAAGTATAAATCCGTAAAAGAGCTGTATATGGTTAAAGTATCGGTACGAAGAATAGCCCAATACCTGTGTGTTAAAACCGACAGGAACTTCGAGTCCCCGTACTTTGCTGTCTTCATACCCAATGTCCCCTTGTGAATATTGTTGGCAGAATCATCAAAATTCTCCTGATCCTTTGGATCTTCAGTGTTAAATCGCTTAGGCAAGAAGGCAAAATATAACAAGGTCTTTTCAGTCAAATATATATGGCCTTGAAGTATCACATCTTTAACGAGCCATGAATTGAAGTTACCACAAAATATATCATCAGGCTTTAAATCAAACGTCTTTGTCAATCTCTCTGCAATTCTGTAGCGCAACATTCTCCTCGTAGCATTTAAGCGATCATCCAAAGGCTCATTTTGACGATCCTTAATTTTAACAAGAACCCCTTCCTTAATATGATGAGGGTCCAATTTATTAATTACTGATTTCTGGAATGGTGTCAAATGCTCGATTTGATCATTCGTCAATCCTTCTGCCCCTTCACCATCAAGTACAATAGTGTTTTTTCTTGAACCTTTGAGAGTTTCGCCATCTGTAAGGGTTTCACTATTGGTGACAGTGTCATTGTTCAACGTTGAATAAGAAGTGACCTCCAGATTCATTGCTGTTGCTGTCAGAGTAGACTCTGCGTTAGCAAGAAATGTTTCGACTGCTTCTCTTTGTGGCACACCGGGGTCACTTAACCCAGCAGCATCATACTCTTCCTCTTCATCCGTCGAATCTTCAGCTGTTGAATTCTCACCGCTAATAACGCCATTGTGGAGGAAACCGTGGCCACCTCTTTTAAGATAAGCGTTGGAGTGTTCAAGATTAAAGTCTGGTTGAGGGCTTCCAGATCGTGATGTGCCATGTTGTGAAGTTTGAGACAGAGGACTCCCAGGTCGTGAGCTGGGGCTACTTAAACTGGGCAGTAAGGTTCCGCTGGTAGACCCACATGGGTTCTGTCCAGGATTTAAATGATGTGGACGCGATTGGTTGTGGTGATGATGATGATGGTGATGAAGATGCAGCGACGGCTTTTCTTCGTCATAATTATCTTTCTTTCTTTTCAAAAAATTCTCCATTGCCGAAGCTTTCAAATTTCTTAATGAACCAAAACCGGAGCTTAGCGTAGTGTTGTTCATCAACGTTGAGAAAAAGTTAGTATCCATATCACCGAATGGCATAGCAGCGTCCTCTCCCTCGTCCTCGCTGTCTTTGTGGTGGTGCAGGTGACTCCTGTGATCATCTTTTGGCAGAGTTGGCTTGTGTGCTGTATGTGACTCTCTACTTGATTCATGCAGATCATTCAAATCTTTTGATCTGCTTTTATCATGATTGTTGCTTTGTTTCGTTTTATGTTCAATGTGGCCATCCTGGTCATCCACAACCAGTGCCGTCTTTTCATCGGAATCATTATCACTTTTGTTTTCGGGGATTTGCGAATCATTTTTTGTTTCGTTATTCACATTAGACCCTCCTTTTAGTTGTGATATTGGACGATAATTACTTGACCCATGCATGTCAGTAGAACCGCGTAGGGTGCTCAATGAGCCTTGAACGGAATGAGTAGTGGACAGAACTGCGTCTTTTAATGGCATAACTAATTACTTTGTCTAATTAATAAATATACGCAGTGGACTGCAGGTTTGAATGAGAACGCTTCCTAGCTCTTTGAAAGTTGTGTCGTAAGATTGATTTGTAGTAGAGTATTGATTATATATTTCACAGGATAAAAAGATACCTCAAAAATAATAATAATAAAAAAAAGAAAAGGTGGAAATTCAAGAGTTCACAAAAGTTAAAATACCTTTATCATAGGCTGACGATGATAGACGGTGGGCTAGAAGTAGTGACGCCTGAGCTATTCAATTAAGTTTGTCTGGATTGTTCTGGATATCTGGGGAACAAATCCTCAGAGGGCAAAAAAAGCAAGAGCAACTTTGTTCTGTATATTAGTAAGAATTATCGGACTAACACCTTAAAGCCGGTGCAATATTACCATCAACTGAACACTAAATGTAGTTTGATATAATCACTTCAGCCGAGATTGATAGATGAGGCAACCTACAGAGGTTCTCATTTTCTTAGCAATGAAATGAAGTCTTGCTCTGCTGATGCAAGTTGATAAATCTAAACTCCATATAGTCCGAGGAAACGGCCCAAGACTAAAATTAGCCGACTTTTCCAGCACAAAAACTTTTGTTTTGTTGTTAGTCGTGCTTTACTTAGAAGCAAGTAATATGAGACAGGTGTCACTACACGCTATAATCAAGAGAGCTTTTGAACTAGCAACTTTGTTTAAGTTGCTATCGGTCGAGGAGAATTGTGGGGTTCTAATTTTGGAAGTGAGCTTGAGATTCAGTCTTGGGAAAAATAACACACGGAGTTAAGAAACAGTTCGCATGATACACAAAACTGCAATGCGTTCCTTATATTTTATTATGCAAGAGAATAATTATAAACTGTTAAAGCATCAACCGAACTCCCTTTAACTCCTCTTGTACAGGACTCGCATTTCATTCAATCACAAATTAAAAATCCCCATCAGTCTTTGAAGTTCAGATCTCCTAATAAAAGAGCCATTACCTCTACACGAAATATCTTTACTCTTCTCTATCGTTTATTATATACAAAGCACAAGTGCATTCACTCACTTACTCGAGTGTATTTGTTTTCAACAATTTATTGAAATGGCTGTTGCGATTGCTGTGTAGCTTGCTAAAATCACCATCCTCAACAATCTCACCGTTTTCATTGAATACAATTACTCTGTCACTGTTCCTGATTGTCGACAATCTATGAGCAATTGAAATGATTGTCACTCCTTTCTCCCTATTCAACCCTAACAAATTTTTCATAACCTGTTCCTCACTGATGGAATCCAAAGCAGAAGTTGCTTCATCCAAAATTAAGATCTTTGGATTTTTAATCAAAGTCCTGGCTAATGATATTCTCTGTTTCTGACCACCACTCAACTGTGTTGAAGTAGAGGCGCCTATCTTGGTGTCTAATCCATCAGGTAGATTTTTGACAAATGCTATCGAGTGACTCAATTCCAATGCTTGGTCAACTTCTTCGTCTGTCGCATCTTGTTTACCAAAGGTTACATTGTCTCTAACAGTGCCACTAAAAAGTAATGGCTCTTGTTGCACATAGCCTAGCTGTCTTCGGTAATCATTCAAATTCAAGTCCTTGATCTCTATTGGAGGCTCATTTCCCACACTAATGCGGCCACTGTTGGGATCATAAAACCGCAATAACAACTGACTAACGGTGGATTTTCCACTGCCTGACGGTCCCACTAGACATACATTCTCTCCTTCTCTTATATGCAAGTTTAAGTTTTTGAATATCACGTCAGGTCTCGATGGGTAAGTAAAGTCAACATCCTTGATAATTATATCGCCTTTAAGCTGCTGCTTTATTCCAAGATTATTGGAAATTGATGGCTTGTACTCCACCAACTCAAAGACCCTTTCAGCAGCTCCCAATCCTTTCATCAATTCAGTATAAAAGTTTCCCAATCCAAAGACTGATGACCCAGTATAAACGGCATACATCATGAAGCTTGATAAGTCACCGATGGTTAGTTCACTCATACCTATAAGTTTGGTACCAACGACTAGCAATCCAATCATTGTTATATTCCCGAGAAGTCCATTTATTGAGAAATAGATACCCGACAACTTTCCCTCTCTCAATGAACTGTTGAAGATATTTTTAATCTCTTTGTTATACCCGTGTACAACCGATTGTTGTTGCGCAAACGATTGAATAACCCTGACGCCATTCAATTTCTCCTCAGTCACTTTTGTCAATGCTCCGATATTCTCCTGGATCAACCTTGACAAAGCCTTGATTCGTCTTCCATAAAAGAACGACATTGCAATTAAGGGAGGAAATAATAAACTCATACACAAAGTCAACTTCCATGACACATAGCACATCATCGACAACCCCACAACTCCACTTATGATACTTCTCATCCCATCACTGATGTTCATACTTAAACTTTTGGATATAATTTGGGTATCACTCGCAATTCGAGAAATTAAATCACCAGTCTTCATGCCCAGTTTTGTAGGCCCAATGTCAAAGAAATAGGCATCCTGGGCCAAGATCTTGGAAAACAAGCGTGACCTCAATCTTGCAACAAGTTTTTCACCCACTGTCCTTAGCAAGTATATTCGACCAAAGTTTGCACATGACCCAATGACAAATATAACTGATAGCGCGGTATAGAATTGAGTTGGTGGTAAACCAAATATCAATTGCCTGTCATTAGCAGACTTGTTGGCATTGTCTTCGTCATCATCTTCTCTCTCGTCCAAAGGTTTGGCAGTGTCTATAATTTTACCAATGACCAAAGGCAAGGACATAGTGGTTGCTGACGATATTGCTAAACATAATAACGCAAAAAAAATCAATTTCGACTCAGGCTTGGCCAATTTTATTAGCTTGAGTAAATCTTTGAACAATGTAGATCGAGGGGTCTTTTTGGCTTCTGTGGATGGATTGGAAGAAGGGTTCGCTTGTTCATTTGGTGTCTGATGATTGATTAATTGGGGCTGGTCGCTTTTGTTTGTATTGGTAGAATTTAGCCGTATTTGATTCAACACCAAAGACGGTTGAGGCTTGATGAGATGTCGTTGGATGCATCTTGTCACCTGTGGCACAATTGCTCTCTCTCTGGGAACTCTTGAAGCAAGTCCAAACAACTGTCGCCTAAATATTAACATCTACGGGGTTTGATGTATGACGTTGCCGACTCGGTGGACTAATTACTGAAGAAAAAAAAATGCTCAGACGATCTGCGATTTCTCATACGCAGAGAGATTCTAGAACAACGCCGGTCTACAAGCAATTAATTCAATACACTTGGAAACGTTGGGCAACGCTTTAACAAACATTAGATTATAATACTAAAGCTAGTGCAAACAGTTCTACAGCAATCTTCTTGCTCCTATAGGTACTAATTTGTCCTCAAGAGCTCTCCTTCAAAGCTCCCTCTGGACTCTTCCTTCTAAACGAAAATCTGAAACCCACGATGCTTTGCGATCGCCTGTAGTTTATCCAAATCACTTTCAGGCAAATAGGTTGACTTTATTTGCAACACGAAATCCTTTCCGCAATTATTAAACATCGTTGGGCTAAGCACACACAATTTTGTGTAGTTTAAACTCCAGTTCTTCAATTTGGGTAGTGGCTTCAGTAGATCACAAGGCTCGATGATTTCAACGTCATTTTGGTTCATTAGCAATACTTCTAGACTTGGTGGTAAATTGTAAATGAAATCCTTGGAAATATAAGTCAACATATTATTGTTCATATTCAATGTTGTTAGGGTGCTTGGAAATTTTTTCAGCATTCCCCAAACGTCCAAGAAATGTTCATGATTACTGCGTATTAAATTCTCTGAAAGATCAAGCGTGCTTAATGAGCTAAAGTATTGGAAGAGCTTTGACCAATGTGCAACATAAAGACTTCCAATTTCACTCGACTTTATCGTAAACTTGCTGATCTTTTTCGTCAAATTGTGTCGGCTTAGTTCCAATAGTAACTTGATAATGATTGAATTGAGGGAGTCTGGATTCTCGATAAACACCAAATGTGCGTCAATGTGGATATTAATATGTTGTGCATGTTCAAAATATTGGCATATTCTCAGATCGTTTGACCCAAGAAGATGATGAAGTCCATTTAAATCACTAATAAATTGTTGATAATCGGCCGTTTGTCTGGTAAATTTGAATTCGATCAAGTTTGGTCGGACACGCTGAAACACTTTATTTTCAAATGAGCAATCATTCAAGATTTTGTCTTCAAATGCGCCAACAGTGAGTCCATAATCACCAGTGAAGTCAACTCTAGGTGCCCCATTCAGAATCAATAATATTCCACCAAATAGACGTTGGTAAAGTAGAATCAAAATTGGCAGTGCTGACTCAATATTCTTGTAGTACACGATTAGTTCAGTTGTCTTTTCATTGCTGAGGTTCTTGAGGATGTGAAGAATAACCTCGTTAGGTAATTTGAATATTGAATGCATTATGGGTATCAAGGTAGTGACGGTAACTAGAGTTGTGGATTCACTGATAAGAACAAAATTGAAGTAAAAAAAAGGGAAATAAAAAAAAAATTGATGGATGATGCTGAAAAGGGAAAAAAAGTCTTCCTCAAAGGCCCGCCTCCGACATTTCAAAGCTTAGCAAATCACAAACCTACAACGGCTATTCAAAATAGAGCAATAACGAGACATTTAAAATCTCAGTAATAGTTCTATAACCACTATGTTTATACTCAACATATCTATACACAACTAGTCATTCTAAGGGAAACAGCTGAAATTTCACTAGTATATTACATGATCCTAAATGTTACCAGAGATGAGCGTATGTCAGGATTCATCTTGTTTATCATTCCTTATGATAGTACGATCCATAGTTTGCTTCCACTCGTCCTGAATCCGTCCCTTCTTCGTCCATTGGCACATCGTTTTCTTCAGCCAACTGGCCCAACTCAGGTTCGTCCATCATATTTGCATCTAACATGTCCAAATCCTTATCAAACTTTAAATTGTCCCAATAGTTGTACCCCAACTCCTTAAAAGTCTCAGTTTCTTCTTCAATCATTTTATCATCTTTCTTTGCCTGTCGTTTTTCCTCCTTCAACGATAGTCGCTTGATCTCCAATTTATTTTCCTCGTTGATAATGTTTCTCAAGTCATTCCACGATAAGAGCCCATCTCGCACCAATTGGATAATTTGCTCATGATTCTTGAACGGTCTGATGGATGAGTTATTCTTTGTGTTGTATTTTCTGATAAATCGGTTAAATAACTTGACAAACCACTTCTGCAATCGATACAAAACAAGAAATCGGTAGTTGTACCACGGTATGACTTTCAAGCCTGATGTAATAATATTTTGAAAATGGTTGACGATTCTGTCATTTATAAAAGAGTCGAGATGTGATGAGGTGTAGCTTCGAGGCGCAGGCTTGGTTTTAAATATTCCTCCACCAAGCGGTGACTTAAAATTGGGAAGAAAGTACTCCTTTTCCTTACCATTACTCGACGAACCCGCTGGTTTATTCTCGTCCAATTTCAAATTCTTAAATAGCGTATCCAATTTTATACGTTTTCCTGCCCGATCATTAATGCCTCCATTGTCGCTGTCATAATCAGTATCATAGTCAAGGGCATGTTTTTTACTGGTCATTACTCAGTAAAGGTCCTTCTTCATAGCTTTTTATTGGAAAGTATAGAGCACTTGTGGGTGAATGCTACCTTCTGAGCAAAATCCAGCGCAATTCTAGATGATTCTCTTCGCGCTTGATTTTCAGTGTCGTAAACTATTTGACCGAGAAAATAGACACGACATTAATTAGCAGAAGAACTTTTTCAGAGGTAAAACTCATGAACAGTCATAAACAGTAAAACTATCTGGTAGGCATATCCCGTTAACAATCATTTGCATTAGGAGCTTCTCCTGAGACAGTCGAAGACAGCAGACATCCGTCAGGTATTATGTTGAACTCCAACCTTTGAAATTAAAGAAACTGCAATGAAAAAAAAGTCTTATTTACGTCACTAGTCGCTTTTCTTCGTGCATGTACTGCACATTGACGCAACCATTGTCAAAGTTTGCTAAAGGTAGTGTGACCGTAAAAAGCGAACACAGTGCACTGCAAGGTTCACTGTAATAGCGGAGCTAGATCCGTTGCGAAGAGAATTTCACAATCGCGCCGGCTTTAAATGTAGAAGTAGTGGCGCCCATAAAACGATTTGTACGACTGGCCCCCCTGATTGTCTGGGTTGATATCAAAGATCTAATTCTTTCAGGTACAGGCTTGGAAATTTTTCTCGTCCCCAGGTGCAAAGTATCACAAAGGAGTGGCTGAGTCGAGAATGGGAGACAGTAGAAGAGCGCGTTAGTGTGTGTACCTGAAGTGAAGGCTATGTCAAAGTTTCCCCCGTATTGTGAACAACCAGCATAATTTACTCGTCAGAGCTAAAACGTAAACAAAAATGAAATTAAACAAAGAAACTTTGTTCTTTAGTTTTTTCGTGTGCTTGATAATAAAAAGTAAATAAAGATCCACTATGGCTCACAGCCACTATGCATTCACCTAAATTGCTACAGAAATCTATTGTTTTAGGCTGATTCGGACGGACACAAATGAAGGCGTACCCCTTCCAGGTAAACAATGCAAAATCGATGCACAAACTCTAAAGCTCCCCAAATTTAGGGGCCACAGCCAAATGCCAGTAGTGTGGGAACCATGACGTGTACCAAATCACTATGGAAACGTTTACCCCGAGAACAATAAAGCCATAGTTTGAAATGGTGATTTCGTGTTTAATGGAGGGACCACAGCCTTCTAGTTCAAACTTTATAAAAGGGGATCGATCTGCTTCTTCAAGGTTTGAAATTTTTCGATCGTCAACATTAAGCTTTATAACAGTTACAGGTTTACAACAATATACACACAACATTCGCAATAATGAGATATTCCACTATACTATCATTCGTTCCATTGGCTATTGCCGCAAACAATAATGTGGTTGAGCAAAAAAATGTCGAGGCTGCTGCAGTTTCTGGCGCTGAATCTGTTGCTAGTGCTGCAACTTCAGGTGCTGGTGCCGCAGCTAGTGGTGCAGCTTCAGGCGCTGGTGCCGTAGCTAGTGGTGCAACTTCAGGCGCTGGTGCTGCAGCTAGTGGCGCAGCCTCAGGTGCTTCAGCTGCTGGTGGTGCTTTAGAGACCGAAGGTGCTGCAGGTGAGAGCGGTGAAGAGACTGGTGCTGAGGAAACTGGTGCTGGTAGTGGTGCTGGTAGTGGTGCTAATGCCACTGAATCAGGCGCTGGATCAGAAGAGACCGATGAGGGTTCAGATGCAACTGAAACTGGATCAGGCTCAGAGGAAACTGGTTCTGGCGGTAGCGGTAGTGGCTTAGGAGGCGGATCAAGTGCTTCAGACTTGGGAATTGCTAGTACCGGAAGTCAAACCAAGAGCAGCAGTAGCGGCAGCGAGTCTTCAGAATCAAGTGACTCGTCTTCATCTGGTTCAAGTGGCAGCTCAGGTTCATCTTCTGCTAGTGCTGGTGCTAGCTACTTAAGTGCTGGGGCTTTGGCCTATGTTGCCGCCATCGCTTTACTTTAGATTTAAAAGTTTATAGTTAGATACTAATAATTTTTCGGTTCTTTATGGGTAAATAAAGTCTATGTAAGTCGTCTCCTTGTCCTATCGTTTCTTTTATCGTGGAAGCTGAAAACAGAAAAACTGACTGCTTTATTTTGCAGCATTTTGCGAGGACAATTTTTTGTTCCTACAGTTTTTTGGCTGCAATCACATGCAGACATTACTCCATTCTTGCAATTTCCTTTCGCAAGTAGCATACAAAGTGCGCAGCAATGTCTACGAGGAGCTTAATCTGAGGTATATAAACCAGACATGAGTGCATGAAAAATATTAAGAAGCTTTTTCTTTTTTTTGTAGTACAGTTTATATCGTGGACAATGAAAGTATCATTATTAGTACCAATCGCATTAAGTGCAACCACCATTGCTGCTCAAGGAAGCACTGTAATTGTTGGATTCACGACAACTATCATCAATCCTGACGATCAATCACCAGGTGGAGAGCAGCCTACTCCAGTTCCAAGTCCCCAATCGCCAACCGGGGTTATTGTTACCCCAACAAATGGAGGTGGCGAAGGAGAAACAATTACTGTTACTGACAGTAATACCGGTACTGGCACTGGGTCTGAAGCACTGGATACTGTGACTGTGACAACGGATGTCACTACAGGAACAGAGGGAGCTGGAGGAGCTGGAGGAGCTGGAGGTCAAGCAAATACTACCACTGGGCAAGCTACCTCACATGCTAGTCACAATGAAACTTCTACACATGTTAACGAGACGGGGACAGGAACAGCCACTGTGACACCAACCGAGTCCCCAGCAACTGCGACTGGCGGTGCCGTTGGCTTGGCTGCAGGTGCTTCCTTGGGTTACCTTGTTGCTCTCTTGTTTGTTTAGTGGAACACAGGCCCATTGCTTCTGTTTCTCAACTTCATTCGTTATATCTAAGTTTAATATGAATTCCTTTTGAAAACCAATTTTGTACATGTATAGGGTTTTGTACATTTTTTGATAATTTAATGCCGGCTTTTTATTATGAGTAAATAGTGAGGGTGCTTACCCGGACTGCAAATTGGAAGAGAAAAAAAATATTTATAGAAAGATGGAAAAAATCCATCCCCTAATTGCAAACTTTTTCTTTCCACAGTGTAAATGAAAACAATTCATAAATGGTATGTGGAGATTTTACACTACTAGTGACATATTTTGGTGTCTATTCCCTCATTGTTTATGATGAAAACCTTACTCAGCTCACTCAGAGTCTACGATGCTGATAAACTGTATTCCTAACATTCATCAATTTATCTGAATAAACAAAAGTATAGAGAGGAAAATAAGATGCTAAGAGATATATTAAATCAAAATACTAACATCATTTACTTAGGCGATATGACTGGACTCTTTGGCCTCAAGTCCTCAATCTCACTTGTTTGAGGTACTAAAAATTGAGCCGATAAACTTGTGTTTGCACCAGTAACGTTTTGTTTATACTTGATGACCGATTTAGCATGCAATTCATCATTGTATGTTTCAGGGTCAAAGTTGTTGATCAAAACATCTGGACCAAGTACAACCCACCCAGGCCGTAACTTGACGTGAGTCTCAGGACCCAATTTCGATGGAATTATATGCAATCTTCTATTGGAATTGGAGAAATTTTCAGCGACTTGGTAAATTTGTGCCGGACATGCATTGCGACCATGTTTTGTAACGGTTGAAGGGCTTTCGATCTGCAAGTCGGTGTCGATATTACAATGGATCAAATCGTTGTCGGTTGATCTTCTAACAGTACCGGTGATGCACATCCAGCAATGCCATTGTTGTTTTTCGAACAACGACTTCTCTTCGGCTGTATTAGCCACATGCGGATAGTAAGGTGACTTGTCGTTGATTGGCAAGAATATGAGTTCCTCTGATCGTCTAAACTTTTTGTTAAAGTTGTCGTTGTTGAGCAATTTAGTCAACTGCTGAATTTTCTGCGTTGTTGACCATATAAATAAGAACCCAGGCTTTGAACACAACTTGTAGATCGGTAAGGTGTTCAATACTGGGAGTATGAATTGGTTATCGACTAAAGCACCAATCATTATCACATCAAATTTGAGGTTATGCTTCTCGATCCAATTATTTAATGTAGGAACAATCTTGTCAGTGGAACAACGAACACCAAATGCCTTTGTTGCATGCTTTTCAACTTGTTGTCGCTTTAACTCGTGTAGTTTATTCAATTTGGGATACCCATCAAGTGGATTGATGACATTGCGAATGAATCTCGTAGCGTACTCACCTGAATGAATGTAATGGTTGTTGTAATCAATGGGCTGCAAAACCCCCTTCGCATCCTTCTTTGCTTTATCTGAAGATGTTAACTTTGTTGATTTAGTGGTGACCGTTTGTGAGGATGATAATGATTTCTTGGTTGATGTGGATGTTGAAGCTCTTGAACCAAACTTGTTGTATGAGTACATAGTCACGCACTCTTCTTCATATGTGGTACGTGTAATCTCTTTTGCTGAAAGTGAAAAAGACAAAAAGTAAACCCTCCCAACAGAAGAAGTAGGCCCTGAATTTATAACAGTTAAAGCCACAGCCCTGTTTTAAGCCAGTCTCGTGATGAAACAGATTGTAATCGTTTACTATAGTGTGGAGTCTGGGCAGGTGTCAAAAAAGTGTTGTAGTGTGTAATTTAAAATATCTTTGTATGGTTTCAAGCTTTTACTTACACAAAACCCAAAAAGTGTACAGTAAAGTATTGATGTATGGATCTACCTATTGTTTCATATAATTTTGTACCAGCACTTTTTAAATTTTTGCAATCAAATAGCATAACAGTAATACTATACAAGTATCCTCTCTAACTTTTATCAAGAGATTGAAGTAACACTAATGAGACTAGATGAATTGCGTACTAAGCAAAGACGAAACTATGACATTTTTGTTATAAAGCATCACTTGGATAAGTTGACTAAACCCATTGATGAATACATTGACAACGTATGCTTCTTCTAACATGATTTGACAAGCGTGAATCACAGTTTAGGTACTAACGACCCACAAGTTTTATCTTCCCAACTCCTCATTGAAAGAGCGCAAGAGGGTGACAGATGTATTGATTGAAAAACTAGGAGAATTAAAAACGCTGGAAATCTGCACCTACAACTGTACTATTCCATACATGCTCGAACACGAATTTCCGATCAGGTTAAGCAGAGTTATATCCAATGATAAGCATTTATTTGAATTAGTTACTTACTTTATCAAGATGTTGATTGCTTATATAAAGTCCAATGATTGTCTGAAGTTCTTACCAGTTATTGCAACGATTTTGACAAATCATTTAACCACCTTCACCAATCACACATCATTGGCTCCTTACCAACTACCATATGCCAACAGACTAGTGAGTGAAGTGTTGAACATTTGTAACTTTCATGGGGATATTTTGGCTATCTGGTTAAACAACATCGCTAGGATATCCGACAGTAACCAAGGTATACGTCACCATCCAATTAATTTACTCCCACTTCAACAGATTATCGACAACTTTCTCATAAACGAGTTGGAAACATTCAAAACTACAAACTGGGAGGATTTCGTCAAGTTGAGTAATCAATCACCCGAGTTGAATCAATATTTATGCTCACAACGAATTGACATCTTTGATGATATGGCCAGTTTGTACTTTTTCCCTTCAGAAGAGTATCATTTGTTGCATATATCAGTGCTTGAACCAGTATTGAGTGCAGTTATTAATGCCATGGAAGAATCAGGTCCTGAGTTGGGCTCCCAGTACTTCAATAAATTCATCACCATGTTCAAAAAACATTTGAACTTGTCCATGCATAATGATGATTCGGTTATATTCATGTTACAGAGGTTATTGGATTTAGGAGCCACGAAAACATTGGGTCGATTGGTTGACGACTTCACTTTCCAGTTGTACTTGAACGACAAACTTCAGGATCATCGAAAGTTGGAACGGTTCATTTATGTTTTGGCAGATGTGTTGTATAGACAAGACCAATGCTTTTTGAAGTTGCTGAACAGCAAGGACGGAACACAATTTTTGAATGTCAAATTAACCTTCATCGACCACGTACGAAAAAAAGTCATGAGGATTCATAATAGCGATGCCCAACCAGTTTCTCAAAGGTTCGCCGAGATATTGACACAATACTCAGCGTCACTTGGCGATTACAATCTTGATAACCAGAGCCCTTTGATTTCGCTGTATTTTCAATCATTGTTGCAATATTTCCAAAATAAACCCTCCCTTGACACGTCATTAAACCATCTTTCGTTAATGGTGTTTCTCAAATTCAACATGCTCAATAACGCAACATTTATCGAAATCATGCACTATCTAATTGTCTGTTTTGAGATCTACCAACTGCACTTAAATTTTTATGAAACGTACCAATATGATTCGATTGAAGTGCTGAAAATAGTGGCGCAAAATGTGGTCCTACCTAGTTGCGAAATCTTGAACCACTATGGAATTGAGCAGCACAGTCAGTCTATAAATTATGTTGCCTTGCCAATGCAGTTGGATTTGTGTCGCCAGCTCATTACTGATTTCTATATTTGCTGCAAATTAAAAGGTGATAATTAGCTAGATAACCACTTAAACTATTCACAATAGCTTCCTATTCGTTTCGTAAAATTCATTATCTCATTATACTATTTGCCATTGCTCTCACATCGACGTAAATAATCCACCAAAATTTTCTTGTGCAACACTCCACAACAAGCGCCATCCTCCGTATTCAACAACACAATGACCCGATTACCTATACGTTCAAATATTAAACTAGCGAAACTCAACTGCGATTCCTCACTAATGAAAAGTGGGTGGATGTCTACATATGGCGTGAGATCGGTTAATTCATCAAGCGCCAGTGGATCATCAAGCGATGCTGCAGATCCGTATGTAAAGTAATCATTACCCTCGTCTATTATAGGTTGGTGTACTGTGGTTGTCGGACCGTGGAGCAATTTACAGTAGATATCACCAATCTCTCTTTGCGTGACTCCACATTCATCCAAATACGCATTAATTCTATCGAGACAGATTTCTAAATCAGCAAAGTAAATGAGGCCCTTGCATTTCCTGTTCTTGATGATTGGGATACCTCCATCTAGTAAGCTGTGGTTGGCAAGAATGCAAAGTTTTTCCTCAAGAACAGTAAACGAAACATAATTCAGATCAGTCAAATCGATGTAAATATTATTACCTTTGTCATTTGTGTCGGAGTTGTACTTATCAGGAGCAAACGCTAGCCCATCGTCAATAATATCAATCACTCTAACCCTTGGATCAACTGGCTCTGAGTCTGATGCCATAAATGGGTAGTCATTATTGATCAACACCGATTCATAAAGTGAGTTTTTCTCCAACAAACTTCCAGACCAATTGGCAACAGAAATAGCAATAGCAATGGGTAGCACATAAGTGTATGACGATGTCAATTCAAACATAATGACAACAATGGTGATGTTCATTCGCGTCACTCCGGCCATAAATGCACCGGCAGATATCATAGCATATATGCCCAAATCAATACAACTTCCAGAAGACGAGTTTTGCCCACATGCAAATGACCCAAACATGTATGCCATTACCCCACCGCTCAAATTTTCATCGCCGTTCTCAACCCCAATGCTTATCCACTGAATCGCCATGGCAAATATCCGACCAAACAAAGCACCAACGACCATTGAGGGAACATATATACCACAGGGAACCTTCATTCCGAACGTGACAAAAGTTAAGGCAATCTTGACGAAGAATGCAAACGATAGTGACCGTATCTCGTGCAAGTATTCGCGACCCGTAGTGGGACACAATGACCGGTCCAATTCCCGGCCCGAGCATGAAGTGGCGAGGTCCAAAACTAATTCCGAAGACGCTTGTTTGGTGTAAGGGTTCCAAAAGGTAACCAAGCCAGTGACTAATGCAATAAGACCAACTTCGAAAATGGGATTCTGTTTGATGATGCTGTGTTTTCGAAACACTTTTGGCCACCAATTGATAAACTTGACAAAACATGCGCCAAAAACGCCGCCTGCAACGCCCAATACGACAAAAAGCACTGATTCAATCGGCTTCCAATCTGAGTAATATTCAAGCTCAAACAACACTGTTTTCCCAGTACCATATGGATCCCACACTTTTAAGAACAATGTCGATATAATGGCACAAAAAAACACTTGAAACAATTGATGATTTGGTAAATGGTTATTGATCTCTTCCAAAATAAACAAGACACCACCTAGGGGCGAGCCAAAAGCTAATGCTACTCCAGCAGATGCACTTGCTGACAATATTTGCTTTTCAAAGAAATCATTGGTGTAAATAAAAGGAAAGTATCGTGACATGATGTTTCCCACACAGGTCGCCAAATGAACGTATGGTCCCTCTTTACCCAATGACATGCCTGAGGCAATCGCCAACACTAAAGCCACCGATTTTGTGAAAAGAGTATATACACCAAGAAAGCGGCGAATAACAAATCCCGAGAGAATTATTTTGACTTCGGGCACACCCGACCCCATGGCTGTGTAGAGTACACGCTGTTTGATCTGTGTTTGAGGCACTTCGAGATGTGGTTTATATGTGAGTTCTGTACTTGTTTCCTCTTTTTCAATGCCAGTAGTGATTTTAGTTTTCAATGTGACTACACACGCAGCAACTGCTAAAACTATCGTTAGTGCAACATAGATGATAAAATCCCACCGAATTATATTCCAAAAGTACAAGTTGTGAAATAATTGGGACCAGCTAATCCAATTGGGACATTGCGGATCATCAACAGAAGCTGAATGGAAAACCGTCTTGTTATTTTGGACCACACCAGCACAGCATGATACCTGACTAGCGAACCAGTTCGACTTGCAGTACCCATACTTGAACCCTACCAATAATATCTCAACTTTATCAATCATAAATGCAATAAGCGAAAAGAATAAGCCAACTAGTACAATCAATATCCATTTCCCTAGTATGTAGTATTGTTTCTGCAAGAATGATATCTGTTTATGGTCAGTGTAATTGTCCAAGTCATTTGTTTTGCCGTATCCAATCCATTCATTTTTCTCCAACGAATAATTGAACTGATTTCCTTTAAGATACGCCTTTGCCCAATCTATGGTGGTGAAGTCATTGTAATAGTTTCGCAGCGATTGTATAGGGTCCAATAAACCGTTCCGGATGTTTGAAATAATGGAGTTACTAGCTTTTGATGTACGTAAAGACGTTAATTCGTCGTTGTCGTCATCAACATCGATATCACTTTGATCTTGATCAAGTAATTGGCTATGGGTTAGGTTTCTTTGAGAATGCTGCCTTTTGAATACTTGCGATCTTATGTTCAACCTGTTGACAGACTGTTTCTTTCTTGGCAGGACAACGTGTCTGGGAACTGATGGTGTTGAGGGAACGGTAGTGCTTGGTCTGAGTGATTGCGACGGACAGTTGATAGATAACGTAGGGTAGTCAAAAGAACGAGCTGTCTTTAAATTTGGTTTGTTGTGCACAGTGTGAGATGAATGTTGCGCCGCAAAAGGCGATTGTTGTGGGTTGTCTAAGTGACCTACATGAAAAGATGATTTGCGGTAATTGTCTTTACTCTGATTCATTGATGTTGCTTGGCTTTTATGTGTGGTGGCTATCTTAACCGAATACTATCACCTTCAAAGATTTGAGTTGATAAGATTGCGTGTCCAAATTGTATGCTATGTGATAAGGTTGTTTACGTTTTGATGCTGCCGTGCTGCTATTATTGGCGAGGGGAGTAGGGACCAAAAGAAAAAAAAACAAAATAGGTAAACAATCTAGACGATGTTACGTCATTGTCTAAAACAGAAACATTACTTATCGAAACACAGTGACCGTCACTCCATAAGGAAGTCAATCGCTTATATTCTAGGGTTAAGGAAAATAAAGGCTTCTTTATCAACCTGAGACGCTGGGCCATACCTTTGTGCTTAGGTAATACATTGGTTAATGCAATGATAACGAGGGTTATTCCACGTTTGTTCTGGATAAAAGTTTTCGATTTTCAGATCACCCAATAACTGATAACTCAGTTAGCACATAATAAATCTATTCAATTTGAAGGCATAAGTTCAGGAGAATGGAACACCCCTATTTCCAATGGATCGATCGTTTTACAAGTTTTATTTTACCCGGGAGAAACTCGGTGTATGGAATTGTTCGGAGTAAGTTGTGGTACAAAATGGTGTTTTGTAACCCCTCTACAAGTGCCGGAAATGCTAAACAAATTAGGCAATTTTGGACGGAAAAAGGAAGAACAACAATCCTGAGGTTTGATGCCATATTTAAATTACGGCAGTTGAAGCTAGTTCCCGGAACCATGCCGTACGTTGATATGACAGGTCTTGTGACTTGACCAAGCTGGAAGACGACCCAGCTGGAAGAGAAAAATCTCTTGAGCAGCTACTGAGCTCAACTCGTAAGCTGAGGTTTGTTTTGTCGGTATTTACTTAACACGTACTTTTCGAAGTGAGGCAGATCGCATATCCAACCAATTAACGCAATGGAATATGTCAAATACGTTCACCATAGCCACACTTGATTGGACTTTACACGATTTTTACACAATAGGTGCAGATATCAGTTTTACGAATGCTTTTGTATTTTCAAAGTAACAAACCCGGAACTATCCTATATATATTTTTTTATGTCTTTTCGGAAACGGTTAATTGACGTGCCTCTTTATCCCATTCTTTCGGAATTAAAGATACAAGTACAGGCTGACAATAACATTTGCAGTTCTAGCCCCAACAAACTGTCAGCTGTAGAGAGTGTAATATAAACTAGTACCGCAGTTGTGGCCAGAATTTTGTCCTTATTCTATCTGCTACAAGGATGATACACGAAGGGCTCACGCCCCAGACTCCCGAACTGGACTTCCCCAGTATTAGTGCCAATACTAAAAAAGGAGAAAAAGTTTTCTCCTTGCTTTCGTTCTTTTCTATTCTCCATTTTAATTGAATTCTTCCCCACCTTTTTTCTCCTTTGTCATTACTTTATTCTACTCATTGTTTTTTTCTTGTGGCATCGGTTAAATAAATAAAATAATTTGTTATTTGTTATTTGCCGATCAAAAATTTTCTTTGCCCTACCCCAGCCAGTAAACCCCGACACCCCTTAGCAGGGACATACAGCCCATTTACAGTTTCGATGCTTTAGCAGCTAGGTACAATCCAATGGTTTGAGTTTGAAGAATATATAGAACTATATATATATATCCATATATGTATCTAAGTGCTGACTTTGTGTGGTGTTGTTTTTCCAATTTAGGAACATTGTAAAACTTTCGGAGTCAAAATTTTTCATCGCGCCATACATGGACTCAGCATCACTAAGTGATAACTACCATTATACTAACTGAATTCCATATTCTACATGTATGAGATATATGCGAAATATATATATATATATATATATATATAGACATCCCCAGAATTTCTTCACTAAATTCCTCTTTTGTTTTTCCTTCCCTTGCCTTTTCTTTCCCTTCATTCCACTTATTGTTGATCTACATACACAACCCCCTTAGTGATCTTCTCCACCCTCCTCCCTATTTGCAGTTTATAATATAAAATTATAAACTTTTAGTACAACAGATTTAGTTTATTGTCCACCACTCGATATAAAAGTCTCGGAGTTTTCCGTCACAAAAGAAATTACAAAAAGTATTTAACTGTCTCCACCTACGTCAGTACAGTTCTCATTATCTTCCACAAGCAATATCCTTAAAACAACAGTAAACATGTCAGAAGTTCAAAAAATTAAAGTCAAGAACCCCGTTGTCGAAATGGACGGTGACGAAATGACAAGAATCATCTGGAAATTTATCAAGGACAAATTGATTTTCCCATATTTGGACATTGATTTGAAATACTACGATTTGAGTATCGAGTACAGAGATGAGACAAACGACAAAGTCACCACTGATGCTGCTGAAGCTATCTTGAAATATGGTGTCGGTGTTAAATGTGCCACCATTACTCCAGACGAACAGAGAGTCAAGGAATTCAACTTGAAGAAAATGTGGCTTTCTCCAAACGGTACCTTGAGAAATATTCTTGGTGGTACGGTGTTTAGAGAACCAATTGTTATTGACAACATCCCTAGAATTGTCCCTTCATGGGAAGAGCCGATTATTATTGGAAGACACGCATTTGGTGACCAATACAAGGCAACCGACATAATTGTGCCTCAAGCAGGTGAATTGAAATTGGTATATACTCCAAAGGATGGTGGTGAACCAATTGAGTACCCTGTATACGACTTTAAAGGTCCAGGTGTCGGTTTGGCAATGTACAACACCGACGAATCCATCACCGATTTTGCCCTTAGTTCTTTCAAATTGGCAATTGACCGTAAGATGAACTTGTTTTCATCCACCAAAAACACCATTTTGAAGAAATATGACGGGAGATTCAAGGACATTTTTGAAAACTTGTATGCCACCAAATTTAAGCCAGAAATGGATAAATTGGGAATCTGGTACGAACATAGATTAATTGACGATATGGTGGCACAAATGTTGAAGTCAAAAGGTGGTTATATCATTGCCATGAAGAACTACGATGGTGATGTTCAATCTGACATTGTTGCACAAGGATTTGGTTCTTTGGGTTTGATGACCTCGGTTTTGACTACCCCAGATGGAAAAGCATTTGAAGCTGAAGCTGCTCACGGTACAGTAACTAGACATTATAGACAGCACCAACAAGGCAAAGAAACCTCCACCAACTCCATTGCATCAATTTACGCTTGGACTAGAGGATTAATACAAAGAGGTAAGTTGGATGACACTCCCGATGTTGTTGACTTTGCCAAAAACTTGGAAAAGGCTGTTATTGATACCGTCTCTAAGGACAAGAAAATGACCAAAGATTTGGCATTGGCTCAGGGAAAGACCGATAGATTGAGTTACGTCACCACCGAAGAGTTCATTGATGCCGTTGCAAACAGATTGAACAAAAACTTGGGACGTTCAAAGATTTAGGTGCATCTGTATAACGAGCGGGGTATATGTTTGTAACATTGTGTAGAGTTGATGTATGTATTTAATTTGACCGAAACCAAAGCCCTGATCAACAGCGTAGTGAGAGTGAGAGTCAATACTGAAAATTTTATACGACAAGAAAACAACAGAAAAAGAACAGAAAAGAAAAAAAAATATGGAAAAAGGCCAGGGCCAAAGTTTGCAATTATCACTGGTTATTTCCAGAACCAAACCTATTTGCCCACTACTTTAACAGCTTGTCACTATGAATGTGGGCTCAATACTAAACGATGATCCGCCACAAAGCGGATCGACACCATCGTCTCAGCAGAATCAATCGCCCACCAGTTCGAAGGTACTGCAGTCATCGGCTTCTCAATTGCAACTGCAACAACAGCTGCAGCTGCAGCTGCAACACCCACCTCGACAACCACCTTCCAGTCGCTCGTCGACTCAATCGGTGCATCAGAGGCATTCAATCACCAATATGTTGAATGATGCGACACAAGACGATGAACCACCACGTGTTAAATCTCACGACCAAGTGCTGGAGCAGAAGCCCGTTCCAGAACTGCAGCTTCCACAGCCACCAACACAACCTACACAACCTACAGAAGAGTTTCGAAAACCCTTTAGTTCAAGTGCTATGAACTCGCCAAGTTTAGGCCAGAGGCCAAATCCAATGCATATGGGAAGCAGTAGCGGGTTCTCGAGTTCGCGGACAAGTCCCAACACTTCTAAACGAAATAGTATTGCTAATTTGACCAACTCTGAAGATACTCCAGCAATAAAACGCGAGGAAGGTGATAACCACAACTCGACAGCAAAAGTCAGTGAGCGAAAGGCAAGTAACGTTCCAGCAATGAACCCCGATGATGATGATTTAACCAAGATCAAAAAGATTAAGCAATCAAATAAACCCAAGAGGTACACCACACCGCCAATATGGGCGCAAAGGTGGGCTCCACCAAATGAACGTGACCCCAAAGACATTACTAATGGAGGCTCTAACAATGGTGACGTCAATGGTATTACAAGAATATCACTGAAGCCAGTCTTTGACAACACTTCAACAAGATATGTCGATCTACAATGCAGCATTACTGGAGTAATACCACCCCCGTCAATAACACGTACCACAGCAGAGTGGATATACGCGAACTTTGCCAATATTGAAGATTCGAATAGAAAAAACGTCGAATTGGAGTTAAAATTTGGCAAGATTATCGACAAAAGAACAGGGAATCGAATTAACTTGAATGTGATAACTGAGTGTATTTACACCAATGAATCAAACATACGATTTGATATGGAGGTTGAAGAGATTGCCTGGAATGATGTGCGTAAAATGTTTGACGAATTGGAAAGACAATTCCAAGAGGAAAAGAAAGTTGACACTAGTATTCGAGACAAGCGTAAATTCAATATGCTTGAGTCTGATCAAACTGACTCCTTCTATCAACTTGGAAACAAGAATGAACACTTGCGTAAAGTGAGAATTTCAAAGGACAATTTACTCCAACCACCGCGTTACACAGCCATTCAAAAAGAGCGTATTGCTGACTTGTACATTCACAATCCACAATCAATGTATGACTTGCGTCTTTCGCTTTCGTTGGAAGTGCCAGTGCCTGAAGGCAATATCGAGTCCATCATATCAAAGAACCAGCCTCAATTACAACGTGACAAGAAGCGGGTCTCATTTACGCATACTCCAACAATCACCCAATTTGACCTTACGCGAGTAATGGTTCCTCGCGAGTTTAAGAACAAGGCCGGTAAAAAGGTGGTGAATCATGAAACCAAATATGAGGTGGAAATGGAAGCTGATACGTTGGAAATATTCCAAAGCATAGACAAAGTGAAGCAAGGAACTGATTCATATCGGTTAGAGGAATTGGTGGAGATTTTCTTGAATAATGCTAGAATTATCAACAACCGAGTGACAAAGTTGGCATTGTGAGGGAAGAGATTCACGGGACGTATGAAGTGGCTTTGGTGGTGATTGTGTATATTGTAAGATTGGTAGTATGTTGTAATTTGTTCCAGAATGTATTATTGATATTAGTTTTAGAAGAAGATGCATTATAGACGAAGAGAATCACACACGAGGTCATACATTGGAATTGCCTCAGCCACGTTTCCATTGCCAATTTTGTAGCTGTTGCGGGTGAAACTGCTAATGGAGAGGAATTTCATACAATCTTAACTTGGTCATCCAGAACATAGAGGCATGATTGATGGAATCAATTTCCACACTGGCACCCCATAGACTGGCATTTCCTATGTTTACCTAAATTCGCGTTCAATTTATATATTTCATTGTTTTATTTTTAGTACTTTTTTTTTCAACTTCTTCAAACCAGACAGGTTGGCAAAAAACACACGGCCACTAACCCAACTGCGTATCATCCAGCTTTTTGACCTTACTGAGCATCTTGATTTCAATATGTACGCAATCTATGTTATTGCTGCAGTGGTTGTGCTATCTGCCATTGTATATTCTACATTAATATTATTTTCCCATAAACCGAGACTACCAACACCAAGTGAATCATATTACAAAACCAACGATACTTCCAATAAATCATACGAACTTGCACCAAGAATAGATTCAAGAAGTCCTAAAAGAGAGCCTCAAGTGGAAATCGGTGTTGTTATACCGTGTTACAATGAAACCGAGAGATTAGACAAAATGTTAAGCGAGGCTATCGAATTCCTTGAGCAACGTTATCCAAGGAACTACGAAATTATCATTGTTGATGATGGTTCGAGCGATGGTACTGCCGAATACGCAATCAAATTGGCAAATGAGTACAAGTTGGAACCACACACATTGAAAGTTGTTCAATTGTCAAAAAACAGAGGCAAAGGAGGAGCAGTCACCCACGGCATTTTACATACACGGGGCAAGTACGCTTTATTTGCTGATGCTGATGGTGCTACTCAGTTCTCGGATGTTGCAAATCTCATTAAGTACCTCGACTCGCATCCTAATGAGCCAGCAATAGCCATTGGGTCACGTGCCCACATGGTCAACACCGATGCAGTTGTTAAACGGTCACTTATACGTAATTTCCTAATGTATGGTCTTCATACCTTAGTGTTTATCTTTGGTATTAGAAAAGTTCATGATACCCAATGTGGTTTCAAAATGTTCAATATAGATGCTGTTAAGCAAATCTTCCCACACATGCATACAGAACGATGGATTTTTGATGTTGAAGTATTGCTTTTGGGGCAGATTCAGGGAATGGAAATGAAGGAGATTGCTGTCAACTGGCAGGAAATCGATGGGTCGAAAATTGACTTGGCCAGAGACTCAATTGAGATGGCTATTGATTTGGTCGTGACGAGATTGGCTTACTTGTTGGGAATATATAAATTAGACGAGTGTGGTAGAGCAGGCAAAAAGAGCCAGTAGATAAGGAGGAGTGTTGCCACTGGTATCAATTTAAATAGATATTACAACTTATAGACTTTATAACGTGATGTGTGTGATGCACGCAGCAGAAGTTCCTGAAGTGAACATTTGTGTCAAGGGGGATATCAGTAAATGTAAAAAGAAAAGAAAAAAGAAAAAAGAAAAACCACTGCCTACAACTCTTCCTTCGGAAAGACATTCCAGCCAGCCATTGCGATAAATTTGGCCACGGTTCACATCTCTATCACCTCAATTTTACCACCGCTAACACCTACTACACTCAAAGTATCCCTAGCGATGTACGTTGAACTACCGTTTGACGAATTGAAGGTCCTGCCAGAAAAGAGACGAATAGCCTATTTCTACGATCAAGATGTGGGAAACTACTTTTACGGCACGGGTCATTGCATGAAACCACACAGAATCAGAATGACACACTCTCTTATTATGAACTATGAACTATACAAGAAGATGGAAATTTACCGAGCTGAACCAGCAACCAATTTAGAATTGACACAATTCCACACTGATGAATATATTGACTTTATCGATCGTGTTACGCCTGATAATTTGCATTTGTTCCCTCGAGAAGCCCAGATTTTCAACGTGGGTGAGGATTGTCCTGTCTTTGATGGGTTGAATGAGTTTTGCAAAATTTCATGCGGTGGGTCAATGGAGGGAGCAGCAAGATTGAATAATGGTAGTGCTGATATTGTCATTAATTACGCCGGTGGACTTCATCATGCCAAGAAATCGGAGGCTAGTGGGTTTTGCTATACCAACGACATAGTTTTGGCTATTATCGAACTACTTCGAAAGCATCCGCGGGTGTTGTATATTGATACCGATGTGCATCATGGAGATGGAGTTGAAGAAGCCTTTTACACCAACGACCGAGTAATGACTTGTTCATTTCATAAATTTGGAGAGTTTTTTCCCGGGACTGGTAATTTGACCGATATTGGTATTGGTAAAGGTAAATACCATGCTGTGAATGTACCGCTACGAGATGGTATTGATGATGCTTCGTACAAGTCGATTTTTGAGCCTGTGATACAAGCCATTGTCGAGTGGTACCAACCGTCCGCTATCGTTTTACAATGTGGGGGTGATTCTCTAAGCGGTGATAGACTAGGACCGTTTAACTTATCGATGAGGGGTCATGCAAATTGTGTCAACTTTGTTAGATCTCTTGGCTTGCCAATGATGGTGCTCGGTGGTGGTGGATACACAATTCGTAATGTTGCAAGGACCTGGGCATTTGAGACCGGGGTGTGTAATGGTGTTATATTGCCCAAAGAACTTCCCTATAATGGTTACTATGAATATTACGCCCCTGTATATGAGCTCGATGTGCGTTCTTCAAATATGAGCAATGCCAATTCAAAGGAGTATCTAGACAAATTGCTAACACAAATTATATCCAACTTGGACCATACAAAACATGTACCTTCTGTACAGCTTCAAGATGTTCCTGCAGATAAAGAAGATCTTGGTGATGTAGATGAGGATATGTCTGACGCAATAGATACCAAAGGTGGCTCGCAAATGCAGAGAGATAAAGAAATAGAAAAGGAGCTGGAATTTTACAATGATGAGGAGAAGGACAAAGGTGAACGAAACGTGTTTGAACAGAACAAGATTGCTGACGATGATGTTGACCGAATAAATGAAACAAAAGATGTGGAAAATGGGGTTACATTATTTGAGCACGAGCAAGCAGAAATCGATCAATTGAACAAGGAGGAAATGGATGTGGATAAAAGTAATTGAATGGATGCAATGGGAAAAGTCTCCTGTGTTAATCTTGTGGTCAATGAAGTCCTTGTATCTGTTTGATAAAAGTCAAGCTTAGAAATAGCTTTCATTTACCACCTCTTAGTCGATGTCTCCTATATAAATGTAGATGGGATGTGCAATTTTAACGAGAGACTTGGTGAAATTTTGTCTTGGCCGGGCTTTTATTGTCTTCTCTCGTAAATTAATTCGTTGTACAGAAAACACAAAACGTGATGTACTGTCGACAAGAAAAAAAAAAAAATAAAGTTGCAAAAACTCTTGAGATAGGAGACTTTTTCGCTATGTGTACAGAAAAAACACCAAAAAGACTAATTTGGAATTAAGGTTTACGGCAAAAGAGTTTCAAGTTCGCCACAGAAGTTTGTGAAGGTTCATTGGGAAGCCTAGCTAGTTCACAGGGAAATCAAGATTATAGCCAAGCATATAACTACTCTACGCAAAGTCTGGTGATTCAAGCAAAGAATATTTTTCCTCCCCCACATACTTTTGGAAGCATCTTAAAATGAAGTGAAACCACATCCAACACAGCTTGCCGTTGCTTCAAAGTGCATACGATTTCCAAGAAAATAAAGTTTTCTTTATTTACCAACAACACTCGAGAGTCGTCACTTTTAAGCGCGTACTTCAAAGTATAATAATAATATTCATGCTAGATTAAAAAGCTTGCAAATATAAGCCGAAAAAAGATATTATTATTTGCATTGATTCGTGATTATTATGTTGGACTGAAAACTCTTGGATCTGAAAAAACAAACAACAAAGTGGGTTTATAATACAAAAAAAGACAAGAAAAAGAATTGACCATGTTATAAATCTCGCTAATCTCCCTCTGTTTTGCAGACTGCTTGCAATATAGTATTTGATTCATTTTGAACGAACTTTAGGCTAACTTACAAAAACGAGTCTTCAAGACCACCACATTCGCTTATCATTTAACAAAGGTTCAACCATTAGAGTCTACACTCATCAAATTCGTTAGATATCCTTTCTTTATACCCTTATTTTTGTCTAACCCTAGTCCTTCCTTTTTTTTAGTACAACCCCATTTTAATTCAAAGTTTACCTCACCTACTTGAATCATGAAATTATCAGAGACCTTATTTTTAGCTGTAGCATCAGCTGGCTTAATCAAAGCTGAAACGGACACCACAATCACGCAAACAATCACCATCACAAAGACTTTGTACACACCAGAGGAGTCTTTGAGTATGGCTGAAGAAGCAGCTTCTATTGCTTCTGTTTTAGCAGCCGAGTCATTAGCATCAGTGGTAGCAGTGCAACTGGCAGTTGAAGGTTACTACAGTTCCTTAGCATCAGCTTCAGAAGCTTTGCTTGCAGAAGAAACCTCTACATTGGAAAACAAGGGTTATAACGCTACCAATAACCTTACCATTACCTACGTTACTGTCACAGTCAAGCCAAAATCAACGGCAACAAGTTCAGCTTTACCTGGCAGTGACAATTTGGTGCTCGAAGTTGAAAATGATGACACTCCTTCAGATTTGAGCTCATCTGAAGCAGTCACAATTCCTGCAGAGAGTGCCTCAGAGGATGCTGGTTTCAAGGGACTCGATGAACGGTATTCTGGAACTGTTGCAGGTTTATGTGCCTTAGTCGCCGCACTTTTGTAATTCCGATCGTTTATTAGTTTCTAAAGGTATATACTACTTTTGTATCATTTGTATTATTTTTTGAATAAATTGCTAATATGTTCTAATTGTAGAGCTACAGACATGAGTGTTAATCTATTCGATATTCATGTCCTTCTAGCTTGTAGATCACGGAGATACTTTTCCTTGTCTAATAGATAATACTCCATCTCATTCAACCCCTGAGGAATTTTTGGAGGAACATCTGGTTTTGCTTCGTCGTCATCGTCATCTTCATCATAAATGTTAAACGGTTTATTTGTATTGATTTTTTGAAAAACACTTGGACTGAATTTACCATTACCCACATATCCCGTTCTATTGGTTCTTAAATCTACCTTGAGGTCATCCTTGGTTACTGCATTATTGGAGATTCGCATCTGCCTATTGAAATGTTCGCTTGGTGTAGGAGCGTAATACTTGGGATCAATTTCATCCTTTACTGTTACTTCCTGGCTTGGGTTGTATCTGGCGTTACAAGTTAACGATTTGACTGGCTCATCTAGTAGGTAAACCTTTGTTGGCAAGCTGTCCGTATTATCATCCACACCTATCATATCAGCTGAAAAAGGCATCGATGTGCTGTCTTTGAAATCTATATTTGAAATCGGTGACGGGGGCTTTCTTCCTGGAGGTGCTGGTAATGGCTTGGATTGGGACTGATGTGGTGGTGGCAGAGGGGGAGAAGGAATCTTAAACTCAAGATCAAGGTCAAAATCGTCGAGTTTCTGGTTCTGGCTTATTTGACTCTTTGGCAACCCTTCCCCTAACTCATTCACATCGTTAGATCCATAAGCACTAATGGGAGAAATGTCTCGTCTTGACGGGCTGGAAAAGAATGAGCTAGTACTATTTTCATTTCCTGAGCTACCCCATAGCGATTGCTTTGATTGAAACTTGTCCTTAAGTTTATTGAATTTTGACATATACTTGTTTGGGCTCTTGCTGCCCACTTTTGGCTGCAGTAATATGACTTCGTCCGGGTTCTCATGACTCGAGGCACTTCCTTCGCCCGTATTGACAAAATATTGACTGGTTTTCAGGAATATTGACGACCGCTTACTATGCTTTGAGCCATCCAGAGAAACAAATACATCGTGAACGGGATTGGACTCATGTTTCCAGGGCTGTGATGGGGGCGAATGTACTGGTGTGACAGCCATGCCGTAAGGTCTCCCGCTATCAATTTGCACATGATGCATTCCGCTTTCTTCATGGGATGGTAACTTTGGTGGTAGCACTGGTGCGGTTGGATAAAACGTCATTTCTAAATAAAGCATACCTGCTCTTTTACCCTGGAATGTCAAGTCATACCATTTATCAAGAATGTACTTCCCCTTTTGTTTATTGTCAGGGTCTGAAAATACTTGAGACGCGTCAATCTCACAGCTTCCAATAGGCGTTGGATCGCCTTTTGTTTCATCTAATAGATCAATTTTTAGTGATGGCTTCTTTTCTCGGGTGATATCAAACCTGATTTCATGGGTCCATTCTGGTGTTTGGCCTGCTCGGAAATCGGATTTAGTCTTTTTTGCAGTAGTACCCAACCGTACAACAACGTAGGGCGATTGCTTATCTAGCTTTCTTCGATTGGGTAGATGTTTTGCACGAACAACCATTATTACCAACGTTCCGTCTGCTGATTGAGTGTAGGAGGAAGAATCCATAGTTGTGCTTGGCACGTCGAGATCGTCATCAAAATGGTCATATTCGCTAGACATGGTTACTGCAATTGTTGAAGTGATATGACTATAAGAAAAAAAACAGTAGTGCTGTGCTTGAAAACGGTTTACACTTTTTAACTAGTTGGTGCACAATCTGGTCTCAATCCTGTGCATAGCGTGGGCCATCATTCTTTCTTTGATTAATTGGCATTGCCTAGTTGGATCACAAAATCTAAGTAGGCTGGTTCTATTTTGTTTTTCTCCCGATTAGGAATCAGTGTCGTGTCATTTGCAATCTAGACATTGAGTAGTTTTTAGTCACATAATGGGCAGTGTTTTACGTCAGTCGGAAATAGTTGGAGCAAAGGATTGTTAAGATGGTTGGTAAACAAACCAAAGAGATTTGCTGGGTACTTCAGAAAAGTAGTTAGTTGTAATTACAAATCTATTGTAGTAAGCTTATTTTGCATTAGTTTATTGCTAAATATTTTGAAAGATAATTACTGCAAAGACGCTCCTAAAGTTACACCGGTCGATTTTGATATCTTCTAAGTCGTACCAAAAGAACACCAATAGAGATAAGGGGTACATCTTCAGGTTGACGGTATTCTATTTCGTTTCCCTTGCATCAGAATTTGGTAGCGTTTCTTCAAATGTCTTCTCAAAATCATATTTTTTTTTCACGACACACAAAAACATACACACTGAGCTGAAATAGGCATCCTTTGATCACTTCTCATACCCTATCCCTTTCAAATATAATGTCGTTTCGAGGAGGAGGCACTGGAAAAGTACAATTACCATTTGGACTAGATTATGCTGATGTAGTAAAATCATCAGAGGGGTCAGAAAAAGCCCAGTATATACTTCCAGTGAATGGAGAACCATCTGAAATAGAGACATTAGCAGCCAAACAATCAATACGATTTACGAAATTAGTATCCGACGGACCATTTTACACGGGGAAACTAGAACCTAATCTAATCAAAAACAAGGATAGGGAACTGGCCCAACAAAAGGAGGTGAATAATGTTAATGAAGATGGTATTGAACGATATGGTGACAGGTACAAAAAAGTGCAGAAAATTGGTCGAACTATTGAAGAGCATCCCTACCAAGTGCAGTTTTTTCCAGAGGAGTTGTATCCGGTGATGGGGATATCCAACAAGAATAAAAAGAAATACTTAACGTTATCGAAATTTGCATCGAATGGTGGATTGCGAGAGTATTTGAGTGAAGAAAAACAAGAAACTATCGACGAAGAGGCCAAAGTACAAGCTTTAAAAGAGCAAATGTTTAATCAAGCAGGTGTACACGAGGACGAAAAAGAGATAGGGGAAAAGGAAGATATACCCAGTGAAGAAGAAGATGTGGATGATGAATTTGACGACGAGGATGAAGACGACGATTATAATGCAGAAAAATACTTTGATGACGGAGATGATGAAGGAATGGACGATGCAGGAGACGACGAGGCTGCATTTTAGGCTAGGAAAAGAAAGTTGGCTACTTATAGAATTCGCCAGAAGCACCAGACCCTATTTAAAAGCTATATATTAAACGTAAAACTAATTAATGCATTCCTTCCGCCAGGTACTTTACCAAACCATCTTCCAAACTTGTGCTCCTTACTAACCAAGACAAACACTTTCAATTGCTTAGTTTCAGGGATTTCAACACTGTCTATTTTGACAACAAAGCCACGTAAATTTTCCACTTCACCAATTTTGCTAAATGATCTTAACGTCGCATCTAGTTTCCAAATTTTTACAGTGCCACCAAATGAGCCACTGAAAAACACATCACTATAAGCTGGCGCATGTATGGCAGTAATCCAGTATGGTTGTGGTGCCGGTATTTGTCGACTAGCCAATTCCAGTTCAGTCTCAGCACTCGCTTGTTGTGGCTGAAATTGGGGCTGCAATCCGTGTGCCAATCTTTTGGTATCCTGTGCTTTCTTCTTGGCTAATGACCAAAGAGCAATATTTCCATTATCTGATCCAGTTACAAAATGAGATTCGTCAATCATAGAAACCACATCAATCGATCCTTCGTTGTGAAATGGTTCATCACTACTTGTTTCTTCATCGTTATCCTTTTTCCTCTTTTTCTTCTCTATTGAATCACCCCCACGAAACGTTAACCTCGACTCTTCAGGTATTTTCCAGAACATGGCAGTTTTATCTCTACTTCCCACTGAAACACAAGTCTCTTTAGCCAAAGCGGCTATATCAGTGATGTTATCTTGATGACCATATAATGTCTCCAACTGAGTAAACTGGTTAATCGAGTATGTCCTTACTCTTAAGTCAGCACATGCAGCAAACAACTGATCAGTGTTTCTTCTAAAAACAATCGAATTTACTGCTGATCTCGTTGGAAGCACCTTTAAACACGCCAAGTTTTCACTTGACCAAATTATCAATCGAGAATCAGAGCCTCCAGTGACAAGATATTTCCCGTCAGGAGATGCAGCAATACAATTGATCTGCTCCCAGTGATGATTTAAACCAGGCTGTGTTTGGTTCAAGGTAAAGTATTTGGAACCACCTTTAGTGTGCTTTATCCTCTGGGGCTTCTTTCCCTGATTTATATTCCACTTGATAATTTCGATATCTTTTGAAACCGTATATAGATATGGAAAATGCACGCACATGCTAGTAACGTTATTTGACCCAACCCTTGTCGTTACTAATTTAACTTCATCTCCATCCAATTGTTGCGAGATTTTGTCACCCCAAAATTTATATACATGTCCCTTGGCATCAGCTACATCAACTTGTAACCTTTTTGATAAAATTTCATCGTCAAGATCCTGGGCATCAAAGTCGTCAGAATCGCGTAATTCCTCATTTTTCAAGTTTTCAAGATACTGCTTTGCTAACCTTCTTCGTTTATCTGCTGCACTTTCTGCTGCAAACTCTTCATCCGATGAAAGTTCTTCCTCTTGTCGTTGATTTTGTAAAGACTGCTCATCTTCGGAGTCACTGGCACTCGATATCTCTTCATCAGCATGTGTTGTTGTGGATGATGGTTGTGGAGTGGACGATTTAGACTTTTTGCCTCGCGTTGTGCTTGTAACCTTATCCAGACGCTTTCTCTTCTTTGACGGATCAGATAAGAATGGATCTCCTGCCATGGTTTATCAATGCTTTAATGTTGTAGCTACGGCGATGATCTCTTGAGCATCTCACTCTTTTTTTGAATTTTTTTTTTTCTTTTAAAGAAATGATTCTCGTTCAGCGCGATGACATCGGTCGGCGAGAGAGCACACAGAGCTAAAAATCTACACGGACAGCTTCCACAATAAAATGCTATCTTATATCCTATATAAGATTAGTCCTCTAATAAATCTTCAATATCAGCATCCTCTTGTGCATCGTAAGCAGTTTGATGTCTTTGTCTGGTTTCCTCAGCCAACTGCTCCAAAACAGCCTGGGTAGTTTTGACATTCTTTCTGGTCTTTTTCCCCCAACCAAATTCATTAGCTTCCTTCTCCAAGTTTTCCTCCAATTGCCTCTGAGCTTCAGCTTCCCTTGCTGGTTTTTCTTCCCTCTCTTTTTCGTCTAATTTTTGTTGGTGATCGCTCTGCTTTTTGGCTGCCCATTGCGAATAATACTTACGGAATATGAGATAAGCACAAATAAATATCGCTAAGCGGAAATACTTGAGAAAAGTGTCTCTTTCAATGTAATCGTATATCTCTTCAAATGCCATCGCGCGTATAAGAGTGTGGACTGGGAGGAAGATTTATGATTGGTGCTAGGGTCCCAGGTGGCGGAAGTAAATTATTTTTCGGAATCCGTTTGTTTTGGTCAATTTGTTATTCTCTCGGTTACATAAAAAAGATCGTAATACCGCACGATAGTCACAAATAAAATGTACCGACATTAGAAGTAGTTCTAAAGTTCTTACTGGAGCTAAAAAGTTGTATATGTGTGTGATTCTATCAGTAAAAGCTACAAGAATCGTAGCTCTAAAGGAGCAATAAAGCTCCTTTAATGCTGTTCTCCAATCTCAGCAAAGAGTGACCTATTACGCCGATAAAAAATTGACAGAAATTTCAATCATAGAAACGCATTTACAAATACACACTATTATCTGTACTCTTCCAAGCTATCCTTACCAAGTAGATGGCCCAAAGGCCTCTCCATCTTTCAACAACTTTCTGATATTCTGCGTAACACCAGTGTCAAGCGTGCCATTAACGACATCGTTTCCCCACCAGCTTGGGAAATCAGTTTGCGTTAAACCCAAGGCCAACGAAATAATCAAAAGACTCCAGGCTAACCCAATATCCAATCCAGCAGATAAGGAATAATTGTACTTGGTCCACCAGTGGAAAAACTTTCTTTTGATCCACCAACCAAAAAGTAATCCAACTAAACAGTATGAAGTATAGTTGAATGGAGTTGCTGGTGGAATTAATCCGGTACCGGAGAAAAACACGGGCCAGTGCAAGTATTTAACGACGCTGTTTGGGTATTTACGCAAGATCAACCAATTGATAACCGGGAGAATAGCACCGATGATGAAGAAAAACAATGTTCCGTAGTACAATTGACCGTGGGAGAATTGACGTTGNTGTGGACCAATGACTCCCCAAATAATTGAGGCATTGAAAAAAACCTTAGCTCCGGGACAGGTGAAATTGGATGGCTGGTCAGTTTCACATAAGCCATCGACTGCACCGTAGGCCCACCTCAAGACACCAATTTGAACAAAACAGGACCAGATAGCAGCCGTGAATTGAGAAAAGAACATGTTGTACGGAGAGATTTTCATGTAGTGACCCAATTTCATGTCCTGAGCAAAAGTGACTGCTTGATTGTTG